CAGTGTGCGGCCCAGGCTCTCCGCGAACAGTGCGTGCCGCATTGCTCGCACGTCCAGGAGTTCATACTGTTGCTGTGCGAGCAATTGTCGCATCTCCACAAGTAAACGCAAGGCTTTGAAGTTCTGCCACTCATTGTGTTTGTGCCTCGAGGGTATTTAGCTCGAACTTGGAAGATGGTACGGAGCCGGGGTGATGTAAACTGAGGTCTGGAAAGAGTTGAACGAAAGACCGGTGATGTGTGCTAAAGGGTTTGATTGTGTGTGATGTGTTCTGAAAGTTTTGATTCTGTTCGTGGGGTGTTTTCGAAGGTTAGACAAGGATGATGAGGGAGGGAGGATGTGAGCATGGAAGAAGGAGTTTTAACAAGCAATCCGCCGGTATCTATTGAATGGAATACACACCTGAAAGCCCATCAGCCGGTATGATCAATAGAAAGCTGTCGAGCGCAGCTGTTCTGACAAATTCCAGGTTGCGAATACGACTAGGGGAGACTGGAGCGGAAGCCGAGTCACGCATCGAGTGATATCCCATGCTGGCAGCTGTGTCCCTGCGGCCAACAAAAACCATCACCACCCCCAGCGGGTGGCTTGGTAACCCCAATAGCTGAATACAAAAAAGTTTTACCTGAGTTTGGACGGTGATCTTTGCGCTCAAATCCCCTTGTCGATTGCATGGCCCAGCTTGTTGACCATTAAACCACGCGGGGTTTTTTTCATGCTGGATACATGAATTCGAAAATGATAAAGTGATAGGTGCCCCGCGTAACTCAACCTGCAGCCGGCGACCAGGTGTGGCCTCCCCTACCCTACGTCCTGGCCTGTCCCGGCGATACAAGTAGAGCGTATTAAAGAGGTAGTGCTTAACCATGGTTATAAGGTATCTCTTCATTCCCGGGCCTCAGCTAAACGAGCGAGTGAGGGAGTGAGAGAACACCCCCCACCCTCACTCACAAGGCCCTAGCTTGATCTCCGCTCACTGCGCGACGCCCGCACCATAACACGATGCATGGCCTTCATGTACCCGGTCCTGGATCCGGTATTTACTGGTTGTCAGTGGAGACTTGAGAGCTGCTTTGGCTACCTACTTCGGACGATGGGATTGGAGGTGCGAAGTCTTGATCTTGCTCCACTCCTTTATCCCTTCCTCCCTCCCTTCCTCCCTTCCTCCCTGCCTCATGGGAACATCAACTAACGGTCAAAACGGCCTGTCAAGACTGTGGCGACTTCTTGCCCGACATTTTCTGCTAGTCCCACCTGAAGTCAATTTTACCGTATAGCAGGGGACTCATTGAGTCAATGGGGTATAAAATTGATGAAAAAATCGAATTAATTACAAAGCGGGTAATAAAAAGCGATTTTTGAGATTTCTTTTGGCAAAAGTAGGCGGTGTTAATTACATTTCAGACCTACGGTAGCAAAAAACTGCGGACTCTACCTTCGGCAGCTTGTTGGTGTGTATGGTGAAGACTTTAATCAAACCCACATTTTAAAAAACTGGGTTACATGGCTTCGTAGATTTCAAGAAAAGCGCAAATACAGCAAAATTTCTTCCTGCGGTAATGGGAAGTGGGTTGCCAAACGGCCTTGAAGCCATCTTGAATTGACCACCGAGTTTCCTCAACTCCGGGAGAAAGGCGTTTAAAATGCAAGGTGGATAGTAAAGGACCCTCGAGGGGTTAGCAGCCGGCCTGCTTATGGTTGGCCGCCGGTATGTATCGACAAAAACTCACACGAGATGCATACATGTATCATTATAGAAACTCGCAGCCGTATATGATATGGCATCAGTTCGTTGAATAGACTGTGGCGACCACCAACGCCCCGACTTTTCCTGCCAGCTCCACGGGTCGAGAGAAAGCTCGACCACCACTGTCCGTTGCTGCTTAGCAGCCTACCACCCAATTCGATATCTGCAGAAATCCGGAACCATAACTGTCACTATTGTAGAAACATGGAATTCAAAACGTTTGGAAAATCAGGAAAGATTGATACTGGAAACATGCACAATCGGCACGTCAGAAGACGGATATGAGGAAGCGACCTATGTACACACCAAGAAACAAGAAAGTCAGACTCCCAGCACTCAAGCGTGCAACATCTAACAACAGCAAGGAATTTCAACACGAAAGACATTAAAAAAAACCATCGAACGCAACAGAAATACCCGCAAACCTAACAGAGAAAGTTACCCAAACCTGCGCAGACCGCCCATCCAGGGAAGACGCTATCCCTAGCGCGCCCTACTAGTAAGTCTAATATTTCAACTCGGCCTCACAGTGTGAGACCCAGGCTCTGCGCGAACAGCGCTTGTCGCATTGCTCGCACGTCCGGGAGTTCATGCTGTTACTGTGCGAGCAATTGTCGCATCTCCACAAGTAAACGCGACTCTGTGACGTTCTGCCACCCATTGCGTTTGTGTTTTGAGGGTAGTTGGTTGAAAAAGGGTACCGAGTCTAGAAAGAGTTCGAAAGACCCGCGGTGATGGGCGCTGAAGGTTTTGATTGTGTGTGATGTGTTCTGGAGGTTTTTATTGTGTTCGTGAGGTGTTTGGAAGTCTAGAGAAGGATGATGTGGGAGGGATGATATGAGCACGGAAGAAGTGGTTTTATCTAGCGATCCGGCGGTATCTATTCAATGGAAGACACACCTACAATCTCTCCAGCCCCGATCCTGTATAGAAAGCCGGCGATCTCACCTATTCCGACAAATTCCAGGTTCCGAGTACGACTAGCGGAGGCTGCAGATATATCATGAAGCCAGCGCTGTGGGCGAGCTGGCTCACGTGTACTACCTACTCCCGGATACATGACTCGGGCCGGCAGCGTATGTAACCAGCTCACGCGTGAAGATGGTAGAAGGCAAACGTCCGAGAAGCAACTATAGCAGCCCTTCCTACCGGACAAAGTCCACCTTATTCATCTACATGTTGCAACTGAACTGTACGCACCAAATTGCATCACATCTAGGACAACACTTTTGGAAATGAGTACTTCGGTCTGACTATGAGTCGTTTCTTTGAACATGAAAAAAACCGGCAGCGCAAGGTGTGTCAGTTGCCGAGTGAGAACCAATGTTGCACCCGTCTTGCCAAAAACAAAAACCGTCACCACCCCCGGCGGGTGGCTTGGAAACCCCAAGAGCTGGATACAAAGTTCGTTGATCTGGTTTGAACCCGGCACTTTGCACTCAATTCCCCTCGCCGATTGCGTAGTCTAAACCACTAGACCACGCGGGGTTTTTCCGTGCTAGAGACTTGATTTTGAAAATTATGAAGTGGTGTGTGCCACCCCGTCCCGGGATAGTCAATACCGTAGCTATACACTGATGGAGTCTTATAAGTTATCCCCACATGTGTAAAGGTGGACCTTCAGCACAGCACCGGACGTATTCCTCATCTCATAGCCACCGATCACTGGACGGCAGGCCAATAGTTCATGAGTATAGTAGGTATGACTAGCTATCTCTTTACTCCGACTAAATAAGGGAGGGAACACCTCTCGCCCGCGCACAGCTTAGTTTCCGCTGCGCGCCGCCTCCCTCCCTCCCTCCCTCCTGGGAAAACCAACTGATTGTCGCAAACGGCTGTCACGACCATCACGATTTCCTGAATCTTATTCGCCATTTCCTACCGGCTCCGTCTGAATACACTGCTGCCGAGCAGTTCGCTGCTGGGCTGCTGCTTGCTTACCCCTGTGTTGGAGAGAGAGATAGAGAGAGATCTTCCTGTTTTATTTCGCATGCAGCCTCTCTAGACTATGGCGAACCCACGGCCTCCGTTTCCTGTCTGCCGTGGCCAGTCCAGGTGAAAGCCCCGGTACAGACCAGTCCCATGCGGCGCACCAGTTCCCCTACCCATCCGCCTCGGGCCGACACAAGCAAAAGTATAGAAAGCCGGTGAGCTCACCTGTGACGACAAATCCTAGGTTCTGAGTATGATAAGACAAGCGGAGGCTGGAGATATTATAAAGCCAGTGCTGTGAGCGAGTTGCCTCAAGCTTACTACCTCCTCCCAGGTTTACGAAAGCATTGCAAAAAAAAACCAGCCGCGCGTGGGGTCACTTGCCACATACCGAGTGATAGCGTATGCTCCCACCCTCAAGCCCAAAACAAAAACCACCACCACCCCCGGCGAGTGGCTTGGAAACCCCAAGAGCTGAATATAAAGTTCGTCGACCTGGGTTGAACCCGGAGCTTTAGACCTGACTCCCCTCGCCGATTGCCTAGTCTAAACCACTAGACCACGCGGGGGTTTTTCCGTGCTGGATATGCGAATTCGGAAATTATGAAGTGGTGCGTGCCTCGCTGCCATGATCTACGTACGAAGGTGGAGTGCGATGATGCTTAAACAACCCTTCCGTCCCCCTCGCGGCAGTAACTCAATCCACTACCTACCGTTATCATCACTCCAGCCATGGACTCATGGAGTGCTTCAACTCAGCGGACGCTGCACCTAGATAATCTACTTCACCACCCGCCCAGTTGCTCGATACTAATGGATGCAGCTGTACATACGCCAATACTGATGGAATGTACGTTAACTCCACCTGCCCATCAGTGGACCGTCAGCACAGGACGGACCTATTCCGCATCCCCAAATTGGCATATTGACCGACCGCAAGACCGCATGCCAACAACTGGCGGCCTCGGTATTTCCGGTCCCGGATCCGGTATTTACTACTATAGTTGCCCGTAACTCCGTGGAGAGCTGCTGTGACTAATACAGGTGTATTTCTCGGACTTGCTCCTTCCATGCCTCCCTCTATCTCCCTCCCTCCCACCAGGGAACATCAACTCATTGCCGCAAACGGCCTATCAAGACTGGCGATTTCTCACCCGGCGGTTCCTACCAACCCTCGCCTGAAGACACAGCTCTAATAGGGCTCGTTACTGTGCCGCTGCGCCGCTGCTTGCTCCTTCTCCTGTTTGAAGACATCAACGGGTGAGCAAAGCACTGAGACCCGAGTGATACTCTATGATCACAGTACCGGCTGCGACGAATGTATCGCTTGATTCCGAGCTCGGCTTACGTCTTTACTGCCAGTTTTCTTTACCCCGATCATTACTCGCACACCCGTCGTTACTGGACCCTGGTCCCCAAGTGAGGATGCTTAAGAGCTGGCGGGATCTTGTCATCACTCGCGTCCGATGCTTGCTATCGCAGTTACATAAACCATGCTCCATTTCCTCATCAAAAAAACATCCAAATCCCTTGTTCATCCCATCCCACCATCCCTCCAATCCCCTCTCCACCACCGCCCTCCACCCCCCACTACGCTCTCCCGCCCTCAATCAGGCCCCTCTCCGCGTCATCCTCCCTCTCAAGCTGCAACTCCTCATCATCACTCTCCTCCTCATCAACAACAAAGTCATCGGCGGAAACACTAATCCCGCCTCCCCTCCAGCCGCCCCCGGTCTGCCCTCCGCGCGCCGTCTTCCCGACGCCCCCACCAATCAACCTTCCAAGAACAAGCCCGCGCGCAAACTCCTCGCCATCGAGCACGCCCCCGCCGCCGCGCAGCTTCACCTTCTGCCGGCGCCAGTAGATCCACGCGAACTCGATGTACAGCAGCGTCTGCACGATCCCGAAGAGCACCGCTACGGGCTCCTGGAACTGGTCTTTGGGGTCGAGCGCGCGTAAAATCCAGTTCGGGATGTATAGCGCGCGGTAGGAGCCCAGTGCCAGGAGGTAGTAGCTATTCAGCACTGTGGGCACGGAGGTGTGCGCGAGAAGGGTTAGTTGCGGTAAAACCGCGACGGACTCGAGGATCAGGCTGAAGTCCCGGAGCGTCTCAATTAGGAACCAGCTGCCGGCGCCGCGCGAGAAGAAGTATTGGAAGATTGGTGCGGAGACCGCGGAGCCGGCCAGGAGGTAGATCGCTAGTTTCCACTGCGATTCGGATTCGCGGGAGCGTGGGAAGACGCGCAGGAGGATGTAGACTGTGTACAAAGAGGAGAAGATGTAGGTTATCTTGAAGATCGTGTTGTACGGCTGCATGAACGGGGGCGTAAACAGCAGGTCGAGGTAGCGCGTGAAGAAGACGAGCGTGTACAGCGCTTGGGTTAGCAGCGAGACGCCTGGTGGAAAGTGGATGTTAGCATGATGCAGCACGGGAGGGGGTATGCGAGATCAGTCGGGCTCACCCTCGGCGCTGCGGTGCTTGTGGATCGTCACGAGCAGGATCGCCTTCGACGCGAGATGGCAGAAGTCGGCGGCGAGCCGGAAAAAGTTGAACAGCATGGTGGGTTTGGTGATTGTGGCCAGTCGGTGATGGGTGCGGTGGTGGTGGTGGAAGGTGGAGCTGTGCTGGGGAATGGATGGAGCTGACGCGGAGCTTAGGTGGAGGTGTTACACGTGGCTTTGGTGGGAGCCGCATGTGTGGCGCAGTGTGGCGGTGTGGCGTAACATGAGAGGAAACGAGTCGTGGATCATGTGTATAGAAAGCATAAGTCGCTATACTACCTCCGCCTTCCCATTCAACACATCACACATTATGTACTCGCAATACTTGTCCACATTATGATAGGCACCATTCCATAGCTTCATCATCATTTCCATCTCGGTTTCGATCACCATAAAATACACTCATCCCACTACAGCCTACACCCCTCCGCACCCACAGCCCATCCCATCCGCACTCAATAACCCCCCCACCCCACCCCCGCACCCGCCCCCACACCCGCGCCCATCCCCGCCCCAGCTCCCTGCACCGGCTCCTCCCACCCCAACGCGCCGACGGCATCGCCCGCTCCATTGCCAAAGAGTCCTGTCGGCAGTGCCAAATCGGGAAACAGCTGGAGGAACCACGCCTCGACGCCGTCTTCGCCGCCACCGGCGTCGCCGACATTGACAGTCTGCTCCTCGCCCGCATTGCCACTGAGCACGCGCAGCACGCCCGCAGCTTCCTTCACCGCCATTCGCTCGATCGCCTGCCGCCCCATGGCGGCCATCGCACCGGCGAAAAACCAGTACGTGCTCAGCTCCTCGAGGATGGAGCAGGCGCGCAGGAACGACGATTTGTATTCCGCGGTGTGGGGGGAGTCCGGGTCGGCGCGGAGGGCGGAGAAGAACGAGGTTAGTGCTAGCGAGACGGCGTACGGGACTACTGGAAGCGGGGGGAAGGGGTTGTTGTTTGGGGCGCTGAAGAGGGCGAGGATGGCGTGTGCTGAGGACATGCGCCGTGCGTAGGAGGCCGAGGTGTGGGTGGACACGAAGGAGGAGGCGAACGAGGAGCGGTAGGAGAGGATCGTGACGGCGTGGTAGAACAGCCGCAGGGTGTTGGCTGCTACGCCCGTGTCGCCGCCCGGCGGGAGGAGCGATTCGAGCGTTATCCATGGGCCTTCCCAGCCCGAGACCGTGTTGCCCGGTCGGTAGAGTTTGATGACGTCGGTGAGCACGTCGGCGATGGTCATTGCCGCAACGAAGAGCCCTCGCTCGCCCCATTGCTCCGGCGTGGGGACGGACACGTCTTCCCGTCGCACGCCGACGGGACGCCCGCACAGGCTGGCTTGCAGTGCGTCGAGCGCCCACAGTACCCACCACAGCCGCAGCTCCTCGCGGTTGATGACGCGCCGGTCCAGGTGCAGTCCTAGGGAGTAGGCGTGGTGCACGGCGGTGGAAAGGTGCAGGCTGGCGATTTCGTTCCCGCTCGGCCCCTCGGAGTGAAACGCCAGCAGCGCATGGATGCGCACCAGCGTCAGCCTCTCCCGCTCGACGCCCCCATGCAGCAGCGCCTCCACCTTGTCGGCCGTGCTCTGCGCAAAGCTCCGTGCCGACACCCCGGCGGGAAGGTAGCGAGCCGCATTCGGATATCGCGCGGAAACCATCAGCACCGCGTGCAGAAGCGGTATGCTGACGGTGCTCTTCGCGTGCTGATCGCGGAACACCGGTTCATCCAGTAGTGGCAGCAAAGGCTGCACACACTCGAAGAAGATACCGACGAGTGCTTCCCGCGCGCGTAACGTTGGCAACGAGAACGCGCCTATCGAGTCGAGGTAGGTGAGGTACGCTCGTGGCAGGTGAGGCGGTATGTGGGGATTATGCTGGTGCTGGCGGTGCTGCTGGTGGTGCTGCTGCTGGTGGTGCACATGCTGCTGCTGGTGGTGCTGGTGGTGCTGCGGCGGTGGCTGCGGCGACGTCGGCGAGGGAACCGCCCACACGCCGCATTCCGCGAGATCCCGTTGCTGCGGCACCGCCGCGGACGTCAGGAAAACGGACTCGGGGTTGAGGTCGCCCACGAAGCGCGGCCGAGTCGAGGCCTCGGGATGGTCACCCGGCGGCGTTGGCGGCGGCGGCGGCGGGGTGAGGGGCAGCAGCGGGTTAGGGTTCGGCGAGGGTGATGGGATCACGAGACTGGCGGTGGCGATGATTAGCGGCGACGACGACGACGATGGGGATCGGTACGGCATCCAAGAGTGGAGTATCTATATACCTGCATGCGATGCCATCCCGGGTGCAGCCGGCGCAGCGGTCATGGTTCTCGAAGGGGGGTTCGCAGCGGCGCTGGCCGGGGGAGGACAGTCAGCACAGCACCGAGACGGATCGGACGGAAGAACGAGCAGGCGGACGGAGACAGAAGAACTGTCAAGACGACGGAACGGAAGCTGACCGGGACAGCCCCGACGGGGGGGAGGGGCAGGAAGGGGCAGGAAAGGACAGGAGGGGGGCAGGCAAGACGGACAGACGTACGCGGCGTCGTTTGCACTGTTCGCAAGCGCGATGAGCGCGACGGCGTTTGCGGTAGGATTCGTTATTGGCGGCGAAAACGACGGTAGCCATCTTCTCTGGATGCGACTATGCGTGTTCCTCGCCTTCCGACACGCTTCTGTCTGGGATGGGGGGGGGAAGTTTTTTTTTTTTTTTCTTCCGTCCGTGGTGTGAAGTGCGGGGGAAGTTTTGTTGCTGGATGGGGAAGTAAATCTTCTGCACGTAGCCGGCGCTACGGGAAGCGGGCTGAGACGGTGTGTTCGACTGGTAGATTTGACCAAGTCAGTTGGGTCGGGGGCAAAGGCGGTGGGGGAGGGGTGGGGATTGTGATGGATTTGCTGTGGTCGGGATGGACGGGGACTGGGATGGGGGGGCGGGCAGCAGGAGGGGAGCGGGAGTGGTGGGGATTGCTTTGCATTGCCGCATCGGGCAACGCTTCCACAGCGGCTCAATCGATCACGTACGGAAATCGAGACGAGAGAGCCGAGACTCGAGAGGATGAGAGAGAATGTGTGTGCGCGCACTGTGCAGGCGATGTCCGTATGACGACCGAGGGCGAGGGATGTGCGAGATGGAGTGTGAATGGGTGCTGCAACGACGGTGGACGGCAATATGGGAAAAGACTCGTCCGTCCGCCCGTCCGCCCGGCCTAGAGTACTTCGGTATTGAGATACCGGTATGCGTGCCAGTAGAGTGCTGCTGCCGCGCCTGCATGCGTGGTTGAATGGCTGCTCTCCAGCGAGAAGAGAAGGTGGCGATGCTATTCAGAGGCGCATTCAATCTCTGCTCGCTTGTGCACCGGAGCGGTTTAGCCTATAATCGCCTCGGCGGTCGAGGCCACTTCACGCGTGCTCACTCGCCGTCCCGCACGTCACAGCCGGCGAGACAGAACGGATGCCTGAGTAAGTGTCTACGTAAGTGCTTGGCCGTGTATATTGCACGTACTCCAACTTCGGAGACGACATTGTGCGCGCCGCGGGGTATATTGGTGGACGGCGCCCATCTCGTTCTGCAGCCCCTTGTCCTTGTCTGCCTACTCTACACGAAGGGCACGAGCAGAGGAAGTAAGAGTGCAAAGTGGTTAGGTGGATACGCCGGTCATCTCTCATCTGACGCCTTCCCCCTATGCCAACCTTGAACCAGCCCACCACACCCATTCGGTGGGGAAACCTGCGTGTGGCACCCGTGAGCATAGATCACCCGATCAGGAAACGATTGTTCGCAGCTCGCAGGACAGGTTCTGGCCCGTGGCGAGCGGGACCAAGCAGCCATTTTCGTTCCGTACCACCACAGCGGAGCGAGGAAGTGCGTAGTTGCCGGATGGGAGGGCGAGCTGTGTCGCGAGGGCGGCTGAGCAGTGCGAAGTCTATAATAAGGGCGTCATCTGTCCACTGTCCAGTCCGTCCAACCCATCTGTTCCGAAAGCCCATCACCGGTCGATACCATACCCGTACCACGATGCTCTCAACCACTCGACTCTCGAACTCGGCCAGAGCGGCCGTCCGCACACGAAGACATGTCGGCACGATCGCAGCCGTTAACCACAGCCGCACCAAGGCGATGGGCGACATCAGCTCCGTCTTTCCATCGCTCAACGGCGCAAAAGCGCAGCCACTGCCACCGCGCTTCGCCGAGCTGAAGCGGAGTCTCGTTGCCGGACGGGAGAACGCAATCCAGGACTCGTGGCGACGACTACTGCCCGTCCTCGACCGAGAAATCGACGAGATCCGTGCCAAAGGGCCGAGTGTATGCCACCCACCGACCCAAACCACCCGCACCTACTGACAACCGCAGATCATCCCGTCGATCGACTTCTCCGCGCTCTCCTCGCCGCTCCCCGCCGCCACCCTCGCCGAGATCAAAGCGCGCGGCAGCGTCATCATCCGCAACGTCCTTCCACCGTCCCTCGCACTCTTCCTCAAGTCCTCATCGCAGGAATACATCCGGTCCAACGCCTCCTCCGTGCGCGCCTTCCCCGCGGCCTCCCCCGCCGTCTACGAGCTCTACTGGTCGCCCGCACAAGTCGCCGCGCGCTCGCACCCCAACATCCTCCGCACGCAATCCTTCCTCCAGAGCCTCTGGCACTCCTCGCCCAGCACTCCCATCTCCACGCAACACCCGCTCACCTACGCGGACCGCCTTCGCATCCGCCTCCCGGGCGACTCCGGCTTCGCTCTCGGCCCGCACGTGGACGGCGGCTCACTCGAGCGCTGGGAGGACCCCGTGTACCGGGCCAACTACTCTCGCATCCTGTCCGGGCAGTGGGAGTCGCACGACGCCTACGACGCCACGCACCGCGTGCGCGCAAACATGGATATGTACAATGGCGCGGGCGCCGCCAGCATGTTCCGGATGTGGCAGGGGTGGCTGTCGCTGTCGAACACGGCGCCGGGCGAGGGCACGCTGCGCTTGTTCCCCGCGCTGAAGGAGGCGACGGCATACTGGATGCTACGCCCGTTTATTGGCGAGGATGGACGGGTGGACCCGGCTCGCACGGGGTTCGAGGGCGCCGCGATGGGCGCGTGCCAGGAGCTTTCGTCCGATAACCACCCCGGGTTGAGGCTGCAGGAGGGAATGGTCTCGATCCCCGAAGTGGCGCCCGGTGATTTTGTCGCCTGGCATTGTGATGCGATTCATGCCGTTGATAAAACGCATGCGGGACGCGCGGATAGCAGCGTGTTTTATATCCCCGCCACCCCGCTGACCCCCGGGAATGTGGAGGCCCTCAGGAGGCAGAAGGATGCGGCGCTGGCGGGAGAGGTGCCCCCGGATTTTCCGGGCGCCGGGAATCCGGCTGTGGGGGAGGGGAAGTTTGTCGGGAAGGTGGATTGGGAGACGGCTGGGACTAGGGAGATGGGGATGGGGGGGGAGGGGTGGGAGGTGCAGGAGGACATGACGGAGGGCGCGAGGGAGGCGGTCTGGAGGGGGAATGAGATTATGGGATGGTAGTTTCCCGCCATCTCCGTAGCTGTGTATGTTTATGGTTTTTTTGAGCGGGCGTTTTTTTGTTGGAACCTATCTAGCTGGTTGGGGTAGGCAGTTTTCGGTCGGTCGGTTATAATTATTTTTCATCTGTCTACCCAAGTGCCTACTGCTACTGCTGCTTTCACTCGCGTATGTACGAGTGCGTGAGATCCGTGAGATCTGTCGCTTCAACCATGGTACCGTGTCGGCCTTGATCTAGGTATGTAGAGTACTAAGGTCGGATGCGATGGTGATTAGACAAGAAAATACATGATACCGTAAAGAGTGATTGCACCGAAGTACGCAACTACTAGTACCGCGATCTCGAGAAATCTCCGTGACATGTAAACCCAGTACCCACCGCAGAGAACTGTCGGAATGAACATTGCGGAGACGCCTCCATCTATTCCACACATATCTACGAAGGTATGCATCTGAAAATGCACCATCGGCCGGCCGGAACTCGTTTCCGCCCTCAGGAATCGAAATCAGGTGTAACGACTCACGAGCGAGGAATGCGCGAAAGTGAATGATGCGCTGCGGGGGAATACGAGGCTGAAGATCGACGTTTGAAGATCGACGCAGTCTGCAGGGTGATGTCACTGTGCTTCTCTACTCTGCTACTCTGCTACTCTGCGGGAAGATGCGGGGCGGTTCCGGGTGATCCCGCATCAGCGGTCACTCGGAGATGGGGTAGTGGGGTTGGTGGATCGGGTGGCGCCGGCACATGAGGACTCAGGAGTGGGTACGCTGTATACCCATTACCATGATCTACGGTAGATCGGGCGCATGCAAACAATGGAGAAACAAAACATGAAGATTATTTTCTGATTTCATCCTAGTAGGTAGCATTCGACCTTAGCAGATCATGGCTGTACCTATGCCGTACACACATCCGGTTCCACCCTACTGTTTCCGAACGCTGGCCACTGGCCGCGAGCTCGACGGGGTTCCCTATTGCTCTCTGCCCAGTCCGTCTACACACAGAAAGAGACAGAAAGAAAGATGGAAAGGAGACGTCAACAGGAAAAGGAAAACGCGCGCGACATGCCTCCAGTCTTTCAAATCCCCACATCGAAGTCCCTTCCCCCAACTAACTCCTCCAGCCAGTTTAACGCCTCATCGCTTTCCTCGGCACAGAACATGAGGAGTGGGACTGTGGGAGGGACTGGTTATGTAACTGACCATGATCTAGGGAGGTCGAATGCAGTGGTAATTGCAAAGAAGATGAAAAAAGAGGGCGGTGGGGGTCTTCCTACGCTGCATACGCTGCAGCTGGCGATGTCATATGACAGTGACGGAGTTGCATCGTGCATTCCAATCCGAGACTCCAGACTCACGACTCGAAACATAAAAAGCAAAAATGAGGGAAGAGGGTGTATAATTATATCTCCATGGCTTGGAACGGGCTGTGGCATCATGGTATGCGCTCAATGGAGAAAAGAAACAGAAGCACGAAACAAATCATACACTTTTCCCTATCCCTAGAGGAATGCCTTCCGTCTCCACAACCCGTCTCCACTGTCGATATCAATAGCGGCAACTTCCGGGGCGTCACCGTAGTCTTTGATGCAAGACGACGATAGTTCCAACCAGCTACTACACGCGGTGCAGCAAGGCTACACCAGCCGGAAAAGTTCATACCCGAAAGCGCGAGGAGAGGAACTCTTCGTCGAGTCTAGCCCCCTGCCCCCCTCCCCCGTGGCAACCAAAAGGCAAGTTCCATCGAGGCTTGCTCCTCCACTACACTCAACAGGCAAATTCCATCGCGGCTCCCTCCCCCACGGCACTCAACCATCGCGTTCCATCGCGGTTTGCTCCCCCACGCCCCCTCCCCCTCCACCAACAATCATAACTCCCCACCCCTCGACCGTGCCCACCCCACCCTTCCGCTCCCACTCCTCCCTCTCCCTGAGCACACCCCCCACAACAACTTGTCCGCTATACGCCCCCTCCCGTCCTCCCCAGCGGCGTTCAAACATCCTTCTGCCCTCATGCGTAACCACAAGCGCGCTCCACCTTCCTCCCGCCGCCAGCCCCAAGTCCTGCCGCACCACATCCCCAAACACTCCCCACTCCCTCCGCCAGCCATCCCACCGCTCCACATGCCACACGTGCACGCCGACCTCCGCCGCCGCAGCACCAGGCGCGGCGAACATGGAGGGTGTGAGCTCCCATTCCTTCAGTTCTCCCGAGGTCAGCAGGAGCCAGTATGGTAGCTGCAGTGGCAGCGAGACCGCGATGCCACTCGAGGGGTAGTATAGTGTGCTGCTGGGCGCAGTGGTGATCCAGCTGGTTAAAGTGGAAAGCGTGAGCGGGGAGGGGTAGATGCTGCTGTCCGAGGCGAGGAGGGCGGGGATTAGGGTGGGTGGGAGGGGGATGGGGAGAGGGCGCGCGGTGGTGGAAGTGGTCATCGAGAGTGGGTTCGGAGGTGGGAGGTGGGTTCGGAGGTGGGAGGTGGGTGGGAGGTGAGTGGTGGGTGCGAGTGCGAGTGCGAGGGATAAGTGCCTAGAGGAGCGGATGCAGCGTCGCGTCATGGCGGGTCACGTGATACAAGCTTGGAAGGAAATCTCCACAGGTGCGTGGATCGTGAGCTGCGGCTTCAATAGCGGTTTTGATTGCTGTTGACGATTCATTCACAGAAGCGATCGGAGCAGTCTGTGTTTTCCAAGCCTATCCGACTCGACTCGGTGCCGAGTGACGCTGAGTGGTGGAGCGCAGCACAATCTTGTGCATGCTCTTGTGCGAGCGAGCGACGAATGAGCTGCAGTACTACCTATTCCGACTTGCAGTTATTCAGAAGTCCCTCAAACGCTCAGGGTATGTGGTTACGTTCGATTGCCATTCACCCTTCACTCCTCCATTCCTTCCTTCCCACCTCGCGTACTCACCACCCATGCCTCTCAACCGACACCTCCCAGCACTGATCCACCCACCACCTTATGTACTGACACGCAACCACACTACATTGCCATCTTACACAACAACTAATCCCAACATCCACGCCGGATGGCCACAACCACACGTGACAAGTCATCCATATCAACCCGCTGCTCATCACTGCTCATCACTACTGCTCACGAGGTTTGTGGATCCGGTAAATACCTATCAATATGGCATTCGGAGATGAGGATCCACCGGCCACGGACACGGGCACGGACCCATAGGCCGGAGGACGGAGGACGGCTGACGGAGCACCGGCCGGCGGACTAAGGCGGCGCCGCCGAAGACATCGCCGCCGACCGAGAGTCTGCCGCCTTGTATCTATCTATATAGAGAGGTCGCGCTGTTCAGTGTTCGCGAAGTGGTTACTGTATCATTTAATTCAACAGTACCTACCTACCTACCGACGCGCAGTTAGCAGTCACGAGACCGCGAGTGTGCACCCGTTGCTGGGGTACCGATTATCGGTTGGGGCGGGGATTGGTTGGGGTTCGTGTACCTATAGGGGCTGAGGGGTGACTGAGCGCGAGGATTGGCCGGTTTTGGCTGTGAGGTCTCGGTCTTGGTTGCGGGTTGATTCGAACTTAGACGTCAGTGGATGATGTTCTTGCGAAGCGGGATGGGCGCAGGCGGGGAGCTTTCGGTGCTCGGGTTCGGTATGATAGGTAGGCCCTTCAATGCGCGGCATGAATGATCACTCACCATCTAACTCTCGGGCTCGGGAACTTCAGCGCGGACGAACGGAATATCATATATATCGATCTCTATCACCGGCGGTCATTTGTGTGTTTGTTTCGTCGTATTGACCGTACATACCTACCGCTATGGAGAACCACTGAGGCAGCCTCACCTGGGCGCCGGCCCCCGGGGGTGGAGGTGTGGAGCAGAGAAGATCACTCCCCCGCTCCCCCGGGAACCACCATTTTCCCCGAGTCCTCATCGATCGGTCGCACGGCGTAGTTAGCAGCGACGTATCCACATCCACATCCACATTCACATTCACATTCACACGAGACCCAGATCATCAAGTCAAGTCAGCCCAAGTCAGGTCTCAGTCCGTCACACCGTCACGGTCGCATCGCCCACCGACTCTGACTCTGACTCCAATTTCCAAGTCCTGCGCGCTTTCACAGGTCCTGGATCGCAGAGATTTCAAGTCACCGGTACCACTGATCCCCCCACCTGCATACATCACCAAGCAGCATCAGCTCCAGCTGGTGTGCATGTTTCAGTCGCCCTCGACGTTTGTTCGAATAAGCGAAGGCGGGCAGGACAGCCTGGACGGGATAATAAGTGTCGTATTAAGCATATAACGGTAGAACTGCTTGTATTTGCCTACCTTCTCCATGTATGTGTGTATGATACCTCTAACATCGAAATCACCATCACCATCACATCCTCGTCGCCCAGGCCATACCACGCCAGGCCCGTTCCCCCCCGTCCGTCCGGCATGTGCAAAGCCGAAAGGATGTGCAATAGTTACCCAGAAACTAAAGAACAGCACTTGCGCAGTTGTGCACCACTCAGCAGCTGTCAAAGTCGCTTATCGACCGATGTCTCAGTTGGCAGCTGCTAGTCAGTTGGATCAACGGCCATGCTACATGGAGCACAAAGCGAGGGGAGGGGTGGGGTGGGGTGGGTGGGGTGGGAGATCCTTAATTTCGCGAGGCGCCCGCGAACGCGAGCGAGCTTGGGGGATCGTGGAGTGTTGTGTTGGCGATCAGTCGGCGGTTAGGCACGCTGGTGGCAGGGCGGACCTGGCCAACTCTACTCTACTCTATGCTAACCGGGCGAAGGGCGAAGGGCGGGATCGCGGTTTTCAATGACAGATCAAATTATTGCAGCGATGCGATGGGATGACTGTACTAACAGTAGTCGATAGACTAGATCTATTAAATTTCATAATACGGCACGCGAGTTGAGGCGGGTGGCCGGAATGCAGTTAGCATGCGCCGTCACTCGATCTGAAGACCCCCTTGTTGCGCTCGCTTCGGTCACATGGCCCACCGCAAGATGATTAAACAGAAAAACAAAAACGAGACATATGGCCTGCGTAGTACGGAGCGTTGATCGGTCTCCTCTAGAGCACTCTAGCGAGCGCAACGTCGGTGGAAACTTGTGAGTGCCTGATTCTCCTTATGTCCGACGGAGGAATTGAAAACGGGTACAGGTATGTTTGTACTGTAATTCCGCTGCTTAAAGAGCACCGAAGCGCATGGCATCGATGAGATCACCTTTTATTGAGTGTAAAGCTGGCTTGATGGAGGCTGTTTCGGTGTGGGGAAAGTCGGCGGTACGGCTCTTACTGGAGCGAGCTACTATCACACTATTCAGAAAGAAGGGAAGGGTTTCCGGGCGAGTTGGCCGGAAATACATACGTGAGGCGCCTCATTCTGGCATTCTGCTGCGGGAATGGTGGGCACTGGGCGGTCTCATTCAGGTGGAGCTACCGTAGCGGCCTCGGGCTTGCGGAATGTGGAGTTCACAAGTGCGGAATGCTGGATGAGCGGTACCGTATCGATTACACACTTGGGTCTTGGGCGAACTTTTCAGTTTGATTAGGAAAGCAGTCGCGCTCAGCGCGTTGCGTACATAAGCATCAATGACCATTGACCAGCAGTGCTGCAGATCCGGCCGGCCGGGGTTGATTCCCCCCCGCCTGGCCGTGGTGTTGTCAGTTGATCTGCGGAACTCAGCCACAGCTTTTGCGCCACGAATCATCTGGCGATCCCGCTGTCACCGAAGCGATCGCGATAGGAGTGATAGCGAGGTGAAGTGTTCGTGGCTGTGCAATTAGCCTTGCCGAGACACCTCCGGTGTGGCGTATCCGCCACATGACGACGCCACACAGGCGCGATCTCGGCTCCGCGTCCGACGCCACCACAACGAAAGTGCACATGTTCTGTAGGCTGTCAGTGGTCACACCTCTCGGCTCTCTCACTCCTGCGATATGGTTCCGGATTCCGCACCAAACGGCGTTGACGACTTGACTCGACGCGTCGTTCTTCTGCATCTATTTTTATCGCGGATGATAGACATGGCCTGGCCGCATGGCAGCTCTTCGCCAATGGAACTGCTGTGGTGGCTGCCGATTATGCAGTGTTCAGTGATGACAGCCACACCAGGTTGCGAACAGAGTGGCGGACGCCGTCTGTGGACCGTCTGCCACCCAACGACGCGCATCGAATGATTCTTCTAGGAGATGGATTCTATTTACGGAAGCTGAGGATAATAGCAGCTACCTAGCCAGCTATGTACTATGGCATAATGGCACGAGACGACACGCTCTGCTCTTCAGAGTCTGTGGAGTTCTTGTGCTGGTGCGGTGGCGGTCGGAGGAAGTCTCTCTTTCCCACTCGTATGTACAGTTCGCGATCGAAAACCGGTATCGACTTGCTTTCCGGCGGCAGCGGCCCCGGGTCGGAGTCTTGAATTCCTGCTGACCGAAGCGAGTACTGCAGGTACCAGTACCTACTACCTCATGTAGGAGTCAAGTACTCGCTCGGCATGGACCAGTAGGCGCCCACGCACGTTGTCGTAGATCCTTCCCACCAAATCCCCGAAAAATCGTCAGGGGTAGGCGCCGCTGATTGGCCACGGACGCGCAGGGTGTAGACGCAGCTCACAATAGGTGCTTTTCCTAACCCCACACTGCCCACCATGTATCACGACACTGACGGCGGCGGCGGTCCACTCGTGTGGCGATATATCATATATGGGCGATTGGGTGCGCGCAAGCACCGCCGCAGCTGCTTCCTCAGCCCATCCGCTGGGCTTCTTTCCTTCGTTCTTTCTCTCGCTATCTTCTTCTTCTTGTTCTTCTTCTTGCCTTGTTTCCTTTATCATCTCGGTACCTGTTTGACGGTCTTTATCAACATCAACCCTCGTTTAATCTGGGCGATACGGTCCTTCTCCGCGCGCGCGCCTATCCATACACCCCACCAGCCCTGTCCGCCGACTCGCCCGCCCCTGTTAGGAGAGTAGTGGAATTTCTCTCCTTGATTGCACTGTTCTAGTTGCGGGCGCCCGAGGAAAGTGGGAATGCTGTGAAAACAACAACTGGAATGTCCTTTTGCATCGCCATCCCCCCTTACCTTCCAGCAATCCGTCCCCATCTGCCCCTAATCACAACCTAATGGACGACCGCGATCACTCTACCCCACACGTACACGCTCCTACATCTTCGATACGAAACTCTACACATCATGAAGATGCTCCCATCGCCCGGTGGTGGTGGTGGCGGCGGCGGCCACAGCCACAGCCACAGAATTCACATTGCCGTTCTCCTCATCCTGCTACACCTCGTCCTCGCCGCCGCAGAAGTCGGCTACGGTCCCGGATTCGACATCTGCGGCGACACCTGCCAGACATCGCTCCGCCTGTTCTGCACCGAGGGTCGCAGTCCACTTCAGCAGTCATCCTGCTGGTGCAGTAGCACCACCGCCGACGCTTCGGAATACACCAGTCGACTGGCGGCATGCTTGGCTACGTGCGATCCGGCCGTTGTTGGTCGCCAGAGGGAATTGTTGGGGCGGTATAAGGATATCGTTTGTGCCGGCGATGCGAGCGAGGACCCTGAGTTCGAGGAATACTATCGGGCACGGTTTGGTGCGTTTACGCCCGATGCGACGAATGCCGTGCCGCCGCCGGTGATGGTGACCACGACGGCGGCGGTGGTCCGTTCGTCGAGCACTGCGGCAGAGAGTTCGACACGGCCGAATGTACCAAATCTTAGTACGAGGACGAGGGTCTCGACTTTGAGTACGAGGACGAGGACGGGCTCGGTCGCCGCCAGCAGCACCTCAAAAGTCTCCTCCCGCAGCTCCGTAAGAGCTTCCACAACCGCTTCCGCCTCGACCACATCTGCCTCGACCACCTCAACCTCCACCACCACCACCAGCACCTTCGGATCCACCCAGTCCACATCATCAACGACCTCAACCACCGCAGCCTCATCCTCATTTGCCGCCGCCGCATCCTCCCTATCCACCGGCGCAATAGCCGGAATCGCTGTTGGCTCTCTCATCGCATTCACGATCCTCCTCCTGCTCGGCGCCTTCCTCGCCCGCCGCCAGAATTCCTCCACACAAGCTTCCAAGACCCCGTCCCCCGCGCCGCCCTCGCCGCCGCCGCCGCCCATGATCGCATCGCCGCTCAATGCAGCCGGCACCTGGCCGCCACCGAGCCAGATCCAGCGGCGCGTGTCGATCTACTACTCGCCGGACGACATCAACGCTGCCACGATCCCCATTCCGGCGGTGCGGGTGACGGCGCCGTCGCCCAGTCCTAGCGGGCGGAGCTACGGCTACGGCGGGGGAGGTGGAGGTGGAAGTGCAGGTGCAGGTGCCGGTGCCGGTGCGGGTGCAGGAAACGCGGTACGGAACAGTGCCGTGACCGAGTTTGAGGAGGACTGGAGCGGCAGTGGTAGTGGCAGCTCGGAGTGGACGGATGATGAGCGGCATCATGCTGAGAGTGTTAGTGAGTGTGAGAGTACCAGTGGTAGTGGTAGCGGGGAGGTGAACAGGTACTGGAATGTCGATCTCAGGGAGCAGGAGGAAAGGTATCCGTATGAGGTGCGGCAGCAGCGGCGGCTGCCCGGGCCGAGTGAGCAGTACGGGTATCGTTACGGGTACGGGAGGAGTTGGGGGGCGTAGATGGTATCTTCTTGGAGTTTTTTTCCTTGCGTTGGTGGTGGTTGTCTCTGCTTTTTTGTTTTCTGCTGCATCTGCATATTCTCGAGTTTTGTCTGCGGTTGGGCGTTGGGGGTTTTGCTTTTGCTTTTGCTTTGGTTGGGTTATGATCATGATCGGTGTACGCATACAGTGGTGATCCGTGGAGAGAAGAGGATTGTACGTTTAGTTGATGTGGGGGCTGGATATCTACAGTAATAGAGTAACAAGGAAAGAAACGGTTCTCCAATCTTGGGTCGGGGAAGTGCCATTCGCAGGGAATGATCCCGACAAGGACAACGACCGACTGGCGAATTGGCCCGAAATGGTTATCCAAAGCGGATCGAGAAGGGTCGGATGAAATGCCTGGATAACTTGTCGCCACCGGCTGAAACGTCGACTGCGTATAGAGTCCATCCTCGCTTGAACCCAGGAACTCGCAACGAGTTGAACCGCGATATCATGGCCATGTCCTCAACGCATGCCTGGAGTGCCTTACCACTACATCACAGGACCATTGGATGCCTCGCACCAGTGTTCTCCATCGTCCGGTCCGTCAGTCCTGAGCCTCGGACGAGGACGGACGGCGTGCCTCCCATCCGTACGAGCCTAGGACGTGATAGCTAAGGTTTTTTCAGGGGGCGAACGAGATATTCGGCGCAGGACGGCCGACGACGGCCGTCCGCTAAGCCTTGGCTGAAACCCCGATTTCGGGCGTGGACCTTGGTTGGCCGAGTGAGATATGGTGCCTGCAGCGCGGTGGTAAGGGCCGGGCGCCGCACCTTAGGCATCCTAGTTAGAATACTGCTACTTTTCACAGCTTGTGGAGCGGTAAGGGATAAACCGACGCGGTGATGTTGGAATCGGTGCTCAGAAATGTAGTTATTCACGTGACTTGGACGGTTGTCCTCCACCGTCGGTCGGACTGGGACCGATCCGTCTGTCCCAAGCTCGGACCTGACGGGGGATTTTTGCAACCGTCTGTCCTAGGCTAGGGACGTCCGGTATTTTGGCCGTCTGGACCGGACGATGGATAACACTGTCTTGCACTGTGCAAGGAGGGCGAGGTATGATGTGGTGGGGGACTCAGCACAAAAGTGTGCCGATGAACAAAAACGACGACGATGCTTCGGTGGCGTCGAAAAGGAGTGATGTGTACTATAATGTTTTCGTTCGGAGTGCTGATGTCGGTAGGATAATCACGTCCTCACACACAGGATGCGGGCGTTGAATGCAGAGTATGTAGCGGCCACCGGCGCACCGCAAACGCCCCATCTATGTAACAGTAAACATTACAACAGTGCCACGAAACATTTTCGATCGAAGGTGGATTGATTGCAAACCGATAGGAGGCGATGTATGTACTCATTTGCCCTGTGGTTGTTAATTGTTTTTTTTTAAAAAAAAAGTGGTGATCACCATGATCCACAAGCCCTACCGCGGCACCACTGTTTCATCCAATCTCAAAAATGATCTCGGGCTCCCTCAAGTGGAGGAGGGTGTTGAAGGGTTTTTCCGTGCCCTGCATGGCCTACTTCTGGCCGGGGGCAGGGTGCTTCAACGTCCTCACCAATCCTCCTGAAGGCCGCTTCCAGTGCCCACTGCTCAGGCAATGGTTGCGCACTGCGCATCGTAGGCTGTGCACGTGCCCCGTGTGGACCTTGATATGTTTCCGTGCCGAGATCCTCCCTTGTCCATCAAGAAATCTGGACCGTACGGGTTTTCAACCAGCCTATCGCATGGGCTTTGGCCGCGAGTTCGTCGTTCATCGTGACTGTGCCTTCGCCTCCCAAAATGGTGATGATGAGAGAGAGAGAGAGAGGAGGCCTCTCGGACAACCTCCCAAGTTCACTCCCTCCCCATGCTGCCCTAACTGGAAGCTACACTAAGTGCATCCGTTTCCTCTCGCCGACGTTGCACTCATCTGCGCATGGCTGTTGTTGAGCTGGGCTTCTGGGGGCCTCAGTCCGGACTCCAGCATGAGAGTGCCTTGGTTCGAGATTGGTGGTTCTCGTTTAATGTGTCCGAATCTTCAGGCACTTCGTAAACTCTTTGTTTGTTCATACCTGATTTAATTTGGGCTATGGCTTCACACCCCTCTTTTGTCAAGTGAGCTCTATCCCTCAACATAAAAACTACACGGCAAAAATCTTGATAGTTTACCTTTTTAGAACCTTGTAGAGGATAACGATCAAAAAAGGCTATCATAATATCAAGTATAGCTGATAGATTACTTACATGGATAGTGGAAGTAATCTACCCTCTCTTCTGTGTAGATTCCCACACCCTAGATACTCAATTATGTTTTCTGTCTCCCCCCTGGGGGATGGAGAGAAAAAAGGGAAAAACTTAATATCACGTGTGTGTTGTACTATTTCTATGTTTCTTCGTTTTCTTGGTCCAGAATGGAGGGCCAACGAGAAGTTTTGTGTGGTCATTTTGTTATTTTATACATATAGATATATAAAACAAAAATCCCGATAATGACTCGGACACCCGCTAAACGGACGGAATCAATTAAATTTATTCCGTGTCTTCCCCTTCCCCTTTGCTCCACCTTTCCCCAAAGGGGGTGGTGACATTACAGGGGAAGGTGAAGAGAAGGAGGGCCAAGACAGAATTAAAACTCCGGTAAGCATAGAATCATTTTTAGTTATAGCAATGAAAAGCAGGAGCAACCTTCACCATCTATGAACCCTACCAACTAATTCGGTGAAGTAGGGCGATACGGAATTTTCGTCGTATCATACGGAAGGGGGCTGCCCTAGTAAGGTAGACCTGTTAGCCGGGCCGGATACGTATCACAACCCGGCTACATAACTGGGGGACTCCTCACGCGAGGTATATAGTTGTTCCGTGAAATATTTTCTAGCGGTCGGCGCAGTCGCTACGAATCAGCCGCCCAACGCTAAACTTACAGGGATGGTGTGACTGTCACCTGTTGAAGAGTCGTCGCCCCGGCATATGTACACACCCTCGTCCGCCTAATACTATCGTCCGTCTAGCACGACTAGCATACCGACTAATGACCTTTAAATAACCCTACAAATTATAATGTTCAGATGTTTGCCGCAATTACTCGTCTCATAGTAAAATTATTCTAAAAGAAATTATTTACAACTCCCATGGCCTTTGCCTTTCGAAAATTTCCTTCGGTCGTAAATTAATTTACCAACAGTGCAACAGTTCCCTAAACTCCTTCATCCAAGTTCGAGACTCGCTGCTGGCGATGGCCTCCCATTTAGTTTTCCTCATACACAGCTGTTTCAGCCCATAAAATATAAGAGTAGGTATACCAACAGTTGCTAGACATCAGGTTAAAATTTTCGTTTCGGTTTTCAAGCGAAAATATAATATGAGAAGCGGAATAGGTAGTTCTTCTCGACTTCTGTGGCGATGGGCTGGCTTTTTCGCCGTGCAACTGGTTTCAAAATGGTAACTGTGGTAATTTTTGGTTTCGCCTTCGAGAATAACGGTAGGATGCAGTGCGATGAGTTGACCCGTCAATTCGACAGTAACCGGACACTGATCATTATCACGGACGCTGCTGATTCTGTGTTTATCGGATTATCATCGACTCATGGTTGGATACTGCTCCGTTCCGCTGTACACTCCTATTTTGAAACTCGTAGACACTGCACACCAACGGCCAAACTCCGTTGAACTGATCCACAGGTAAATCAACGGATTTATCTAACTGAAAGAGCTGCTTCTTTCAATACGACGCATGGTATGTGAGGGAAGTCATACCGGGGTTGAAATTATTTGGATATGGTGATAGTAGTAGGAATGGTTCGTGGTTACGTTACAGACACGAAAATCAGGGGTAAAAACTTTTCTTATCTCTCTCCGTCGTCGCGAATCGCGAGCCTCTTTGACGCCAATCGTGCAAGGTGCTTGTAGAAAGAATCATAACAAAAAATAGCCTCTCGCGTCATGATGTAAGCCCATATCTTCTCCTTCCCACCTTGACTTTTCAATTATCTGATTTCGTACACATCAACCACATTGCTTCTCAACAGCCAGTATTCCATCCTCCTTATTTTTTTATCCTCCAGCCCGACACCTGCCATGTCAAACTCGATTCCACTCGGATATTTTGCGGCCTCCGACGTATACGCTGAGGCTTGGCCCATGTGCATCACCGGAAGAGCCGACCCAGGCCAGTCCATTATTCCTGGCAAACGGCCCAGATGTTGGAAGTGTGAGAACGATCACAAGAAGGTAGGCAAGTATACGCATCTTCTAGCTCCACCGTGGCCACCCATCCCCCCCTCCACCCCCATACTACCACCAAAGCTGACCGTCCATCGCAATCAGTGCAAGTTCAACACGAACTCACGGAAGTGTGACCGTTGCACCGGTTTGAATATCGAGTGTTCGAACCAGCCACCCGATGGATGGACGCTTAACACAACGAAGAGATGTACGCAGTGTGCTCGCGGTCACCGCAGAGTATGTGTCTTCACACCGAGTCCAAAACCCGTCTGCCAAGTACATTATACTGACTCTTCGACGCAGTGCCGTTTCGCCGACGGAAACATGGGGCTTGGCGGTGAGTGCAAGCACTGTCGTATCCGCAGTCTTCCTTGCTCGGGACCCAGGCTCGAGGACGGTAGAAAGAAACGCAAGCTCAACCGAGCCGGCGGAGAGAACACCAAGCATCGAAACGGCCAGGAATTACATTGGATCACGGTATCTGAGGAGCGTGCGAGCATGATCGCCTCGACGATCCTACCGCCGGCAGTCGAGGCAGTGAGCGTCGGAAATGGTATTGCTGTCGGCGGTAGACAGTCCACCACGCCGGCACCCGGTCGCCCCGATTTCAACAATTATGGTACGGCGGTCTCGGACTTCTTTTCGGTAGTCGAAAACAGTCATGGAGACCCCCATCATCTGAGAGATTGTGTTGCGGCACTTGTATGGTACGGACTCGATACTGTTCTCCTGATTGAGTTGAAAGTTGACGAGTGGTATATTTAGTATCGGAGAACTACACTTCGCCGTAGCTAGTGCCACCAAAGTGATCAATGCTGGATCGGAGTCGCACATCTGGGCTCATTCTATGCCTAATGAGGACCAACTGTCGCAAATCTCCTACGCAATAGCGTTAGCTGAAAAATGCTCGAGAAATAAGCTACACATGGAAGCCAGATCGATTTACCAACAACTCCTCTCTAATATCGAGGCCTTTCGGAAGCTCCGACCATCTGCGATCGGTGAGTGCCACGACAGTTTGTGGATGTTGGAGACGATATTGTGGAAGCTCGCGGAGCTTTACGGCATTACCGGTAGTATCTGTGCCGCGGAAGCCACCTCGGAACGACTGATTCCAATGCTTGCTCCGACAAACCCCCGTAGAGTAGCGGCCGTGGAAAGGCTGGCTTATTATTACTCCTGTGCACGGGAGGCCGAAGAATCCGACGTGCCTGTCGCCTACCAACACGACAATCCACTACATCGTGCGGTTCACAGGAAGCAGCTGGATGTGGTGGAGTTCATTCTCCAGACCGACTTCCACTGGAAAGAATCCCGATCAGCCTGCATACGGCGGTCGCTGCATTCGCCCCAAGGATGCCTCTCGTCACCATGTCCAGACGATTACACGATCCTCGACAGGTTTGAGCGAGACATTCGACACCACGGCCTTTACACGAAGGACCTCCACGACTGGGCGCGATTCCTCGTCGAATCACGCGATCAGCTTTGGTGCAGATACGACTACCTGAAGACACCGTTAGATTTTACAGCGAAAAGACCCGGCGCCACATCTGTACGGAGCTCACTCGTTGGTACGAGCAACCACATCGTACAGAGAGACGATGGAGAAAATGAGCAATCGCTCATATCTACAGTGAGGCGAGAGGAGGAGGAGTGTGCCGAAGTTGAGGAACTGGGCTCAAGCCCGCTGTTGCTCACCACACCTTTTTTCATGGCATCCCTTTTTGAAGAGGTAGCAAGCGGAGGGGAGTAGGGAGAGGGAGCGGAAGATGTCTTTTCCTAGTGTTGTTTCCTTGGTGCGCTCTACTTTCGTTGCGGGGACAGGCCGAGGCGGTGGCAGGCAAAGCCACATCGGGCCACTCGATGAAAGTCGGGTCGGACAGTGGCGGGGAAACGGAGTGTGTACACATATTGGTATGATCTACTTAGGTTGCAAGCAAATACTGATCAAACAAACAAAATACATTAGCCACAGTTTCATTGCAGTCTCGAGCGGCGATCGCGTTTCGCTCATATGTGGCGACTTAGTTTGGGCCTAGGTATCCATGAGTTTTCAACGAGATACTGTATGGTGCGGTATGGTGGCCAGCAAATAGTAATGGTGCGATACGAAGCACGTCACAGATGCTTGCACTTCTTGCACATGAGCTGCAATCTTCCACGTGCTATCACTCGAGCGGCAGGTGCGGCACAGACGACTCTATAAATTCAGAATTTCATGCGAAGCCGAGAAATGAGTAATCCGGAATATTGGGCAGTGGGAACTATGGGATGCTGGTGTAATTGCTATTATGTACTAGATAACTAGATATTCGCCTATTGATCGCCATAGAACAAGCACGCAGCCATCATCGAGACACTTCACCAAGCGTCATGGCCAACCCACGTGCGCCAAATGCACACGCACCCTGCTTCACAATCTCACACTCTCCGGCGGCCCCAAGTAGCTGGGCCTCACTCCTCCCAAATCCATCACCACCTTCTGGAATACCACACTCGGCTCCAGCGCCCACAGCTTGAGCGTCTTCTTCCCCGGCGAGGTCATATTGTGCCTCGTGGTATGCTTCCAGACATTTCCATCGGCCACCATCTCCAGCCACCCATCCGGCATCGCGAGAGGTGTCTTCAGGTTCGGGATGTACTGCACCTCCTGTGGCGTCTCGTCGTCGAGGGCGATAGCGTATTTCAGCGGCCGGCCCGGTTGGTTGTTGAGCGCGCCGCCGAGATATACGGTTATGTTTGCGCCGTAGCTGGGCACGGTGAAGAGATGCAGATCATAGTCTAGCCGGGGCCCGGAGGCTGTGTCCTGCGTGTCGGCGGTCACGGGGAATATGGTCACCGCATCACCGGTGCGGCCGAGATTGGGGAGTGTGCTGTAGTGCACCTCGCCGTTGGAGGTATTTCGCGATGCATGGGACGCCTCGATGGAGACGTGCTTGTCGCTCTCGACGAACCCCGTGAAGCCCGTCGGCACGGCGGTCTTGTTGATCGGTAGGTTTACGGACGGCGCGCCGAAGTCGCCGTATGAGGCGGAAGACGTGATGTCGAGGAAGCCGATGTTGTAGCCTTCCGGAGCCGCGTCCCAATCCACCGATACGCGCACCGTGGTATCCGTGGCCGGGTCCTGGGGGTCGACAAACCCCGTTTTCGGCTGCACATGCACCCAAGAGTTGTGTGGCGTCACGTTGAAAAAGAAGGGCTCGGTACCGCGCGAGAAGATCTCGATTGTCCGGTAAGGTGTGGCGGCGAACGGATCCAGCGCTGGTAGAACCAGTGTATTGTTTCCGTAGGCGACGGTGTTATAGCGGTCGTCGCCGGGGACGGTTCCGTTCGAGCCCTCGATCGCAACGCCCATGTGTCCGGCCACCGACGCCACGCCAGCCTGAACCCACGCAAGCGGCGCCAGCGTGTTGCGCATTGGCTGCTGCCAGTAGTTGTAGCCCAGGTGCGGCTGGTCCATCATGTGGTTCCACTTTCCGCCCAACAAGCCGTTGTATTCGCGCGTCAGCACGGCGTCTTCGTCGAACTGCTTCATCACGTGCTGGGCGAGCGCATTGGCGCTGGTGCGCCGCTGGGACGCGTATAGGTTGTTGCGGCCGGTGGTGACGTGGATATCGTAGACCGTGTAGGCGGCCTTAGTGGGATGAAGTACCAGTTCGAAGAAGGTGGGGCGGTATGCGGCCGGGAGTGCTGAGTGCACCGCTTTTGCCCGCGCAGACAGGTTTCTCCATTGCGACAGCACCAGCTCGGCTTCGTGGTAATGGATGGGGCTGTACGTCGTAGAATCTACCAGCTCGTACTTGCGCCGTGCAGCGTAGGTGCCGTAGAGCGACATTATCGAGGCGATCTCGGCCGCGTGCGTGGTGCCGAACTCGCGTGCCGCCCATAGTGCCGTGTACGCATCCACCTCCTCGACTCCACCCCAGCGGTCGAAGTCGTAGGCGAGATTGAGAAAGTAGTCGATGGGAACTTCAAGTGGCTTGAGATCGCCGACATTTACCTACATCAACCGCTTGCTTTAGCTCTATGGACAAGGGGGGCACGGTAAAAAAGCGATCTCACCACCCAGATTTCGCGCGCACCCCTTTCATACGTCAAGTGTAGTTCATCTACAAAGCGGAAAGTATATTAGAAGGATTTTACAGTTGGAACGGGAAGTTTGTTCATGGATACTCACGGGCCGTCTTCGTCAATGAAACCGTGTTGATCCACTTGTAGTTCCGGGGGTCTCCGACATCTGGAGCTGTTTGTTAGATGCAGAAAGGCGGTGGCGGACATGGAAGGAACTGACAATCGAAATGGTAGTAGATCCCCGCCTGGTTATGAGTTTCGTTGGCCGACGGCAGTCTCCTCACGTTACCCCAGTTGTCATCTGTCCAAAGAAGGGTCACATTGTCTGGGACCCTCATGCCCGCCTCGTAGTATGCTTGAATCTGATCGCACCCATCAATGCCGGAATTTTCTACGAGATGGTGGTGGAGGAGGCTCACGTCTTTGTAGAGACACCAGACTTGCGGCACGGTAGCCACATCGTCTACTCCCAGTACATTCGCCAATATCTCCCGTTGGTCCTTGACAACCTTACTCAGTAGCTCCGTCACCACACCTTCCCCGAGATTATTGTCTCCATTCCCGCGCATTCCAATGGTCCATATGTTCTCATAATCCTTGGCGCGCTCGACGCCTTTCTGCCAGTACTTATAGATTTCCCCGGAATTGCTGGTGTAGTCCCAAGTGCCGTTGCCGAGCGTATTCCACTCCTTAGTCGACATCTGCAGCGGCTCGGTGTGCGACGTACTCATGACGATCCCGTACATATCCGCTGTCTTCTGGTTTAACGCGTCGTCGACGGCAAACATCGAGTCCCACATGGTGGGCCAGAGCAGATTCGCGCGCAGCCGTAGCAGCAGCTCGAACACCCTGCTGTAAAACTCATGGTTGTAGCCGGGGCCGTACTCGCCGCGCGGAAAGTTGTCGTTAACCCACCCGGTCAACGCCGGCTGCTCGTCGTTCAGGAAGATGCCGCGGTATTTGACCGACGGCTCGCCACGCTGCAATGTCGTTTTCAATGCGTACAGGGCCTTGTGTTGCTGCGGCGGCACGTCGGCCCAGTAGTACCATCTGCACGATCTGGTAAGCATCGGTCAGCATCCGACCGCAAATCTAGGGACTCACGGCGAAACTCCGATCTGCTCCGACACTTCGTAGACGCCGAAGATGGTACCGCGCTTGTCACTACCGGCAATCACTAGCGCGCGCGAGACTCCCGGAATTGGGTTGTCTACCAGCGTAGTCCGAAAGCTCTCCCATTTCCCGACGATCCCCGAGATATTCAGCTTCTTGTTCGCCACGAGCGAGTCGATGAGTGCGGACTCGCCAATGGTCCCGACGATGATCGCGGAAGTGCCGGCGGCGGCAGCGGCGGCTTTTCCGGTGGAGTTGGTGAGTGTTAATGTCATGTTGTGGCCCGTCACGCGGCCGAAGTCAGCCGCGAGGTCGTGGGCCGCTCGGATAACGGCAGGATAGTCTGTGAGGTTTTAGATGCGCGGGTTCCCTCAGGAGACGGGCACGGGAATAACCCACCGGTGCTGGAGACATGGATGCGGGCGACTGGGCGACTGTTCTCGACGAGCGTGAGCACTCCAGCTTGTTTGTTGGCTGATATTATCGACTTCTGGCCGAGGGCGGAGGAGAGGGTGACGAATAGTCCGGCTGCAGCGAGCAGCGGCTGGAGGTGAGGGAGCTTCATTTGGAGTGAATATCACTGAAGCCAACTCTGGAGGGATTGAGTAGCAGCAGCGGTGGACATATTTATCAGGTCAATGCGCCCTGGGAACACTGTCGGCGTAATCTGGGGAAATTATCCCGGCAATGCGGGAGCGCACCAGCGGGACTTCACAGTGATCGAGGTGGGGAACGTTGGAAGTGTCAGGGCAGACCGGGTTAGTGTACGGCAAAAAGGTGATCAACAGGGATATTAACCGGGGTAATAAAAACGGCTTGCAGGGAACCCGGGAAACCCTCCCGAAGATCCCGCACTATATATGGCGTTTTCCGTACGGAATCTAAGCAAGTCGGTATGTACCTAAGAAAGTCTGTGAAGCTAATGAAGCTGTCATATGCTATGAGAGACCACGAAGCGAAGAGCTGCACTGGCATGCGAGCGATACGACGCGAGCTCATTCTATGCCTGCCTGCCATACCAGTCATTTCCGGAGAAAGCTTCAAGATCCTCTCGGCTAGACGCAGTTCACAGCACATCCAACCGTGCCCCATAAGGCGAGATTTATGGCCCGGTTACCTGCTTGATAATCTCGGATCAATTCAAATAGGCTAAAGCTTGCCGATAACCCGAGGGCATGGAACCTCGGGGGAGGCGAGAGAAATCGAATTCTCCCGGCGGATGATCAGCCGTTGTGTGCGCCGAGTAATATGGACCGTCTAATCGTAGTATGTGTATACAGACGGCGCGGCGCCATTGCGAAATAAGCATAAGTAATGAGTCGATCGTTACGTTCCTGGGATCTGGTGTGTATGATTCTACTAGTGCGTGGCGCCAAAATAACACATCATCGTGGCTGCCACCAGCATTCCGTGCGGGGAACCATGTTTGTGGGGGGCGGACGTGTAATACGGCAGGAGAGGCGACCTCGAACAAGGCTACTACCTAGTTATCATCAGTACTATCTCACTTGTGCCGAATAATTGTGGGACACCCGCAACAGGTTCGGCCATTAGGACCCTTCGGGTATGATAAAATAGCAAGACGTGAAGATGTCGAAGGTAGAACGGCGATGAAGCAGGCAGCGGAAAAACATTAACACGTCGGGTTGATCATGTGCATCATCTGAGATCACTCGCCGAACGCCGAAACGTGCGGCAAAACTCTGTAGACTCCAAAGTAGAGGTCAGGGGACGCTGATAGGACGCGCGGAAGAACGACTTAACTCCGCACGAATGGATTGTCCGGTGAACTGAGATATCTACTAACTAGAGAGCGGTAGTGTAGAATATATTAGATAACTGGTATTGGTTTTAAACCCCTCGACTACACCGCCGCCACCAGCAGGCTGTCCGAACTGCAGATTCGCAGAAAATACTAGTAACAGTGATATGGCATACTACCACCACCGGTACCGCACTCCCCACACAGCAGAGGTTCTTAGGAGTAATGTGTTTACTACTGTTACCCGGTGCAGCGGCCGTACGGTATCTAAATCACAAAGCCATCAGCCTTCAGGTTGGTGACATCGAACCCTTTTTCATCCTTCGATGCCGTCTCTTCTGTCGATGATCTGGTTTAATGTCCTCGGGTATCAATAGACCGAGTGGGGACGGACGGATGTCGTGGGACGGACGGATAGGATGGGACGGAAGGATGTCGTGGGACAGACTGATAAGATGGGACAGACGGATATCGTGGGACTTGGTTTTTTGCTACTATGTATCTCCTTAAATACTCTCTCTGTTGTGCGCTCTCTTTTGTTCGGTATCTAGCAATCACATCTCCATCTTTATCTCACTCGTTCGTCTGCTCAGATCCGCTAGACAAAATCTTCCGGGCACGATAACAGACACGTCTTGTCCGCTTGTCTAGCTAATATAAATCTGTAAGTGTAGCCGGTGGAGCCGTAGAACGATGATAGTGGGAGGAGCAATGAGAGTTGAGATTGTTGAAGACCGAGGCTGGGTAGTAGTGGAATCGTTTAGATGTTGAGGATGTATGACACGCGAGCCAATAGGAAGGGTTGGTAAGGGGCGATTGGCAGTAGGGCACACATCAGTTGGGATTTCCAAGCCACCTAGTGGGGGTGGTGATGATATTTAATTTTGGCAGCAAGAGTGAAACACTAGATGTCACTCGGTACGTGACATGTGACACTGCTTTCCCTATTGGTATTTTGTGCAATCATCATTGCTTTCGGCCGCAGTAGAGCACGGCAGATTACATATATATCCTTTTTCACCCGCTGGCTGCGAGATCGATACTGATTCAAGGCTATTGCTCTTCGTCCTGCCCGCCCCGCGAGTCAACCCTCCTTATTCAACCATCTACCTAACCCGGCAGAAATAAAGACACAAAGAAAGCCAGAAAGAATGAAAGAAGGAAAGAGAGAATGAGTGAATCAATGAATAGAGGTAAATGTTAGTCCAGTTCTCGTCAGGGCTGCCAACCGTCCGTCCCGTCCGTCTTTAAGGTTGCCCGGCCCGGGACGGAATTAGTCGGGCAGAGGAGACCAAGGACTACAGTCTTCCGGGCTGGAGAAATGAGGACGAATACCCTACAGGGCCCGAAATTGACTGCAATACTAGGACAATGCAAGCGGCGTGGCGCCACACAGTGGTGCAGGTGTGCGGATGTGTGGCTATGCGGCTCCATTTCGCAGTGTCCCTCACGGTATAGAACTTTCACACCACCCCGTTCCTACTTCTACCAGTGTCTATCTCCTGAGCTCGATTGTTTGACGATGCTGAAAATTCTGCTCAAGGCTGAAAATTCTGTTGGTAGCTACCGCGCTATGTACTAGAGTCCTCCGCGAACTGGTAGTCAGCATAGCACGCTAGTGCTATCAGGTACCTATAGGTACCTGCCGGGTATCCGGGCATTTCATCTTCCGGACGGAATGGATCAGTCGTCTGGAAAGCCTGCCCGGTTTCTTGGTTTGTTGGTCGCTTCTTTGCGCGCTTCGGCGCTTCCAAATATCATTGTGCGTTTTTACAGTATGAATCTTTCTTGCTTTTGCAAACACTGTGAGTTCCCTGGTTCTTTACCATCATGACACCTATGTACGGCTCAGGCTTCCAGCAGAGATTATATTGAGTAAGCCCGTCGACATGTGTTCGAAAATACATGCTAATGGTCCTTCGGTTCAGGCCTGAGAATAGTCTAGTCGGACGGAAGACTATTGAGGCCGGCGACGCGGTCCCGTCAGGCCCCAGGGGCCAGGATTTGCCGGACTAGAGCAGTCCAGTCATAGGGACAAAAATCCCGGCGCCTGACGGGAGCCGTAGGTCCTCGAAATGTTGAGGTCATTCTCTAACTCCCCTCTCTCCATGTCAATTCTCCGTCTCTCGACCCGCTTGCCGGCCGGGAGAGGCATTGGCACAAGAGCCCTCGCAGAGCCACTCTGTTCTACATAACGAAGGCGGACTCAGATTTGATTCTAGATGACAACATCGGCAGACTACGGATGGTTCACGAGAAGTTTCACTTGGAAAAAAAACTTTTATTCTTGCTCCTGTTCCTCCCCCTTCCCCTCTCCCTTCCCCTTCAATCTCGCCACCGCAGGCCAGTCCAAGAACCGGTGGGAGGCCGGGACCACGATCTTGACCGAAATCGTGTCCTCAGGCACCTCCGCACTCGAGGCGACATGCATGATTCTCCTCCCGCCAGCGGGAGTGAGAACCATCCAGTACTTGATGGCCTTGGGCTGTTTCTTGGAGCGGCCCTTGGCGGCGGTAACCTCACCGCAGCCGCCGCAGCCACCACCACCACCACCACATTAATTTCTCGAGCCTCTGCGTTTCCTCCTATTAGCGTGCCGTTTTCCAGTTTTTGGTATCCGGGGCTTATGGAACTTACTTCCTGGGAACACGCCGAGCATATTTTCTGCTCGCCGGAAAAACACGGCGGCGTGGCCGTTGTTCGTGGTGGTCGCGGTTGTCGTGGTGGTCGTGGTGGTCGGGGTCGTAAGCTTCGGATTGGAGCCTGGAGGACCATCAGGCGGAGGCTTTAAATAGATTTGCACTGGATAGAATTATGTACCCAAAGACAAAAGCCATGCCGGCTAGAAATATCCTTATAATCACCACAGTCCTACTCAGTAGGGGGATAGATGTTGATGCACGATCTGAAGGTGAGGTGCGCACGCGAAGGTTTGAGTGGGCGATACGACCAGAAGATGGTAAGAAGAAGAAGAAGAAGTAGTGGTTATTGTTCTAGCTGAAGTTCTAGTTGTACTTATAGTCGTCCTAGACGAACTAAAACCTTCCCCGTGAACCGTGCACGAACCGTCATTCGATCAAACACGCTGCTCCGACAACAAAGGCCCTACGGGCCGCAACGCTCCCCCGCAGAGCGCGTTCCAAAACACAGAAAACAGAATCCAACGCATCAAACTGAAAACAGAAATAGAGACCCCATGAAAGAAACACAACCCGACTTCCCATAATCATCCCTTCATACCCAAGATCTGAACAAACGCTTCAATAGAGAACAGCGCCGACCCGACAGTGAACGAGTACGCAGCGCTGACCCGACAAGTGGGTGCCGGATCGGCCACCAAGGTGGCAAAGCAGCCGCTCTCAGGGGCCGCGAGCCCTGGGGACGTGGGCATCCCGGGAATGGTTTCGGGAGGATTAATCCATCTGGCCCAGACAATGAAACAGCCCCAAATAGTTACCTGAAAAAGTCAGCATGCTATTTTCCAGTTTTCATAATGGAACTTACTTCCTAGGAACACGCCGAGCAGATATTCTGCTCTGCCTCTGCGGCAACAAACCGCAGCAAAATGAACTTCGAAAACAGTGCCATCGTCGGATATCCACCTCCCACCACACCCTTCAGGTACGGGCGGTCAAAGCTCAGCATGTTGGTTAGAGGTGCTGTGGAGGCTTGGCCCCTTGTGGGGGTGGCTCGCGAGCCATCCATCTCCTCATCTCTTCATCCGCAATAAGTGGAAAAGCCGACCCGCCGCCAAATTGAGTGTGTGATTGCAGACCAGAACTAAATCCGGAAATGACCGAACGAAACCCGCTTTGACAACCACAGTATGAATCCCCAGATCGGCTGGGGTCTTGGAAATGGCGCCGGGTCGGTCTTGGTGCTTGACGCGAGGATGCCCCGGGGGGCAACGACAGTCGAGCGGATAGCCGGCGTTGCCCTCGCGGGCAACGAAAGTCCATCGGAAATCCGTTGCCTTCGGGTCCACACCGAGCAGACCTGACACCACATGGCCCAAGCCAAACGCCGGGTCATGCGGTGCTCCCAAAAACCACCGGCTGGTGGGTTGGGGATTCCATACCGAACGTGTCGGTTGATAACCTTCCGGGCGGCGGCCCGGAAGTGGATGTTACAATCCTCGAGAGTGGCGTGGGCATCGTGTGCCGGTTTGTATCGATCCTTTAGGTAGTGGTAGGTGAGGATGTTATGGAGTTGTGTTGGGAAGGAGTGTGAGAAAGGAGTGTAAGGAATAGCTGGCTATTCAAAAATATAATGTTTTTCAGAAAGTCGGACTTCGAGTGAACCGGCCGTAGTGAGCCGCTGTTTTAGTCCAGAAGTATCCCTGAAGCCACTGGTACTGCTAGTACTGCGAATAGTGGAACATACACCGGAGGTATCCGGGCTTCAAACCGCGAAGCCAGAAGCAGGTCGATTATTCGGCCGCGCGCAGTGCTCCGACACCCATCCACGCCATCGCCCGACGGTCGCCACGTGCATCCTTTCTACACCGATTTCGTACCGCTTCTGATCGATACTCGGGTACTCCTGATGCGAGTGGTTCCGAGGTGGACGACGTATGTACGCATGGTATATCACTCGCTCTGCTTCACGTGACGCACTGGAGATAGGCGTGGCAGAAGTTTGCGTTGGGGAGAGAGAGTGAAATCTTTAATTGATTTCGCTGTTCCGTATCTAGATTATGGAGCTAGGAGAGCCATCACACTTCTTTCCTGCTCACTCCGGTGGGCCGGAGATGAGACCCTCCTGCCGGCCGATACGATGTGGCGCCGCTGCCTACGGTCTACCAGACAAAACACACAGGTAGGAAGTCACAAGAACAGATGATCACATATAGTCGCTCCTCACCTCCCCACACAGCAGCACAGGCCGCAGACATACTATCCTGCTGGGCACTCTGGTTCTGCTTCCGATGCTTGCTTTCCCCTTCCTCCTCCTCGAAGTCAGTCGGAGCCTTCCTCCTCACATCCGTCGTTCCAAAAAAAAGATACGGTAGAGTGGGTAACCGGGATAGCCCGACTACTAGCTGGATCGAGGGACAACGAGGGTTGTCGGCTGCGGTGGAGAGCCATAAGATGGCTCCTCGAAGTTGAACAATAACCTCTTCATCTAGCTCCTCTCACCAACACATAATTTTGTTCGCCTTTGCCCCCGCTTGATGTACAAGGTATGCGTAAGTACCTATGTATTCCATTCAACTCCAAGTCCCCAAGTCCAAATCCAAATCCAAAAACCGAACACAACGCAAAAAAGGACAAAGCAATCCGTACGCCCTTTCCCGCTCCCCCGCCCCACCCCCCACTATGATATTACTATATTCTACCAAAAGACAAGACCTCACATACACCATGCACGCAACCCCACCTCGCATCAAACCCCCCTTGCAACCCCGCGCCAAAATCAAGAAGTCAAAACACAACCCCCACCACATCCCCCCTCCACCGACTCTTAAACAGCGGCCTATCGACCCTCGCCACAAGCAGAACCTGCCTTCCTCCCTCGCTTATGCCAAACGACACATCCCCCGCCCCCGCCCCCCCCCTCTCGAGCACCAACACCGGCAGCGCCACCGCGTGTCCCACCTGTGCCCCGGCGCCCGACAACTTGGCCACCCACACCGCGCCCCTCTCGGTCATCAGCGCTATTGCATTCTCTTGCCGCGCAACAGCACAGGCCCTCATCGCCGCCTGCGGCTGCATAATATCCAGCAGAGCCGGCCTCCTTGCTCCCGCTCCCGCCGAGCTGCGTGCTGCCAGAACAGCGGGCTGCGAGGACGCGCCGGTGGTGGCAATGATGTACCGTGTGCTCGGGAACAGCGCGGCGGAGGTGATCCCCGCTATGCCGTGGCCCAGGCCGTCGTTGATGGGGATTACGGTGCGGTGGCTGGGCGTGGCGGAGGCGTAGTGCAGCGGCCAGGTTAGAAGGTCGCCGCGCAGGGTGGACGTGCACAGCAGGTGGGTGGAACAGGTGGAGAAGCTGAGGGAGCCTGCAGCGCCGTGAGGTTGGGGCACTGAGGTGCCGAAGGAGAGTGTGCGCAGGTGGTGGAGGGGCAGGTGGCCAGGTGAGGGGATGGCTTCGTACAGGTGGATGCGCGTGCGCTTGTCGTGCAGGATGAGGCCGAGCGCAATGGTGGGAGGTGTTGTGGAGGTGAGCGCTACGGAGGTTAGTCGGAGCACGGGCTCCGGCTGGTAGTCGAAGTCGATCGTGCCTGAGGGCTGCGATGGAGTGGAGTGGTCGTAGATTTGCAGCTGGAGAATGTCAGCGAGTGAGATAGTGTGGAGGGGGGTGTTACACGCACCTGGTTGCGCGAGATGGCCACGACGAATTGGTCGTTGACAGCGGTGGCTACGAAGTCGGACTTCTTGGGCAGCTTTTGTTCGAGTTTCTGCGTCAATGACAGGGACAGTGTGGGATTCTCCTCGAGTGTTATCCCGTAGACGTCAAGATGATCTCGCGACAGAAATGCAACGCTGTGCCCGGTATTGGAGATTTGCGTACACACGGGTATCCCCTTCAGTTTGATCTCTGCCGGTTCGGTCCTGGTCATTCTTTCGAGCGGAAACGGTGGTGGGCTCTGCTGCCACACATACTCGTCGCTCTCGGCATACGAAGTAGCCGGACTCAGCGGCGGAAGTAGATTCGGGGACTGGAACGCGGGGAGCGTAAAATCCAATCGATAATCCTGCCGCAACACACCCGCACCTCCAGTAGCCATGCCCGGTCCCGTGCCCGCGCTCTGCATCGAATCGTGCGAGTACTCCCTGATCATATCGTGACTTTTCGTCGGCGGCGTCATCGGCGTGCGTGCCACCTGCTGCTCGTAATCATCCTTCGCACGCTTGATCTGCTCGAGATCAAGCTTCGCGAGGGAATTATCGATGAGCCTCTTCCGCTCCAGGATGCACTCGACATGGGTCGCCCACTCCTCGTGTCTTCGCTCACGCTCCATGCGGGAGTCGCCCTCGACCTCGGTCATGCGCTGATGCTGCAACAGCGTCCCGGCGGTATTTGCCGACGGCACCGGCGCCAGTATCGCGAACAGGATCTCGTAGGCCTTGAACTTGATCTCGCCGAACTTTGACTTCTGGCACGCCCAGACCAGGACATCCGTCAGCTGCGCGATCTGCTTTTCGCGGCTCGACCCGCCGCCAGCCATGTACCGCTCCACTAGCCGTCCGAGAAGGTACAGCAGTCCGTAGGTCATGTGCACGGAGGAGTCGGTGGCCTCCGTGCTAGGGAACAGCGCGGAGATCTTCCGCTTGGTGCTGCCTTGCGCGTTCAGATTGTTGATCCCGTCGCGAAGCTTGTTGCGCAGCAGCCCGATCATGTCGCTGCACGCGAGGCGGAACGCCGGGCTCGACCCCGCGTTGTGATATAATGACCACGAGATTATCACCATTGTCTGTATTGTCGTTAGCGATCGGTTCATACTAGAAACCGGAACCATGAGTGCTCACCACATGATGAAATCGATCAAACTCCCTGTGCCAGCTAGTGCCCCTATGGCTCAGCGGCTCCACGGCCAATCGCAGCAGTTTTATCGCCTCGGGCCCATTGTACTGATACGCCATTCCCGCCGCAAAAAAGATATTCATGATGCTGCTCGCCCACTTGGTGGCGACATTATCATCTCCGGGCAGATCGGCGAGCAAATTCTGTGCGTACCTCGCCATGAACTCGCAGTCGCCCTTATCCGCGGCGCCTCCCAAGCTCTTACTCAGGTCCTCCTGGAGGACACGCAGGTTCTCCCACAGTAGCTTTTCCGTGGCGGCGGTGAGGACCGGATTCCGCGCTGGCGCCTGTGCCTTCAGCAGCTGCAGCAGACTCAGCATCGATCCGAGCGCGCGCAGCTGGATCTCGCGCTCCATGAAGCAGTCGGGGGGAATCTGGTGTTTGACCTGCGGCGCGGAGAGGGCGAGCGCGCACCGCAGCGCCACTGACGCGATCAGTAGGCTGCTGTGCGCTTTGCCCTGGTCGCGGAGCGCCTGCGGTAGTCCGGACAGAACGTACACGATCTGTAGATCCCCGATCTGCATCAGCTGCCACGCTCGCCGGTACGTGTAGTCCCCGCCCTCGATCTTTTTGGTCATGCGCCCGACCACCGCGTTGATGTCTGGGTGTAGCCATAAAGCCGGCCACAGCTCGTCGACCGACGAGGAGTACGTGTTGGCTTGTCGCAGCGAGGACCGCCAGAGCTCCGCTTGGTCGGTGGTGAGCGGGAGGGTGGGGATGCATGGCTGCGCGGTCGCGGAGGTGCCTGCGCGGGGGAGACAGGTATTAGCTATAGGTGATCGCGGCTGACGGAGATCTGCAGGTACGGAGATATGGCTGCAGTTGGTTGTTGCGGGGGAGGGTACGTACCGCTCAGGTTGCTGGTGTTGCTGTCGACTCTGCGCCGCTTCTTCGTCAGGGCGCTCCCCGCCGGATCGCTGTCATATGCGGACTGCATATGGATACCGGTCGACGGGAGACTTTGCGATCCGTCAGTAACGCGACGGGCGGATTATTTATTCAGTTATATAACGCTGTTCTGGGATGGCCCGGCGGTTTCGACGATAGTTATGGTACGGTACGGGCGGAGATATTGTCGACGGGCAGGCACGGCGAGGCAGCGGCTCAGTAGTGTAATTTAGTTAGACCGGTACCGACCGCACGGACGGACGACGTCAGGACGGGATGGGATGGGATGGGCAGAACGATGGTGCGTGTAGGGTGTGTAGGGGAAGCGGGCCTCCAGGCTCCTAAGAGGAGGAGACGCGGGGTGTATTAAGCAAGGCAGACACCGAGTGTTTGTAGAGCCACCTGTTCCGGCCGTCGATGCAGCAGTGGCCGTTGCGGGCGGGAGAAGGGCCGTCCGTTGCCAGGGCCGTGGTAGATAGGCAGATGGCCGTGGCGCAGCACTCGCAGCCGAGTACAGGTGGAGTGCTATACTTTGCCTACGGATGGGCCAGACATCGTTTGCAGACTGCCGGCTGATTCGCTGCCTGATGGCAGGGGTGTCAGATCGGGAGTGGACTCGGTCATGAAACTGGAATACATAGACCCCAGGATACGGTAGAGCTTCGAAGTCCGTGGTACAGTTGGTGTTTTGGCCCACCACTCGCAGCCGGCACACGTGCGGTCCTATGTTTGTGAGTAGGATCGAAGCTCTGAAGAATAATGACGAGTCCCCGAGACAGAGAGGAGACGATTGGCAGGGGCGGCCCCTTTGCACCACCCGCGCTATCCGCAATGAAGCTAGCGCAATACCACCATCGCCAGCCTCCTTCCGCCGGTGCCACGCACAGGCTGGTTCCGAGTTGCGCGGCGCCAGCTCTCGGCTGCGGCGCATGAACAGTGGTCCGTGTGCCCGCTCGTCTCGTCTCGTCAAGCAGGGCTCGGGAGTCGGGAGTCGGGATTCCCCTTGATAACTAGTGAACGTCTGCGCGGCCGAGAGAGATTGCACGGCACCTGGATTAAGCGCACCATTCCAACGAACTTGCCAGTCTCTAGAAGCAGGTGAAGCCCGCTGCAACAGGCGGGAATGCTGACATCCAGATTCAGGAACAGCATCAAAGGGTGGTGCGGTACAGCAGGCAGAATAGAGATGGAGGGTGGATGCAATTGGTTCTATTGAGTAGTAGTCCCAATAGACACCGAGGATACGAATGCGAATCCGCTAGTGCGCCCCATCAATGATCAGTGCGCCTTTCCCGGTCACGTGCCGGGGCCCTCCTCACCCATGGACTCAGTCCCTGCAGTGCGTCGATCAGAGTGACGCCGATATGGCAGCCCACACTGCGAATGAGTACGACGGCTGGAGCGCAAGACTCGTTCCTCGATCCGTGTGTTCTATCAATAACCAGTACGCCCACCGCCATCAACAAAAATCAATAATATGCACACTCACAGTCTCCTTGAAAATAACACCTTCGCCCACTGCCCACAGCCCAGTGCCGAGTCGCCGGTATCTTCACCGCCTTCAGCCGCCCCACGTAGGAAGCTGTCGCCGCTGCGGGAACTAACGTGCTGCCTGCGCATGCCGGAGCGCGCATGTCAAAGACGCGCACGACTGGGGTAGCCAGCAGCGGGGGCTGGGGGGCTGTGTCACTGTCGAGTCGTTACCTTAGTAGGTACGCATGGGTTCAGGTCACGCAGTGCTGCCATCCTACCACTGGCCATGTTCTGCGACACCCCATCCACACCATCCATCCATACATATCTACCGCCCGTTCTCGCTCCTGTCGCTGTCCCTCCCATTTGCCCCAGAAAACCCCACAACTTCGCACCCACCTCCCCCACAGCTGCGAACACACCTCACCCCGATGAGCCATGAGCCATGAACCCATGAGCAACCCTAACACTCACACCCACACTCACCCTCCCACTCCCATGAACCCGCACATCCCCACGCACCCGCCCTGGACGTCCGCGCTCGTCCCGGAGCTGTCGCCGCACGCGGACCGGCGCGGCTCGGCCTACAGCGAGGGCGAAGGCAAGAGCGACGACGTCGAGATGGAGCCGCGCCCGCGCCCGCGCCCGCGCGTGCCGCCCGGCGCACGGAAGGGCCTCGGGACGCATTACGATTTGCGGCCGCTGCTTGTTAGGAGACATATTCTGGTATGTATTGTACTCTGTGCTAGGCGGGTTCGCTCCGTGTCCGTGTGCCCGGCGATTGGATACTGAATATTCCGGTGCAGATGATATCGCTCTCCGGCACGATCGGCATGGGCATTCTGATCGGCAGCGGACAGATCCTGCGGCTGTGCGGGTCCGCGGGCGCGCTGCTGTCATACCTGTTCACCGGGTTTATCCTGCACTGCGTCGTCTCGTCGCTCGGCGAGATGGTCTCGCTCATTCCCGAGTCTGGCGCGCTGATGAATTTTCCCACACGGTTCGTGGACGGCGCGCTCGGATGGACTGTCGGGATTGCGTACTGGTTCTGCTATTCGATGGGAGTGACGACGCTGGTCACGAGTACCGCTATTCTAGCGACCGGGTTTAATCCAGATGTGAGCCAGGGCTGGATTATTACTGGAGTTCTGGCGGTTGTTATTATTATTAATGTTTTTGGCATCCGTGTGTTCGGTGAGGTCGAGTATGTCATCGGGTTTTTGAAGGTGGTGCTACTGGTTGGGTTGATCATCTTGATGTTGTTTATCAATCGCGGCGCTGGGCCGAAGGGGAAGGTTCATGGCGTCGATTGTGAGTTCCGACTCCTGGTACATGTCAACGGGAGGCGCTAATGATTATCAGATTGGAAGGCTAAGTACCGCTTTTCGCCGAACTTTGGCGGTAAAGAAAACCTCGATGGTGACCTTGGCCGGTTCCTGTCTATCTGGAAGGGTATGACTCTGGCCGCCTTCGGATACATCGGTATCGAGATTGTCGCAGTCACCGCCAGCGAGGTATGTACCCAAGCCATTACGCTCTCTTCACCGTGGACGAAAGCAACTGACACCTTGTCTCCAGGCAAAATACCCGCGCGACGACCTCCCCCGCGCCACCAAACGCATCTTCTGGCTGACCTTCAGCCTGTACCTCGCCGCGATCTTCTCCGTCTCCCTCGCGGTGCCGTACACGGACGGCGGTCTCTCCAACCTCTTCGACCCACGCAACGCGACCGGCGACCTCTCGCCCTTCGTAATCGCAATCAAGAACGCGGGGATCACCTTCCTCCCCGGCTTCGTGAGCGCAGCCCTCATCTTCGCGAATATGAGCACAGCGAACACGTCCCTCTTCGTCGCGAGCCGGACGCTCTACGGCATGGCCGTCAAGCTCGACCACGACACGCACCCGGTGCTCTCCGTGTTCCGCCATACAACCAAAAATGGCGTCCCGCTCGCCGCCATCTTCGCGAGCTGCATCTTCGCGCCCCTCGCCTACCTCCAGTGCGGCGGTGGCAACGCGCAGGAGCTCCTCGGCGTCTTCTCCCAGATCGAAACTGTCGCCTGCCTCATCGTCTGGCTGTGCCAGTGTCTAGCGTTTATCCGGTTCTATCACGGATTGCAGACTGGGACCGCGCCGTACGATCGCGCGAGCGGCGATTATCCATACGCCTCCCCTGGCCAGCCCGCCGCCGCGTATATCGGCGCTGTGGGGTGCGCGCTGCTAATCCTGTTTAATGGCTTTGATGTGTTCATTTTCAGGCCGTTCAAGCAGGCGGATTTTTTGGCGGCGTATCTCGCGGTGTTTGTCTTTGTGCTCATCTATGCGGTTACGAAGCTGCTGGTCGTGAGGACGCCGATGGTGGGTGCCGCGGAGATGAGCTATAGTATTCATCGCGAGGCGTTTGATAGGACTAGGGTTAGGAGGAGGAGGGGCTGGGCGTGGGAGTTTGCGAGTTGGGTTTTTGGGTAGGCAGTAGGGGTTATCGGGGGACGGGGTGTTTTGGGGGTTTGGGTTTTGGGTTCAATTGGTTTTGTGGCGGGAATTTTTGGGGATTTGGGCCGCAAACCATGATACGATCATACGAATGAAGAGAATCTCATAGTGCGAATGGAGATAATCCATCATCGTGATCGGAACGCGCCGCAGACCCGAACAGTGGGCTGCCCGGGCGCCCATGGCCGAACCAACTCCGGCAACACCGGCCAGTCAGTCAATCAGTCACAGCCATCGCCGGAAGACAACGATGATGCTCAATATCGAACACATGTAGACAGTGCCGATATCACGATATCAGGATAGTAAGATACCAAGCTGCAGGTACCTACCCAGCAGCACTCCCAACTGCCGAGTCCCGATTCCCGAGTCCGGAGTCCCGATCTCCAACTCCCGAGTCCGGAGTCCCGAGTCCCGGCTCCGAGTTCGGAGTCCCGACATCATTACCGGTACCTACGTACCTACTTATCTACTTATCTATCGATAGTAGCAAGTACCCGTAGGCTGACCGCCGGTGAGTAGTTAGTTAGCAGCACGGCGTCTGCAGGCACAAGGTGCAAATCCTTTATTCCCGACCGGGGTGAGCGGCCGCGGGGGTATATAGTGGCGGGAGTAGCGGCGGGAGTAGCGGCACGTTGCAGCGGAGCTGCGGTGGCGGAGCCATCTCGCATCTCGGTACTTAACCGGGCCCCAGTCATCGCGTGCAGGTAGTTATGTAAACATATCATGCGAGCAGGACTGCGCTGTTGGAACTTGGAGCTTGGGCGGGCGCGCTGAGGGTTGGAGGATTGGGTTGTAGTTCTACATCCGATAAGTACTCACATAACCCCTGACGCAAAACGGACTTGGTTTCGGTCTCTCACGGGTCATGGGAGATGGTATACCGGCTTGGTGAACTGTGATGCCGTTGCCGTTGCCGTTACCGTTGTTGTATCCTGCGATTGTGTACGCCTCCATCCCCCGAACGCACTTTCGACACATCCGTCCACACGCCACCATGGGAAATCAGTCGTCCAGTGTACACCTAGTAGTAACGATCGCGAGATTTCTAGCAAGCCGATTGAACGTTCCTCGACTGCGGCGTGGATCATCGCTTCGGTATGTATGTGACCTTTTCATGCTCACGCGCGGAATGCCATGTCGCTCATGAGTGATGCGCAGCACTCCGCCGAAGAAGTCGTGAAGCGGCGGGAATCGAAAGAACCTTAGGGACGACGGAGGAATCTGCATATAATGTATGTAGACAGTCGCAAGGAGAGCACTGTGTGTAGCAGCAATCACAGCACACGGCTCGGGTCTGATGTAGTGTTCTCCATCGTCCGGACAGGACGGATAGCTAAAACGATTTTCCCGGACGGTCTGAGCCTGGGACGGACGGGTCGGTCCTCGTTCGACGACAGTGGACGACCGTCCATACCATGTGATAACATCCGGATCACTCGTCCCAATAAGGGCGTTCACTAGCCGTTTGCAGATATGCGAGCGAGATATCACGATATATTTTGTGTGGGGATCAACTACCTTTGGCCAGTACCGCGCACAGAGATGGGCAGTCCTCCTCTAGCTGTTACTACGAAAAGTAGCAGTATTCTGACTCGGACGCCTAAGCTGCGGCGCCCGGCCCCTGTCACAGCGCTAGAGGCATCATATCTCCCTTGGCCGCCAAGGCCACGCCCGAAATCAGGTGTTTACCCACGGCTTGCCGGATGGCCGTCCGTCTCGTCCGTCCGCCGAAGAAGCCTTGGCCGCCACGTCCTAGGTTTAGACGGACGGACCGGACGATAGAGAAGAGGCAAGCTACAAAACAGTTATCTTTCCACCTGTACTTCTATCTTCCTACCAATCCGCGTATCTATTTCAGGACATTTCACATAGAATGCCGAGGTTCTGGTCCGACGGGATAACATCTCTACATAGCGTACAAGCCCTATCAGCTCGGGGCTCGATAGTCCTGCGCGAGAGGTGCGAGCCGCTTCCTATCGACCTTTTCCGGGTGCCCTGCACAAGATGGCACTCGCCGGAACCATCACGTCGGGACCTCCGAGAGTCGGGAGTCATCCGGACGTCTCGGCTTCAGGCCTCCACACGCAGGTCTACGTCTTTCGCCGACATCCATCTTTCATGACAGCATATAATAGATTCGCTTGATGCTCTTACTCTGGGAGAAGTAGAGGATCCGATACAAAATAGGTATCGGCGATATGAGTAATCTTAACAGAGGTATGACAGAATGGTGCACCGAGACCCAGAGGCGGCGGTGCATTTTGACGCGGATACCTGCGCTCGCCGCTTCAAATAGCCACTTAGTATTGCTGTCGACAGTCATGCACGGAGCTCGGTGTAATCATTCGGGATCCAGTAGTCACATGCGAAACGAACGGTCGCGATGGGTAAAATCTCACATGACCGTCTTCAAGTGCCCAATTACAGGAATACGAGTACGCCCACCGCCGCGACACCGCGATGCTCACCACTAGTCCACCATGTTCGCCCCGCCCCAAGATAACAAGCAGTCTCCACCATCAATTTCGATGTTCTCTAACATCGTTTTCCCTCCGTCGTCCCTCAAACTTGCTTTCGCTCCTCCTATTCCACCTCTGCCTCCTTCTCCATTCCTACTTCCGTCTCCAATGTCGAGGATCATGAAACATGATCAAACATCATCAAGGCAAAACTGGTAAAAGGTCAACGATGACAAATAAACGACTAGCAACCAGAAAAAGACCCCACTTACCTCCTAGAGGCCAAGAAGAGCCTACAGTCGGTAACAGCTCCGAGAAAGAAAAGGGCCCTGAGCGAAAAGACTTACTTCCTGCGGAAATCAATCAGCCGTACGTTAGCACCACAGTACGACGCGCGGATGGGAACATATTACTTACCAGCTACCGTGTGTTAGCAACAGACCGATCAATTGTGGCGCAGACGGAATGAACCGAAAGAATGATACATACAAACTGAGACATCAGATACCTTTTATTAGCACCGACAAAGCAAAGAGGATCATAGAACAAGTCACGTACTTTCTAAGACGTAAAAGGCCAGGGGGAAAGGCAGATAGTATCAGTCAATGATCATCACGGCGAGGAGGTTCAATTACCGCCTGCGAAGAAAGTCAAGCCAATGTGAGCCAACCGCCGGGCACAGTGAACAGCATTCAAAGGAAGTGAGCTTACAATCTGCGCGAAACCGGAGCCCATATTTCAGTACTTTCCTACCGGCGTCACACATGCATGGTGCTTCAGTTCACTTACCTTCCGCGACGCAAAGAGAGGCGATGGTCAGATGAATGTCACGGGAGGTTCGGGTGATCAGGTTTTCTTACCTCCTGTATATTGGAAGGCCGGCCAAAAGTCAGCCATGTGGAAAGGCACGCCCAGTGATTTGGTTCACTTACCCACTGCAGAGCAAAGCGATCCGAAAGTCAGCCATGTGGAAAGGCACACCCAAGTGATGTGGTTCACTTACTTCCTGCAAAGCAAAGCGATCCGAAAGTCAGCCATGTGGAAAGGCACACCCAAGTGATGTGGTTCACTTACGCGCTGCAAAGCAAAGCGATCCGAAAGTCAGCCATGTGTAAAGGCACACCCAAGTGATGTGGTTCACTTACTTCCTGCAAAGCAAAGCGATCCGAAAGTCAGCCATGTGGAAAGGCACACCCAAGTGATTTGGTTCACTTACAATCTGCAAAGCAAAGCGATCCGAAAGTCAGCCATGTGGAAAGGCACACCCAAGTGATGTGGTTCACTTACGCGCTGCAAAGCAAAGCGATCCGAAAGTCAGCCATGTGTAAAGGCACACCCAAGTGATGTGGTTCACTTACTTCCTGCAAAGCAAAGCGATCCGAAAGTCAGCCATGTGGAAAGGCACAGCCAAGTGATTTGGTTCACGTACCGACTGCAGAGCAAAGCGATCCGAAAGTCAGCCATGTGTAAAGGCACACCCAAGTGATGTGGTTCACTTACTTCCTGCAAAGCAAAGCGATCCGAAAGTCAGCCATGTGGAAAGGCACACCCAAGTGATGTGGTTCACTTACTTCCTGCAAAGCAAAGCGATCCGAAAGTCAGCCATGTGGAAAGGCACACCCAAGTGATGTGGTTCACTTACTTCCTGCAAAGCAAAGCGATCCGAAAGTCAGCCATGTGGAAAGGCACACCCAAGTGATGTGGTTCACTTACTTCCTGCAAAGCAAAGCGATCCGAAAGTCAGCCATGTGGAAAGGCACACCCAAGTGATGTGGTTCACTTACTTCCTGCAAAGCAAAGCGATCCGAAAGTCAGCCATGTGGAAAGGCACACCCAAGTGATTTGGTTCACTTACAATCTGCAAAGCAAAGCGATCCGAAAGTCAGCCATGTGGAAAGGCACACCCAAGTGATTTGGTTCACGTACCGACTGCAGAGCAAAGCGATCCGAAAGTCAGCCATGTGGAAAGGCACACCCAAGTGATGTGGTTCACTTACTTCCTGCAAAGCAAAGCGATCCGAAAGTCAGCCATGTGGAAAGGCACACCCAAGTGATGTGGTTCACTTACTTCCTGCAAAGCAAAGCGATCCGAAAGTCAGCCATGTGGAAAGGCACACCCAAGTGATGTGGTTCACTTACTTCCTGCAAAGCAAAGCGATCCGAAAGTCAGCCATGTGGAAAGGCACACCCAAGTGATTTGGTTCACTTACAATCTGCAAAGCAAAGCGATCCGAAAGTCAGCCATGTGGAAAGGCACACCCAAGTGATTTGGTTCACGTACCGACTGCAGAGCAAAGCGATCCGAAAGTCAGCCATGTGGAAAGGCACACCCAAGTGATGTGGTTCACTTACGCGCTGCAAAGCAAAGCGATCCGAAAGTCAGCCATGTGGAAAGGCACACCCAAGTGATGTGGTTCACTTACTTCCTGCAAAGCAAAGCGATCCGAAAGTCAGCCATGTGGAAAGGCACACCCAAGTGATTTGGTTCACTTACGCGCTGCAAAGCAAAGCGATCCGAAAGTCAGCCATGTGGAAAGGCACAGCCAAGTGATGTGGTTCACTTACCCACTGCAAAGCAAAGCGATCCGAAAGTCAGCCATGTGGAAAGGCACACCCAAGTGATGTGGTTCACTTACGCGCTGCAAAGCAAAGCGATCCGAAAGTCAGCCATGTGTAAAGGCACACCCAAGTGATGTGGTTCACTTACTTCCTGCAAAGCAAAGCGATCCGAAAGTCAGCCATGTGGAAAGGCACACCCAAGTGATTTGGTTCACTTACAATCTGCAAAGCAAAGCGATCCGAAAGTCAGCCATGTGGAAAGGCACACCCAAGTGATGTGGTTCACTTACTTCCTGCAAAGCAAAGCGATCCGAAAGTCAGCCATGTGGAAAGGCACACCCAAGTGATTTGGTTCACTTACCCACTGCAAAGCAAAGCGATCCGAAAGTCAGCCATGTGGAAAGGCACACCCAAGTGATGTGGTTCACTTACGCGCTGCAAAGCAAAGCGATCCGAAAGTCAGCCATGTGTAAAGGCACACCCAAGTGATGTGGTTCACTTACTTCCTGCAAAGCAAAGCGATCCGAAAGTCAGCCATGTGGAAAGGCACACCCAAGTGATGTGGTTCACTTACTTCCTGCAAAGCAAAGCGATCCGAAAGTCAGCCATGTGGAAAGGCACACCCAAGTGATGTGGTTCACTTACTTCCTGCAAAGCAAAGCGATCCGAAAGTCAGCCATGTGGAAAGGCACACCCAAGTGATTTGGTTCACTTACAATCTGCAAAGCAAAGCGATCCGAAAGTCAGCCATGTGGAAAGGCACACCCAAGTGATGTGGTTCACTTACGCGCTGCAAAGCAAAGCGATCCGAAAGTCAGCCATGTGGAAAGGCACACCCAAGTGATGTGGTTCACTTACTTCCTGCAAAGCAAAGCGATCCGAAAGTCAGCCATGTGGAAAGGCACACCCAAGTGATTTGGTTCACTTACGCGCTGCAAAGCAAAGCGATCCGAAAGTCAGCCATGTGGAAAGGCACAGCCAAGTGATGTGGTTCACTTACCCACTGCAAAGCAAAGCGATCCGAAAGTCAGCCATGTGGAAAGGCACACCCAAGTGATGTGGTTCACTTACGCGCTGCAAAGCAAAGCGATCCGAAAGTCAGCCATGTGTAAAGGCACACCCAAGTGATGTGGTTCACTTACTTCCTGCAAAGCAAAGCGATCCGAAAGTCAGCCATGTGGAAAGGCACACCCAAGTGATTTGGTTCACTTACAATCTGCAAAGCAAAGCGATCCGAAAGTCAGCCATGTGGAAAGGCACACCCAAGTGATGTGGTTCACTTACTTCCTGCAAAGCAAAGCGATCCGAAAGTCAGCCATGTGGAAAGGCACACCCAAGTGATTTGGTTCACTTACCCACTGCAAAGCAAAGCGATCCGAAAGTCAGCCATGTGGAAAGGCACACCCAAGTGATGTGGTTCACTTACGCGCTGCAAAGCAAAGCGATCCGAAAGTCAGCCATGTGTAAAGGCACACCCAAGTGATTTGGTTCACTTACTTCCTGCAAAGCAAAGCGATCCGAAAGTCAGCCATGTGGAGAGGCACACCCAAGTGATTTGGTTCACTCACGGTCTTCGTTCCCCAGGAACCGACAATCAGTGATACACTCTTAATGTAGTAGACGGACCCTCATTATTTCATTTACCCACTTTATTGCAAAGTGGACCGAACGTTAGCCGTATAGTCTCTAGGAGCCAAAACAGGCCCATTCCTCGCACTCACTTTCTATTTTCGATGGGAAACTCAATGTTAGTCTTGTTTCCTTACTCAATCTAGGCTGAGTAATATGAGTGTCTACCCGCTACCATCACAAACAACCCCGAGGTCAGCTGTCCGTTATGTTTGCCGTGGGTAATGAGCATCTATCTCGCCCACTCACAAACTATCATAGTCGTTCGTCAGTGTCAGCACTGTCGTCGAAGAATAGCGAATTGCCATCAGCTTTACGTACATCCTGTTTCTCCCATCGTGCCCGAAGGTCAGTGCAGTCGAGAGTAAGGAAGGTATAACGATACGCATCATACCGTCTATGAGGCGCACAGCGCTCACTGTCAGCGGTACACCTCGACTGGAGGGGTGAAATAGGTCAGGTCACCCGCTGTGACAGAAACGGGATGAATGTCAGCGATCCCTCCCAGCGCTTGTAGGGAGGAGGAAGTGTTCATACTCGCTGTCGGAAAGTGGCCACGAATGTCAGTCTTTTATCAGAGAGACGCTTTTGCCAACTAGCAATTCTACTTACAGACTATGGCACGATATAAGCAAACTATTAGCTCTGGTTTCAGTCATGGAAAGGGAAAGACATCTGTTAACCTCTAAAAGGTTCCAATATTCACTTCCGAATAGAAAGACAATGGCTCCTCTGTTGAGCAGCAACATGATCACATTCCTATTTCGCTTTCGAACAGCCACATTCAAAGCATTGTTGTATAGGCTACGGCCACTGTTGACGTCTTCTCCCTGTTCTATTAGCAGCTCCACCACCGCATCCTGACCAATATATGATGCTACTGCAAGCCCACTCATGTTATCGAAGTTCCAATACTCACAGTTGCTCGCCATGTAAACTTGGAACCATGTCAGCAGCCGCCCCGACCCACTCGTGTAAACCTTCAACGCAATAGCGGAGAGTTTCTCATCCTCCCATATCTTGGCCTCTTGGACGTGAGCCGTCCAATTTTTAGCTGCATAATCTAAAAACACATGCCCTATGGTGTAGCCATCTATATCCGATCCCTGCGCTCGTAGTGCCAGAGGGTGGGTTTCAAAGACATTAAACAAGAGAAAATAAAGGCAACTCTTCGCGAGGGTGAGGTTTGATTCGATAGGACAAAGTGATTGCTTCCACGTGGTAATTTCCGTAGCAGATGTGGCGGTAGCTGTGCCCTTGATCAGGAACTCCTTCGCCGTTTGGTGGATAAGGTAGATCTTCGAGTCTATGACCTTCACGAAAAGTCCGCATGTGTTCTTCACCGTGCTTTCGAAGGAGTACAGGCGGCACGGCTGGAGGTCCTCGATTGATTTGTGATCCCGCTGAATCGCTTGTGCGATGTCCATCTCGTCGAGTGTGAGGGGTCGTGTAGCCGCGACGACTATTTGGAGAATCCGTTTGGCCTCTTCGCGGTCACAAATATCTTCAAGGATCTTTTCGTAGACGCTTTCGAGGTTACTCGGTAGGCTGTTGAGAGTTTGAAGGAATTTCCTCCGCGAAGCTGCTTGACTACCGTGGAGGATTTTGACAATCAGGGAAACCCACAGGAATGTATGATCGGCGCCCCGGATGAGCTTGTCTCGGATAATTATCCGGTCGTCATCAGTGAGGTGCCACACATTCCCCAGCAACTCAACTTCGGAATCGATGACACGCTCAATGTCTTCGCTGATGGCGGGTGTTTGCTCCTCCGCTTTCAATCTGATAAGTTGTGTACCGAATTGTTTTTCGATGGAGCCGTATGGGCGACTGGTGAGGATGAATTTTGGAAGCGTTTCGCCCGTGCTGCGCCCTGTGCCGATCGCTGGTGTGTAGCTGCTGACTAAAGAATCGATGAGGGACTTTCGAGTCGATTCTTCGCATTCATCCAAAGCGTCGATGATGCAAATGACATTGCCGCAGTCCGGGTCGGTGGTTGCTGCCCGGAAGATGCGCCACAGCGTACCGAATTGTTCTGTAAATTTCGCGCCCTTGTCGTTGTAATCTTTCAAGGAATGCCGGAGAAGGAATGGCTTCGCCGAAAAGAGCTGGTGGAGGAGGGCGGAAAGAGCCAATGTCGCAGATTTCTGTTCCTGATTGTCATCTTTGAAGAAGAAAAAGCAGACGGTGTCGCGAGGTTCCGAGTGGACACTCAGCTCGTCCACTAGAAATGCGGCCAGCATGGTTTTTCCGCATCCCGGATCTGCCGTCACCCATAGAAGACTCGAATCTTTTTCTTGCCAGTGCCGATACTTTTCGTGACGGAGAAACCATTCAAGCGTTCCATCCACTCGCTTAGGGTTTCTGTCCTTGTGGGATTCATAGTCGGAAGTGTAGAGACAGCGCAAACATTTCGACTCGGGGGCTAAAGCTCAAAGTTAGTTCCAGGAGGGTAGTAAAGTGTTTTTGATCGAGCAACGTCGCTTACTGTCGGAACTGCTAGCGAATTCCGGTTAGCCATCCTTAAATCCACTCTACTCGAACTAAGTAGAATATGCGATCTCCAAACGTAGTCCCGAGACTCACCCGTTGGAATAGAAGTTCTGCCCGCCATGAAACTCCCCTCCCCTAAACTCCAAGTGTGTGGTACCCTGGTACCTGCGACTAGAGTCTGTTGGGTGCGTGGACGGTGTCGCACCGGATAGCCTGACACTTGGCACTGGCGGAGGCGCTCGCGTATGGTGGTCGGATTTCTGGCGTTTTGACATCGGGAAGCAGTTGTTTTCGATAAAGTTGAAGAAGCAGTTGTTGTCGATAAAGTTGAAGTAAACCGTCCTTGAGCGAAGGGCGAATATTTGAAGGAACCAGGGATGCCCCGAATCCCCGCCTCGCAACCCTCTTTTAGGTTTTCGGCTGAGGTGACCCCGGTTTTCTGACAATAATTCTTTCTAGTCTGTGGGTGTGTATGGCGAAGACCTCTGACGAATGCCCGAGTCTCTAGATTGCCTCGTCGAGGGCATCAATGATTCACCTTTGCCGCAACAGTTATTGGCTTACCTATGTACGGAAGAACATCGGGTTCATGTGGCTTACCTAAAAGCACAGCGTGACTTGGCAGATGTGCTGGCGCCGTTACCGCATCCATCAGCAGCCTATCGGCAGCAATATGGAAGAGCAACAGCGTATGTAGAGTACTCTTTTCACCACCACTGATATCGATCATTCCTCGGACCATCGCGCCGTCCCGACTTCTATCAGCATCCTCGCCGCCACGTGTAGCAACTCGGGAGGTATATACGTTTGAAACCGGCCAGCTGGCCAGACGGGCCATTCACCATCGTCAACTGGTACAGCTGTCTCGTGTCCCACAGCACAGGGCGATGGCAGTGTTGGAGTGGTCGGTGGGGTGATACGTCTGTTTTTCGCAGCTTGAGCTATTCTTGACCACGGTAAACGCACCATGCAAGACAATCTTAGCCATCCGCGAGGTGAGCTATGCGGCATGCCATCGCTTAGCATGGCTTATGTGAAAATATATTTTCCTGAGCCCTCCCCCCCACTCAGTGATTTGACAAGAGCCACGAGCAGCCAATGGGGGTTGAATCCATCCGCTGCCGATATTGAACTTCTTAAAGATGTATTCTAGCTTCCCGCTCCTCCCTAGCGCAAGGGATCAACGATTACAACGGAACCACGCGATGAGAGGGTGACGGGTCATTATCGATTGCGGATAGCGCACTCCACGGCTCCCGGATGCCACGGTCCGTGATTCGGTGACGCGGTGCGGGGAGGTCGTCAAACAGACACACATCGTTGCGTCAGTGTCAATCTAGATTCTGCAATGGCGGAGTGGAGCACAAACATGCCGACATATGATAATAGTTACTCGGCTATTCACGGCGACAACGTGGCGGTGACGTTCAACTAGAGTACCCCCATCCGTCCATGCGGCGTTCAATGGCCCCGCCCCGTGAAAGAGTGACATCTGTCTTGTGCTTGTAGAATTTATGCATGATTGCAAGACAAAATCAATTTCAACCGCACCACGTTAGTCGGCAAGATCGATAGCTTATTCTCCTACATATGTACCGCTATGAGCTCGCGATTGCTCACACATTTTTACTTACGTAACAGTATCTGTACGACTTAGTCCCAGTACTTTGGAGGACCGCAAGCAGATGTCGCTTCACGTTCTCATATGTATGGTTCTCGAAATCAGGACATCGTATTTAGTAGAGTACATAGAGTAATATGTATCAGCCCCCTGCGTAGGCATCTAGATGGGCAGCTCAGTGTTCTACATAGACCAGACCGGTGGGCCGAGCGGTCTAAGTCAGTCGGGATATATCGCGACCAGACAGTGGCTTTGATAGGTCGGGATAAAATCAAGCAGATCCGACCAGACCTTGCCCGGCTCGGTTGGCCTAGGTCGGCCGACGTTGGGTTAACTGTTAATTCTATCAGCTGCAAATGTTTTCTTAGTTTCTACCGGTTGTTAGAGCTTTTCCGACGTTAAATGTTATTTCTTAGTCAGACTTGTCCCAACCTATGCCTGGTCGGTCGTGATATATCCCGACCCAATCAGACCATACCCAAATTTCGTCGGGACTGGTCTACGGAGAACACTGGATTGGCTTCAGTTGAAACTTCTCGCAGGCAACGTCACCTTCTCTGAAGGCCTTCAAGTCGATCCTTGCGCGGACCTTCCCCCTCAGCCTCAGATAGTCCCGGCCGTTCCGATTGCGAAACCCCTATGCGAGTATCGATACCTATTAGAGCGCCGCTCTCGCAAAGCTTCTGAACTCAGCTGCAGGCCACCCGGGCCCCGAGGCGATCGTTACCTGATCAGGTCTGGAGATGGTGTCCTTGTGCCTACTCAACTAGGATGGTCTCCATTAGGTTGCCTATGAACGCTTATGAAATCTAATCGTATGTATCTGAAAATTGGGATTGTCACCGAGAAATGGAAAACGGCGTTTGTAATTAAGGTGAACTGAGAGCCTTGGGCGGGTTGGTTAAATTGTGAGACATACGTGTCAGCGCGTTTATGGTAAAACGTTCGCGTCGGTGATGGTGGTTACTTGACTTGGCTGAATCAGGCCTACCCCGCAATACCGTCATATCTCACTCACGAGGTAATATGTACAACCAGGATATCGCCGCCGGCGTCCAGGTTCATGGCATGCATGCAACCTCCCTCGGTGACATGACCTTCGCTATGTACGGAGCTCGCCGGTCGCGTAAATTGGAGCATCGTCTTCAGCCGCACTGCCACGTTCGTGATCTGCGTTTGCACCGTAGTGCACACTTGAACACCATCCCCCGGCTATCGGAAACTTCCCGGATCTTCATTCGGGCTGTATTGATGTCCGTACCGGCCGAGGATACTTTGACGACTTCGAGAAACCTCTACAATTCAATGCCCACGAAATCGTGGACGAAGACAATGCGATTCATATCGGGAAGATCTTCCCTTTTTTGCAGACTTTGTGGCTGTTGGTTCAATCTCTTCAGTATCGAGGCAGCACCCCCGATGAAGAAACCGCCCTTAACTTGAGTTTATTCTGTTAGAATTTCATATTCTGAACTTCGGATACAGGTAGCTTGCACAATGCTCATCTTTTTGTGCTGGTGGCGGAAGCCAACGGACTTCAACGAGCTCGGTCGCCTTGACCTCAAGAAGAGGGTCTAACCGAACCGTTGCCAGCCGCCAGCCTCACTCGGCGATGCAACAGACGGATGACGGATGACGTGACTCCGCACCTGTCTCCGACGGCTACACCCATTCTTGCTGATTTCGGTGAGGAGATTCCGTTGCATTCAATCCGTCATCTCAGCGAAGAAGGGCTACTAGTCGTGATTGATGATGGAGGCGGTCGGCATTGCTGGGCATAACCAGGTTCCTCATCAGCAGGAACACATTGCCGTATCACGGCCGCCGCCGGAGCCGATCCGCCACATCCGACAGAGCCGTCCATAAAATCGTGGTTTACGTGATTTACAACACCTCCCTCATTGGCCGGACTAGATACAGCAACTCTCTACCAGATTCCAAACAATGCCAACAGAAGGCGAGGCTACTACACAGTCTGCAACTTCGTCAGGAGAATTCTCGTACTATGTTCATCGTAGGGCTATGATGCATAATCGTCATCGCTGGGCTCTATATGGCGGCTTAAAACCTGGAATTTCGGACTCAAATGGAACGGCATTTATGGAGACTGACTTGCGTCGGAACGGCAGTTTTCGCGATTGCCGTTATTCTTTACGTTACGAGGAGTTTTTACCACAGCGATTTGATGGAGATGCTCTGCCACAACGGCTTGGTCAGTTACACCTTGCGATAGGATTGTTTTCTTTTCTTTTTAAGCGATCACTTATCGATACAATGCGCCAGAAGTCAGTGCTCGGCCGCCTCATCGTTCGTTGACTGCTGCCCCTTCGGCGACCACGCAGGAACCCGAAACATCGCATGTGATCATCGAATACACGGAACTCGAAGTGTAGTGGACCGAGGTCTAAGCCTCGCACGTCCAAATGATCTTGCATGTTTGTCCGAAGGTTCCCTGTCTCCTGTTGCTGGCCGGGTATCTAGTGGTCTGTAACGTATTCATCACCGGGAAGGGGTATAGAAACCTGCGGACTCCTGAGACTCAACGGGAATTTTTTTATATCGCGATGGACCGACTACGGGCCCCATGTTTGAAGCTATCTGAGCAGTCAATGTACCTATAAGGGTAAGTTATGCGGGCTTCGGTCGTTTCTTGCGTTGCTGTTCGTGGTTATCGCGATCCAGATTCCATAGTAGTTAGGTAGTTGCCACTTGCAAGTCTTCATCCCAGATACTCTAGATCCCTAGTACATACCGCAGCCGTAGATAACGCCGAGCAGTGAAATAAGAAAGAGAAACTGTAAAGAAGCACCACCAGTGAATGTTTTCTCTACACAGTATTGCGATACAGTTACAGGGTTGCGCCACGCTTCGGCCTCCCAGCGTCCTATCATATTCATGGGTTCCCCGCTTATATTTCACGCGAGTGCTCACTCTCTGGCAATTCTTGGTACGTGCGCAGCACCGGCCAGCCGGCTGGCCCCAAGGTCTGTAGATGTTGCGCAGCAGTAACTAGCGCGGCATAATACAATAGGAATTCCCAAACGCCTATTAGTTCTATGTATGACAGTCGCCCGATTGTGCTCAAGATCAAAGTGAGGGGAAGCCTGACTGGAAACGCGTCGACACACAACCCCGCAAACCGCGAACTGAGCCTCTGCAGCTCCATACGGCGACGATCTTTCATTCAAAATCTTGACCAATTAGCGACTACACAGCTACATCGGTCATCCATCGCCGGCGAAACGCATCGTGATCGTTTCACGAAAATGGCTCCCGGCACGGCCAGGAAACGAGATCGATTACGCGCGGCTTTGAAAATCGGACGATCGAAGTCGCCAGCCGTAAGCGCACATTCACCGGTGGGACTACACTTCACGTTAGCAGCTTCCCCGACCAGAGTACCTTCGCCCTCGACTCAACAGCTTGTCCCGTCGACAGGATCCTCGGCAGAGCCGCAATCGGGGGGTGCAACCGACGACGCAGCCCTCTGATCCGTCAAGTCAGCCCGGGCTAACATCCTTAACGGCGGCGGCAGACACGGTGGCCGCGGCGAATGCAGCTATTGCGCAGGACTCGGCCACCTCGAAGGACACTGCTCCGGTGACGGATACGATGGCGGACACAGACACGGCAGACACGGCTACGGCAGACCCGGTGGCCGTAGCGAATGCAGCGATTACGCAAAACACGAGGATGGTGACGCACACGACGACGACGGACACGGTAATCACAGCGAATGCAGCGATTGCGCAGGACATGGCGACGCCGAAGCGTACGGCGATGTCGAAGGATACGCCCCCGGTGACGAATGCGACACAGGACACGGCCATGTCAAATGACACGGCTCCGGTGGTCGATGCGACACACGTGCAGAATGGAAACGAAGACGAACCGACATCGACGGCTGGCGGTGGCGATGCCCCATCGTTGTGGAGTAGGGCTTTCAACAGCGGTGAGCTGTCTGCGCACGAGTGCCGAGCGCTTTCGGGTATTCGCATCGACACCGACACCCGTCAGATTGCGGCCGCTTTGGGGACCATGACGAATGGGATTATGGAGGAAAGAAAAGGAAAGGATCGGAAGATTCGGTTCAAAGGCGATGATATTGTCTTGAGAGATATTGCCATGAAGATCGGGCGGTGGATTCAGAGATTCAAGGACATCGGGGACATTGTCGTCCAATACGACCCCGGACACGCTGCGCTGCCGTGGGCGGGCTTCCGATTCCTGCTGCAGGTGAAATTTGGTTTCAACCACTTGCGATTAAAGAAACCCGCTGACGATAAACCCAACAGCTTTGCTTGGATAAGCAGGAAACGGTAGACGCGATCCTGGTGGGACTTGAGAAGAGTGTCTGCATCACCGATTGGTGCGCGATCTACGAGCATCTCTATCTAAACAAAACAACGGAGGCTTCTCAAAACCTAGAGAAGTCAATACTCCGGCTGTACACGGCAATCTTGAAATTCCTGGCCAAGTCCATAGTGAGATTGAAAGGGGCATAGTATTCTTTGCGGACAGTAGCCGTTGGAGGAGCCACCGCTAATCCTTCCTTAGACAACCACCTCGAGGCGGTATTCACGACAGGGGAAACCTCCAACTACATTAATGATGTCAAGGACTTGGAGGAAGCGGTTGCACGCGATGCTTGTGTTGCCGAAGCTCAATGTACGTATAACCCAGTTCTGGTCAGCCTCACGAACCATTCAAATTTTGACGCGATTCAGCTACGCGGATAAGGTTCGAGAGACTTCAGACGCTGCTGGAGGACTCCGAAGACATGAAGTCATCACGGCTTGGACCTCAAATCGATAACATGCAGCGAACACTTGCGGGTACGAAAGCGAGCCGATTCCCCACAGTGTAGTTACGCCTGTACTCACCTTTTCACTCTATTCTAGTGACTCGGAGGTGCAATGCATATCCACTGTCCCTTACTCAAGTCACCATACGCGAACCAGTGAAACCCGCTTGGAAGGCACTTGCGAATGGCTTTTTGAGAGGAGGGAGCACTGCGAGTGGAGATCATCCAGTATTTCCAAGCTGCTGCTCTTACGGGCATTCGTAAGTGTTGATTCCCTTTTGCCGGATGTCTTGACTCACCGGTCGTTTAGCTTGAGCGGGCGAGACATACATCGCATCACGCGTTATCGATTCCTTTGTTTCCAGTCCAACCCCCGAGAGACTAGCATACTTCTACCTCAATCGAGCCGAGGATAATCGCCGAAATCCGGAAAGTATTCTCATTACTCTCATTCAACAACTCGCCCGGACTGGGTCCGGAGAGGACACACTCTTGAAGCCGGTGGTTCATGTCAACGAGGAGAGGGAGAAAAATGGGCAAAAAAAAGCAAGACTAAGCCTTGCAGAAAGCCGGGAGCTTCTTGTTTGACTAACCTACATATATTTGAAGACGGCAATTTGCATTGATGCCTTGGACGAAGTCGATAGCAAAGTCCGGATAGATTTACTCAAGTCGTTGAAGTATGTCGTCGAAAAATCGAAGAATTTCGTCAAGATCTTTGCAACCACCCGAATGGACACTGATATTCTGCTGCAGCTTGCGATGTTTCCCCGCATCGAGTTGCAACCTGATGACAATGTCGGCGACATCAACGAGTTTATAGAAAGCAATGTTCAGATGGCCATTGACGAGGAGTGACTAGTCCATGGTGTCCTGGGCTCCAAGCCGATATATGCAACCTCCTTCGTCAGCGATCCAAGGGAATGTACGTTTACCGTAACTACTCCAGTCACTTATAAGCGGAGAAACTGACGGTTCAGGTTACAACTAGCCGCACTTCAGATCGCCTTTCTCTGCGATATGGCCACGCAAAACGACGTAAGACCCAGTCTCAAGGTGCTACCGGAAATCCTCACCGCTGCGTACGACGAAACCTCCCAGCGCATTCTCACGCAGAAAGGCAGCGCTTCGCGGTTTGCACTAAATGCGTCCCGGGGGATTCAGTCTTCCCACGAGCTGATTTAATGCAAAACCTTGCTCGATGCGATCATGGCGGAGGTCGACTGCCGGGGTGGCTTTTCGCACGATCTGTCGGTTAATGCGAACGACCTGTTAAAGGCTTGTCAGAATCTGCTAGTCCTGGACAAAGATCTTGACGTTTTCCGGTTTGCGTATCTTTCCGTCGACGAATACGTGGAGACACGGCTGCGCAAGATCGACTCCCATACCCAGATCGCGAGAGCCTGCCCCTCGCTCCTCTGCAGTTCGGACTCTTGGATTGATTACGACAGAACTAGCCTTACAAGTGAAGGGCAGTATCTCGGTCGCCACTTTTTGATATACTCGGCGGTCTTTTGGCTGTGGCATTTCGGCCATTGCGAAGATGAAATGTTGACTCCTCTTTGGGATTCATTCATGTCAGAGGCAAACTACCAACGATGGCGTGAATATCATGGCAGGAGAGTTATGTGGCGACCCGCCAGAAGCATGTTTTGGAAAAGGACCATAGAAATACACCGTGTAAGAAACAACGTACTTGCCTCGGTTTGAATATTCGGGCTCAAGCGGAGGTTTACCAGTGTATTCAAATCCAAACCATTGGAGATGCCACGAATCAACCAGTTACTTCACCACGCGTGCAGATTACGAGACGTGGATCTTTTCCGTAAGCTGCTAGACGTGGGGCCTTCGTTTCCGCCACTGACCACGAGGGTTGGACCCCGTTGCATCGCGCCTCGGAGATGAGCGACGAGGCACTGGTCCGGCTGGTCATCGAATATGGAGCCAAGATCTCGTTCGCTACCAAAGATGGGAGAATGCCGCTGCATAGGGCAGTAGAAAGGGGGCACGAGGCGGTTACCCGGCTGCTCATTCAGAAGGGAGTAGATCTCTCAACCCGGATCACAGATGGGAGAAGCTCGGCGGCTACAAACGACGGGATGATGTCCTCGCAGCGGGCATGGGAGAAAGGACACGAGGCGGTGGCTCAGCTGCTCGTCTAGAACGGACACGAGGCGGTGGCTCGGCTCTCTGGCGAGAACAAAGCCGACGTCTCAGCCGTCGATAACGATGGGCAGATGCTACTTTGTCTAGCATTAGCGAGCAGTGTTCTCCATAGTCCAATCCGCCCGCCCTGAGCCTCGGACTGGACTGGACTACATACATCCAGTCCGTCAGGAGGTGTCTGTCGGACGGACTAGTCCACCAGTATGGTCGGACGGGACGGACTGCAATCGACTGCCAAGACTAGTGCAAGGCGATAGAAATCACGATAGAAAGCCCGCGGCATATTATCGGCGGTTATAGTGGCTGAGGGAAGCATATGCGCATGGGCTCAAGATTACGGCGCGGCGTTCATGGTACTAAACAAACATTGTGGCGCAGATTGTGGCGCAGATTATTGCTACTGGACGAAGATTGTGGCGCGGACGTACTGGTGCGGGACGAAGGTGGTGTCGCCGCTCACGGTTTTGCTGGTACTGGACGGAATTGAACACACCAGAGTGGGGAATACTATCAAAGTTCGTGGGGTAAGTGCTGAAAATAGTGGCATTTGTTTTCACTACCGGACTGGAGTCGACTGCAGTCCAACCCCGTCTTGAAAATTGGCGGACGGGACGGACTACTTTTATTCCATCCACAAAAAGTTACGGATGAGACTAGATCTTGGCAGGCCGTCCTGTCTAGACTGCAGTCCGGACCGGACTATGGAGAACACTGTTAGCGAGCAACCTAGATTTTGTGTCTCGGCTGCTCGTCAAGAAATGGACCGATCTGTCTACCGCTTATAAAGACGGGTTTACGTCGCTGCATCTGGCCGTGCAACAGAGGGACGTATCGATGGCCCGGAGCCTATGTCTCAACCGCCGACACGAGCGGGCGGACACCGCTGCACGTGGCCATGATGTGCTAGACGAGGCATTGGCCCGGCTGCTCGTCGAGAATGGTGCTGATGTCTCGGCCGGCGATGAAGGCGGGTTGACGTCGCTGCATCTGGCTGTGCAACTGGGGGACTCGTCGATGGCTTGGCTGCTTGTTAAAAATGGAGCCGATGTCTCTGTTGCCGATAAGTATGGGCGGACGCCACTGTATCGGGCATTAGAGAAGGTACTAGATGTAGTAGCCCGACTGCTCGTTGAACGGGGAGCGAACGTCGACGCCGCCCACAAAAATGGGTGGACGCCACTTCATCTGGCTGCGCGTTCGGGGAACGAAGCGGTGGCCCGGCTGCTCATCGAGAAAGGAGCGCAAGTGTCAACTGCCGATAACGATGATCGGATGCCACTGGATCTAGCCGTGCAAAACGGGCACAAGGCAGTGGTACGGCTGCTTGCCGAGAAGGGAGCCGATGTCATACCCGCCGAGAAAGACGGGTGTAGTGATGGCCATGGGACGGTATCAGTTTGAAACACGGGATGGGACTAGACTAATACCCGCTCGTTGGTCCCTGGATTATCGGCACTGGCTTCCTCACTCCCAGGATGATCTGGGGATCGGCTAAGCTACCTAATGCAAAATATGTGTCCGTAGAATAGGTTTGCAAATTTGGTTTCGCAGGGAAGCGGGTCAGCTAGCAAACGGGTTTTCTCAGGTGGCAGCTAAATTTCCGTGGCAAAAGGAGGTTGGAGAGGTAACTCCACTGCAATTGGGAAAAAAGACACATGTTAAGCCGCAGTAAAATGATCTGAAGCTGGGACAATAGGCAAAGCAAAAGATTGCCGGCAGTGCCAGAGGCAAGCACTTAGTGGTGTAATGGTAAGGCGGAGGTGGCGCGCGAGTGAAGTGTGATGGAAGGGCAGTGGCTGAGAGTTACATATTTACGTATCACACCATTCTGTATGAGCGGTGGGGGGCTTTCATTATATGTACAGAGATGCGTTTCCCGGGCAAACCTATTTAATATTGACCACTTCTATGACCGGTTTCTCTTACCGTGCATTGTGCATCGAATCAGCACCACATATCCGCACTACATTCCCGCCACACATGTGCATCACAGGAGGCTCACCTGGTCCGAGGTTATGGCAGCCATGGTGTTTCCTTCTCTCCGAGTTACTTTGTCGACGCGTTGTCTGTGCCGAGCTTTACTCGTTTTCGTCACCAAGTGGCCAACGCGATCGTCACCGAACAGTCAGACGGGGAAGGATTACGGGTGTGGCGCTCTCCACGGGGCTGATGTGGCGCGGCGACCCATTCAACCAGGGTTCAGTTCCATTCCGCATGCGGCCTTACCCGACTGTGGCGCACGCACCAATGAAACATGTATCATTCCTCCGCCGTTGGGTATCTACCATGAGATAAGATTAGATTGGGCTAGTACGCCGTCAGCCCTGAGACTGGGCGAGGGGACGAGCTTCTTACCCACGTGACCCAGATCTTTGGATACGATTCCCGTCGTACATCATACAGCACACATTCCAATCCCACCCCCTTCCACACACACGTGTGCGCCTCGCGTATTTCTGCGTGGCTGCGGAGGCCTCACGAGTCGTTCCCTTCTTGACCACTCCAAATTTGATCCTTGGGGATTTCCTGCCCACCCCCGTGACCCGTCGTTTTTGGGAATTGCAAACCGCTTCGCTGCATCGTACCGGCACTTTCATTAGCTTCCTCTGGATATTCAATCTACGGGTAGGATGTACTAGCACATAAGTAGCGACGGTGGCCCGTATGAGGGGCTGGCGGGCTGCCCGGCGCGCAAGAAAGGGTCAGACGTGAGCCGACTCAGCCGACAATTTGTTTTCTTTTCTTTTATTTTCTTTTCTTGTACTGCGCTGCATACATACAGTTCCCGTGGCCCAGCCGTAGGCGGGGAGATGGGGGTACGGGCACCGGGCCCGGGACATACCAGGGCTTCAGCGATGATGGATGGGATTTGGCAGATGCACTTATGACGTAGGTATGTTCTGTATGATAATTGCGAGCATGTATGCTGGAACGACAAACAGAAGCCCACTCATCGAGCAGCGTATTCCTGCGGCCTCCACTCCGTCCGGCCTGGTGTCTTACGCTCCGCAATTGATTATTTTTTATAGGTCCGAAAAGTCCTCGTGTACCACGGTACCCAGGCAACTAGTCCCGTCGTCTGTACTGATTTTGTCTCCCGGCTGTAGCCCTCTGCTAAATACCGAATGAAATACTCCGTCTCGTCACCGCAATGCAATTGGTACCGAGTCTACACCATATGGGAATCGCCGCAGTTCGCCGGTTGCAGAAATGTAGATGGAGTATGTATGCCATTGGCTCACTCGCGTCCGCAGGGGTGCCATGATCGGTGTCTGCACGTTTCAGCCACGGAATAGACATATGCGCAGGCATTGGTTTGCCACTTGCACCGCGGCTGTTGTGGTCTGCAGAGCAAGACTAGACCGGAAGATATGAATAGCTAAATGCAAAGAATAGACACAGGCGGTCGGCGCGGGGTAAGTGCTCCGATGAAGTCACTGGCTACCGCTCCTGGGGTGGAGGAGGTATATACCGATACATCTCCTACGGCCTGCGGAAGGTATCCGGTAGCCGATATACCTATCATGCTGTAGGTAGGTCGGCCATAGTTGTCCGCTTTACCTCGCTGCCTACGGTTTACACGGGGGTCAACATCTTCTCTATCCGTCCGGATCAGAATTTTTTGACAATGGTGGAACACTTGGACTCGTTGAGAATAACCACCGCACTCCCGCAATTCCACGCACCCTCCCCCCGTGACTTTAACTCGATACCCACACAGGCCGCGGACCGGTGCTGAGTGCCAACGGAATCAAGCTCAATGCATCATGTACGATTCGTCCAGGGCTCGAATGTTCAGCTTCAGCCCCAAATACGAAATACGAGGTGTCCATCCTAAAAACCTCTCCATGGCTGGCTTACGATGCATAAGTGTCATTGCGTCGTTGGACGAGAGGAGCTCAATCAGGATTGGTTCTGCCTGGCTGGCCGGTGGGACCTCGTATTCATGTCCGGTTGATGCCAGAGATAGCAGCACGGTGCTGCGTGGTGCACCGGGAGTGGTGCCTCTGCTGGTGTGCGGAGCGGGGAAGCCGTCGGCGAGCTCTAGGAGAGCGATTCTTGGAAGAGATCGTATGAATGCTACAGCGAAAGACTCTCACGGTCATAGCATGACTGGAGGATAAATACTCACCTCTCCGTCTCTGGCAATCCATCCTACATCGACTCCAACATCGACTCCAAAAGCGACTCCAAAAGCGACTCAAACAGCAACTTAAACTCCCGCATCCAGACCAGCAAACGCAAGTACAATACCCTGTGTTCCGGGTTTACAGTCTCACGGCCACCCACTAACAGTCCTCACTTCGCAGTCGCATACCTCAACAACCACCACACCAGCAGCCATGTACACCGCGATGCACCACCTCCTCCTCAGCCTCTTCGGCCTCCTCCTGCTGCTCTCCTACTGCGACGCCTCACCAATCGACGGCGACTCCAGCGGGGCGCAACTCCTGCGGCGCGACGCGGCGCCCGCCCCCGAGTTGTCCAAGCGTGCCTGCATCAACAACGGCTGCAAGTGCTACCCGGTGTCCAACCCCGGCGTCTACTGCTGGGGCTGCGGATACATCACCGACGTGGGTAGAACGAGTGCCTATCCCGGAACGGACTACAGGGACTGGGCGTTCGAGTGTAATACCCGCGGTGGGTGCTGCGCCTACGGCCCGAGCAGCAAGTGCAATAACGGCGACACGGGGACTTGTGGCGCGGATTAGGTCGTGCCGCAAATGTCACGGTAGCTCTTGGCGGAGGAAGCGGGCTAGGGCAGGGGGAGGGGGACGGTGGAAAGGTTTCCGGGGGTGTGGAGAAGGAGGATCGGTTCATGGTCATGTGGTTTTCTTGTAGGCGGTATGGAGGACGTTATGGGATACGGTATTGCGGGAGGGATGCTTTTTCAATGATTCCTTTAGTTCTGCTCCATACGCTCGTTTAGTGAGCTTAGTTAGCCAAGTATGTCTCGATTTGAATGAATTATGATGGATAAAGCTCGTATTCATACAAATTGATTACTAAGGCGCAGAGTGGGATGGTTCGAGCAATCCGTCCTGAAGGGGGTCCCAAACTGAAAGTGGTGGCATCGCGGCGTCGTTGGATGTCGGTGGTTATGATAATCGTACATGCTTGGGAGAGGGTACCTGATACAGCCGTATAGATGGATTGCTCTCTGGGCAGTAGTGTCGTCTGCCTTACCTAAGAGGGGAGGGAAGGGGGATGTACGATAAGATGTGTAGATAAGATCGATGGATAACAGCGGATTGATGGATAACATATAAAGATAAGCGCTAATAAAGGGGTCATAAACGGAAGAGATTGGAGAAGAAGGGAGCTACCATGAGCCTATTAAGCTAAGCCAGGTTAGGCAAAGGAGCCATGGGAATCTCGATGGCTCTCCGAGCAGCAGCAGAGGACAATAATAATAATTTTCCCTCCATCCCTTGCGTGTCTGCCACGCGCGAACTGTCTCAGGTTGGATCCGAAAGTGAATTATTACCGCCAAAACGGAGGACTACGCAGCGAACCCTAACCTTAGGCGCAACTACGGACGTACTTACTTTTCGCCTTCCTCTCCGCACCGCTTCTCGACGTTCCTGTTTATCTTCAATCGAAGTAGCAGAGGCCCAATATACCGAGAGAGGGACTTGGGAGGAAGTAGACACTCCCGGGGGTAAATCTCAGCCCGCATGTGCGTGACCGGGGTTTCCCGCACTTGATAGGACCAAAAGCGAATACAGACCCATGACGCTCCCGAAAATCTCGTCCAATCGTAGAGCTGGGGAAAGAGACCGCACCTCTCTTCCTCCCCACTTCTTCCAGCTTAGTCACCGAGTCATGGATGATCGGCCTCATCGCCGGTAAACTGGGAAAGCGTGAGAACTAGGGCGAGAAAGAGGATAAAGCCTATCGACTGGACGAACGAAGAGAGGGGCTGCCGGCAGAGGACATGGAAAACACGGGTGGCAGGGATATTCTCTCTTTCCTTCGCTCTTGTTTTCTGTCTTGCTTTGTTGCTTTCCCTCCTTCTTGCGGGTATTGAACGGGGATGGTTGAGCGGAGAGGGTTGGGCAGGGAGTGTTGACTCGGGGAGAGGGCTGGGTGGAGAGCATGTGATAGGAAACCGGTATCGAGCTCGCGGCCAGCGGTCTGTGATAGCCGCGTGGAAAAGGAAATTCAACCGTCCCAGGACCCCAAGGTCGAGTGTAATGATGATTAAGCAAGACAAAAAAATCTCGTCCGATCGTGCTCGGAGCGGATGAACAGTTGATTTTCTGGTCAAGAAAGATGCGAGAACCGGGAGAGAGAAATCGCACACCGAATTGAAGTGGGTGCTGCGGATTGAGATCTATGTACCGTTTGTTCCTTCGATTGTCGATGCTTTGCACGGGGAGCTAATTGGGGACGTTTAGGAGGTTGAGCTCGAGGACGAGACTGGTTCATACCGGGAGATGTGTGGTGCTCCGGAATGCGCCTCGGAGAGGCTCGGTGTACTGTTTGGTGCTCGATGGTAAATGCGTGGGCATGGATGATTGCTTCCATGGCTTCCGCTGTTCATTTTTTCTTGTCTGTTTTTGTTGAGGGGGGGGGGGGGGGGGGGGGGGGTTTGACGGGGGGGGGGGGTTTGAACGGGTGAGGATTAATAATTTTTCATAAGAGTGGCGTCAAGTAGAATTGTAGACTTGATTCTGATGGAGGCGGAAACGAGCTAGGTAGGTACTTCGGATATTATTGATTGTTCCGTGCTCGATGAACCGATTTGTGAGGTTTGTTACTGCCTGGAAGGAGGTACGAGGTTGATATGTGCTGGTTTTTTCACACATACAGTTGTTTGATACCACGGGTGGTCGGCCAAAAATGTACTTCGATCCACCCTTCGACGGTGATCACCTCTAGTTCAACGTTGACTAGCTGCAAACAAACGTTGACCGTGAAATCATGCGGTGTTTGCTACTCGTTCTGTTACTCGACAACACTAGCGGGATCTGTATGCAAGACTAGATTTAGATACAATCAATGTTTTGGGCCTCGAACTTTTCGGTTTATAAACAACTCCCTTTCCCAACTCCATCCTCCCCTCTCACATCCCCCACTCTTTTGGTCCCACCCCCGAAATTACCATCATAAAAATCAACAAAATAAAATCCACATCAACATGCATATCAACATCCTCAGCATTTTTGGGGCCCTCTCCACGATGGCTGTTTTGGTCTCCACTGCTCCCTCCGGCGGTCACGTATCTTCCGAAGTCAAGCTGCGCGACCTCCCGGTGGTCTCTCGCGCCGGCACCGACCACTCGCCGGTCAAGGACGCCAACACCTTCGGCAATAACGGACCCTCCGACTTCAAGCCATACAACATCACGCTGCCCGCTCTCCCGAGCGCCGACCACTCCGAGAAAGGTGGTGGCGTGGTGGCGACCATCTCGCTCGACACCGAGGAGCCGAACGCCTACCTCGTCACGATCCGCTCCACGTCCGAGGTAGAGTCCACCAGTGCTCTCGGTAAGATCTACTGCAAGACTTCCTGGGCCTCCCCCACCTTCGACGAGATCAACTACTGCATCGGCCGCATTGCTGCGTATGCCTCTAACACCTGCACCCAGGACAACATCGGCGGCAGCAAGTGCAGCACTATGCACAAGTGGAAGGGTGGCGACATCTCCTTGTGCGGCCGCTACAAGAACAAGGTTCCCTGCCAGATCATTGCCGAAGCTTCTATGTTGATCAAGGAGGTCTGTGGTGATTGGCCGAAGAGCAGGGCTGGTGGAGAGTTGAAGTTCAGTAGGGATATTATGGGTGGCAATATGCGAGCTGTGGTTCATTAGATTGTGAATATGGAGGAAAAAAGGTGTTGTGATCGGGGGTACAAATAGAAAAAAGTTGACTGTTTGCTCTATCGACTTACATGTGGAGTTGTGAAGTGATACGTGCCCGTGTTTCTTGAGGTCAACGCGCTCATAAGCAAAGAGGAAAGAGCAGAGATGGGGAGGTTGACTGTCGATTCTATAGACGATGATCAGCAAAGAAGAAGATAATCCGCCGGTACCAGCTTAAGTCCCCCCCTCCTCGTTTGGTGTTCCCCGCAATGCCCACCAACATTGATGCCCACTGTTAACCACATTCATTCCTCAGGCCGACAGCTCCTCCTTCACTCCACCATACCATCATACTAATTCAGCAAGCCATGGAATGAAACTCGCGGATGATAATCTCTTAGGTGGCTATGGGCACTCGCAGTTCAAACCCACACAAATCACACCTCTTCAGGTCCTCACATATCCCCTTAGTCAGACTCGTCGTGGTATCATCACTCGGATGGCTGAAGAGCGAACAGGATCTCCGGCAATGACGTCTGGAGCCGGGAAGATCGTACACTACAGGAGTCACCCACGCAGCGATTAGCGCGGCAGCCGTGTGGGAACAGATATTTTGGTGCAGGAATTTTGCAGTGAATTCGGTGCGGTCACTGGCTTGGTGGCAGCGCTTCAGTACACATGCACATACATACATACACGATTCCAACAAACATCACAATTCGACTCGGGAGATCCCCAAACACCAATATCCCCACACCCGCATCATGATTTCAATATCCGCAAGATCTCCCGCCTCTCCGTTCCCCCCGGCCGCAATAACCTAGCTACGTCCTCCTCCGCTTCGAATTCTTCCTCGCGGCGTCGCCCGCCGCAGCCCATAGGCAAGACAGGTGCATGCAACTATCGGACCCGCAGACGGCCTTCTTTGCGCCCACCGGCGCGGCAGGAGTGCCGGAAGCACCGGGAGCGCCGGGATTGCCGGGGGTTCCGCGAGTGCGCTGAGCGGCACGGTACTTCGCGAAGACTTGCGCGTCGGAGGCTAGGGGGTGGGTTGGGTTAGTTTTGGTTTTTGGGATGGGAAGATGGGTGGCAGGATGGGCGCACCGATTATTCGTCGAGCGGCGGCTTCGAGAGTGGCAGTAGGGGACTGAGGTCCTGCTGGTGGTGCGTGGGGCGGTGGTGGGGGTGGGGGTGAGGAGGACTGTGCGGACATGCTGTAGCGTGGTTGGGAGCTGGGGGTTGTTTTGAGGGAAACAAACGTAGTTATGGCGGGGGAGTTGTGGGGTGGTGGGGGGTGGGGGTGGTGTTGTTACGGGAATGGGAGGTCCTTGAAATGAAGGATAAACAGCTATCCACCACCACAACTCATCGCTCAGTTCGCTGCCTTGACTTGAATAGGGGCTCGCTCTACGGGCATAGAGACCTGTGCGGGCGGGCACTACTCGGCGCCCTGTGCGGGTGAACACTACTCAGCGGACGCTACTCCAGTGATATCGCGATGTTTGCTCGAGAGCTACCCAGGTAGTACCAGAACCCGATGGTATCGTGTGAATGCTTGTACTTTCGTTCCCTTCGAATACGGCCAACGGGAAGTAGGCTTTCTAACAGAACATCACCCGTATTCACGAAAGTATTTCTCTGTAGCCATATCGCCACCTAGCAGCTCTGCAGAAATCGCCGGTAGGGGCATACACCGAGCCCATCACCGGCACCAATACTGGAACAACATCGTAAAATCGAATCCATATCATTCCATTCGTTAAATGCAACACAGTGCATATCCAATATCCAAGCGAAAAGGAAAAAAACTCATCTACAATCTAATCCACGACCAACCCACTCACCTCCCTGCCCTGGACCCTGACGCCGACCCTCTTGCGAACCGCCACACTCTCGACTTCCCACCACCGTACGCCACTCCTGACCATGACGAGTCCCACCTGGTTCGTGCGGTGTCCCCGAACGTTCCGCTGAATCCCGTCGACAACCGGCGCAACAACCCCCTCCACCCCCGTGCCGGCAAGGAAATCCTCGACAACTATGAGACGCACGCTGGGGTCGTCGGGGATGTTGGCGATTTTGTCGGCGAAAGTGCAGCCGCCGCGTTTAACGACGATGATTGGGGCGGTGTAGGGGAGGGGACCGGAGCAGGCGGTCGAGGAGGAAATGAATATATCGGCGGCGTCGAAGTCCGAGATTGGGGTTGCGCCCTCGCCGCGAGAGATGACTGCTGGGATAGCGTAGTCTTTGCTCAGAGAGGAGAGATATGAGGAGGCGGTGGGGTTGAGGAAGCTCAGGAGGTCATGCAGGATGTTGCCCTGCGGAGAGGGAACGGCATGGAAGGTCAGGTGGAGCTCCAGGACTTCGGTGTCCGGGACGACGTCGAAGTTGGTGTCTTTGATACCGTCAATGAGATCGCGCGAGATATAGACGAGCTCTTCACGGCCGAGGTGGATGCCGCTGACTTTGTTGATACGCAGTGCCTCGGTGTCGGTCGAGTCGATGAGGGAGAGGCGTAACGCGTTGAGCGAAAGGATCCGGACACCGTTGGGGACGCGTTGAATCTTGGGGGTGAAACGGGAGAGGATCGTGGACGTGGCCACTCCGTTGGGAGCCGCGAAGCCTTCGGGGAAGAGGAGTTCTAGCGAATCGCGGGTAGGGAGTGGGGCGCTAGTGGCGTTGGGTTGTATCAGGTGAAGCGGGAGAGTGTATGGGTAGAAGGTGGAGTTCGTTGGTGAGACATAAAGATCGCCCGGGTCGGAGGAGGAGACGGTCGAGTCGGGGATCTGTGAGAGGTGCAGCTTGGTGAAGTAAGCGGCGTGGAATAGATCTGGACGAGACGCGGTAGTAGAGAAAAAGCTGGACGACGTCGGCGGAGCGCGACACGTTCTCGGGGGTGGGGGCGAAGAGGAGGTAACTACGCAGGATGGACGTGGCAGGATGATCGGATGCCCTTCGGTGGTGAATACCCAAGGTGCATCGAGGGTGTGCAAAGGATTTGCTGGAAGGATGTCAGCTATGTCGCTTCAAGCACATGGGCACAACCAACCTTCATCGAACAAGAGAAACAAATATTTCCACGTCTCGCTCAGCCAGAAGCTCTCCATCCGGTTCTGTTTCTCGCCGGTGCGGACATCCTGCAGGCCCGCCCAACCACATCTCGCCCAACACCTGCGCTTCAAATCGCGCATCGCCATCTCGCCCACATGAAGCCAGAAGGGATCCTTAGTGGCTCGGTAGAGTAAATAGGTTGATTCAACAAACTCCGGACGACCTGGATACCACGACAAGCCACCTTCGATCGTTGAGAGTCGCGTGTTGAACCGTTCTGGAAGGGCATTGTATCGATTCCACAGCGCAGAATAGACAAGATTTCCCTTGACCGCTAGATCTAGAGCATCGTCGTCTTCCGAGGCACCACCAGCTTGCGACAGTGTCCCGGCAAAGAACCCGCCCAGCGAATCGATCCACGCCCCGCCTTGTATCCCCACACCAGTGTTGACATGCACATTGTTCCACCACGTCGCCGGTTCCCGCACGAGCACATGTCGCTCGAGCGCGGTGCGCGCCTTCTCCCACACGTCCAGAAAGTAGCTCTCGTCGGCATTACCCGCTAGCAATACATAGCTCTTGAACGCGTACTCGAAGAAGCTATCCACCCCCGCGCCGATCCCCGAGTTCGCGCCTGTCCACAGTCCGCTCTCGGCATCCACCCCAGCGCCAACGAGACCAATCGCAGACCTCCGACTCCAGATCGCGTCGAATGCCTTCTTCGCCGCCTCCTCGAACCTCGGATCTCCCGTCAACCGCGACAACGTAGTAAACTCCAGCACGAGCGAGCCCGCGCCCGCAGTACACGTCTCGGTAATCTCCTCGTCCGGCCGCTCCCGTTTTATCGACTTTGGATTTGGGTGTCGCCAGAAGCGTTCAGACGGATGCTCGGGTTCGCTGTCCGGATCAGGGTGGTACTGCGGACAGCCGAGGATCCGGTTGTAGTACCGTGGGTTCTTGATGCCGTGCGGGAGTCCGTGACGGAGGTTGATCCGTGGGTACGGGATTCCCGTCGGCGATTTCGTCAGTGCGGGGAGTAGTCGCCGACCCAGGTCCTCCGCAAGGTGCAGTAGCTCGTTGTTGTAAACAAATCCCGTCTTCGTCTTCCCCTCAAATTCCTTCGGCAATCCTGGGAGCGATCCAATTGCAAATAAATGTGCCGACAACAGTCCCCCCAGCCCGCGAATCGTAGTCTCAAACACTTGCACTTTTGCATCGATATCGAACCCGCGCGTATTCCTGTGCCTGCCTTGAAACCTACCCCACGACGACGACGCGTTCCTCCTGTCCGACTCCTGGTCTTTCGGCTTATTATACCTGTCAACGTCAGTCGTCCCCTAGCCGACATCAGAACGGAGCGCTCACCAGTAGATCCGCACCAGCTCCTCCGCCGTCTCCCAGAACCTCTGGGCCTCCACCTCATCACTCGCCGCCATAACCGCCATGGAACTCAGTGCATCAATCGCGGTGAGCGAGAACTCTCCCATCGCATCGTTCGTGCCAATGTCCTTCGGGTTCGCGCGGTCGCGGTGGTGCGGGATGCACGTAAGGGGTTTAACCTGCACGCGCAAGCTCGCCGTCAGTACACTTCCATCCCTACTCATCCCTCGATAGGACATGCTTCCGTACTTCATCCTCCGGAAACGCAATCTCCCAGTAACTATCCCACCCATGGCGAAACATCGTCCTCGCTTCCTCCCTCAGGGCGAGCTTTCGCGTCGGCGTCATCGCCGCGGTAGTAGTCGCGTGACATAGCAATAGAAGCAGTGGTAGTAGTAGCGTGTATATTCCGGGAGGCCGTGCGTGGTCGGCCGAGGAGAATGGCGGGGTCATGTCGGTCGTGGATGTAGAGGTGGCATGCGTGCGATGTAGCGATGATGATCAGACGGGAGGGGGACACGCAGAAGGTGAAATCTGGCGATAACTGTGGCACGTGAGGACAGGGATTCTGGGTGATCTGCTCAAGCTCTCTATTCGGCGGCTATAGACTCTATGGCGTATCTGATCCATCTAATCATCCGTCCTGATAATTCGCCATATGCTCTCGCACAACGCGGTTCCTCCTACTCCGGCGTCTTTGATTCGTCTCCTGCGTTCCCTCGTCCACCAACGGTGATCAGAGTCCAGCTCCTTATTCACGTGATCGAAGTACAGCTCCCATTCACGTGACCAGAGTCCAGCTCCTGGTTCACTCGACGATCTCCCTCGTCTGCAACCCTCCGATGCCACCCGACACGCCTTGATTCCTCGTTCGCTCCTCGTTGACACGATCTGCAGCCTCCTCGAGACTCGTCTCCCTATTCATGAACGTTGGCCTCCTCGAGAAGCTCTCCTCGCTGTCTCCATGCTCGTTCCCCATAACCTCGTTCTGTTTCCCGACCAAACTCGACGTATCCAGCAACTGCAGGCTGTAGTGGCTGCCTATCATGAACAGCGAGACAGAGACGGCGAGACCGACGCAATAGAACACGGCAATCTTCGCGCATCAGCACCTTACGCAACAGTCTCCGGAGCGGACAACGAACCTTAGAATCATCACCCCACACGCTCCACCCGAGCGGCGAGATAACATGCACTGCCAACCCGAGCGTATAAAAAAAGATCGAATAGCTCAGCAGCTGCACGGGCACCTGCAGGACGAACACGATCTTTATATCGGGCCTTCCATTCCTGTCGAGCAGGGCGCTGTACAGACTCGCGTGCGAGCCATGCGTGGCCAGGATTCCGCCCAGCCCCGCCACCTGCTGGAACGCCACCAGCACCGACGTGATCACCATGCTCAGCGAGACGTACCAGCACGCGCGCACGAGCCAGTGCGCGGTCGGCACGTCGGGCCACGAAAGCGACGCGGTGACGCACGACGCGAGGAGACCGCCCTGTAGAGTAGTTACACCATCAGCACCCCGAATCTCTACTGCTCCAGCCAAGGGACTCACGATCAGCGACGCGAAGTTCAGCTCCGTCTGCTTGTGTTCCAGCCACCGGGTCGTCGCGGTACTGGGTGAGCCCGCCAGCATCTCGATCGTCCGGTACGTCTTGTACCATGTGTACCCGGCGATGCGGATGAGGAAGAACATCGAGCGCGAGGGGGTGTAGTACATCGTCGCATCGGCCGTTTCTGTTGCTACAGGTTGCGACATCTTTGGAATGCGGGCGGCGCGGGGTTTTGAGGATGGGACGACAGCGGGACGGTGGCGGGGCGTGACGGCGGGGCCGGGCAGGAACTAGGCGGGGGTAGTGCGCGATGGGACGGAGGATGCTGCTTGGAGGATGGTCCCTGAAGAATCGCAGCCTCCGGGTGGCGCGCGAACACTTCACCAGCCAGGTCCCTGACGAAATGGGCGCTTGCGGCTGGGTAATGGCATATGCAGGAGTGGACTATTAATAGCATACTGTACGCCATACGTCATTTGAAGCTTGTATCAAGAGCCCTTACAGAAAAATTACACCTCAGGAAAGAAGATATCGCTGCAGAAAAGAAGCTATCGCTGAACCGCCGTGATCATGTCGTCGATGATATGGGGATGGCACTACTACCCATTACAACGGCGTAGCCTGTGTGTATGGACTAGTAGTGTACGCCCGGGCGAGCCGGGCCACTACATAAATGCTAGAATGTAGGAATGAGGCACAGTACATATGGCCGGAGTCTGGGCGGACAGGTTTATTTCCGCAACGTGTGTTCTCACGAGGCATCGATAGAGTATCTAGACAATGGGCGCGGAACGCCCTTCTCAGCCCGATCTACCCCGTTCACCAGACGGCCAGCCTCAACTAGCCAGGCTGTACTTTCCCGACCAAGCGACCGGCGGTGGTTTCAAGCTTCAACACCGCGGCTCCCTTGCCGCCGCTTCACCGCCTGTTCGTTTCATTAGGCTCATATCGACGTTCATGCAGAACCATGTCCGATTTCTCGGAAACGGGAACTACCTATGAAACCACACATACCGATAATCGGAGCGTTCGTGACCAGTGACATCCGGTGCATGGACTTTTGGAAAATGTTCCAAACGGCGGGACGGCGGGACGGGCCGATACTAGTATGCACATAGAGTCACGTGGCAAAGCAGTGTTCAATCTTCCATGTGACATTCGTTGGTTGATCTGGATACATCCTGATTCTGTAACAAAGACGGCAGGCCATAGGGGGCTTTGGGGAGGACGGCTGGCAAGTGGGGGGAAAATACATTGTTTCACCTTTCTGTGTTGGACCGTGACCGATCATGACAGAGGACCTGTCCCCCCAGGCCGCCGCTGGCCCGCAGGTGTTAGTTACTATTAGCGCGTCGCGGCACCAATATCACCCACCCTACGCTAGAGTAGGTGGAGTAAGAGCGACAATAAATAAAGGAAATCATAAAGAAATCTGCACTTGCACGTTGATGTTTCTCCCTGGCTGTCGAGTCTCCGCACCTGTGGAGTCGCGAGCTTCTTCGTGGTCCTGTTCATCCTCACGGTCCTTCAAAAACATACATGATATCATAGTCATGTATTCAGACGTTAGCAGCCCTCTCCCGTTTCTTGAATTTAGCAGGTGACCACAGGTGATTTCCCAACTAGCACACAGGCGGTACTTCTGGTGTGTACCGGCGGTGGTCTTTCAAGTTTCAACACCGCCGCCTCACCGCCCATTCACCTCACTAGGTATGTTCATATCACGATGACACGCATGTACCCGCGGGTGTTCGAGTACCCGACCGAGTTCGTGCCCGAGGCTCCGATCCCGAGCGGATAGATTAGTCAGATCATAGCGTTGCCCGCCCGGTCGAGCAGGTACACGTCAAGATCAAGCGAAGGACCGTCAAGGCGTCGATAGTCAGTCAGTCATGCAGCAGGACTCGACGAATTATATCCCATGATCGTTCCCGCTATTAATCTATTTGCGCACTCGCCCCACTCCCCTCCGTCCCTCACTGCGGCGCCTTCGCCTGCAAAAACCCCGCCAGCCTCCTCCCCCACTCCCTATGCACAGTACTCGTCGGATGGGTCTTATCGAGCCAGTAGTACTTCCCAACCGCAGCAGTACAATTCGCATCCACGAACGTCTCCCAATCCCCGTTCCCATTATACTGCCTGTTCTCATACGCCGCACAGAACTCATGCGTATTACTGATCCCAAACTCGGTGTAGCGATCGAGGACATCATCCGCGACCTCCCCCATCCCGAACGTGAAAACCACGACGTCGTTCGCGGCCTCGAACTCCCGCGCCCCCTGCGATAGAAGGGAGTTGTACGCGGTATTGTACACACCGAGCGCTGCGCGCTCGCTACCGTTCAGTGCCTGCGACTCCGGCGAACGCGTCATGTCCGGCACGTCGAGCAGGAGGAAGTTGCGTGCGCCGGAGGCGTACATCTGCTTACTACCTATCAGCCACGGCGCCGTAGGTGCCCGAACGGGGGGAGAGCGCACCCGTTGCAACTGCACAAAATACTCCCCGACAACGCTCTCCACCTGCACATCCGATTGCCATCCAAGGCGGACATCATTGATCCCGATCCACACTGCCACCAGCGTTTCATTCCCAGTCCACCCTTTTACGAGCGGTAACCACTCCGCCAACTGCTCGTTCAGCATCTTTGCCGTCGCCGGCCCGGCGACCAGGTTGCGCGATACGGTCGCTCCGCCTGCGGCGAGGTCGTGTGTGAGTACTGTGTGCTGCGCGTTGTAGGTGCGTGTGAGGTACGCGAGCCAGTTGGGGCCGTTGGAGGAGGGCCGGCCGGGCGCGGGGACGCCGAGTGGGTTGCTGGATGAGGGCGCGGGAGAGCTGCCCGGGACGTAGCCGATACGCGTGAAGGAGTCGCCGCTGTGGGGGTTAGCTGGTGGCGCCCGGGGCGGGTGAGCGGCGGCAGGGAGGGGTGAGTTACAAGACTATCATGTGCTTCAGACCGCTCCAGCCGGGCCAGGTGCCTGCTGCGGCGACCAGCGGGAGCAACGACGCGGCGGCCGGGAGTATTGACAGGAATATGCGGGAACTTGGTCGCATTGTTATTTTCGTCCGGTATTTGGTGAGTGCTTCGACATGGGCTCACGCCGCATCTTATACATACTGGCCTATCGAAGCAGGCACCAAGTATGTCAGCAGGCACCGACCATCGATACCCCGCCGGTACCCTGCTGGCTGGGTCTTCCCAAATATGGGACGAAACAGCTCGCTGGTGGCATTATCCCAGCAATAGCAACGGGCACTCGTATACTAGGTCGTATACTAGTACAGGTATTAGTGACAATACCGGGTGCAGCAGTAGTGCTGAGTCCTGCGCGTGAAACGATCGCCCTGCTATTTGCTACCTATTTGCTATTTGCTATTTACTCTAGTACCGATGCCCCAACAGTTAGTTGGTACCTCGCGCTTCACCGGGCTCTCCTCTCATCCTATGACCGTAAGCTGTACCTACTATAACTACGGATCGGCTCGAGTTTCGTTTCTTCTAGAACAAAAGGAAATGAAAGGAGAAGGGAGGTAGGGCGCGGATTCTGCAGGGACAGATGGACAGGTACCGTAGAACCGTGGGTAGGGCGGATGGTCACGGGGTCACAAATGGTCACTCGTACTCGGACTCGTGGCCGTAGGCTGCTAGTAACTGAAGATCTCTCTCTAAGTATAGGTACTCCACAGTATTAGTGTATCTGGGTCCGGGAATGTCTGAGCTGTGGTCGCCGTAGTCTACCTAGCACCAACCATGTGTGGATAGCAAGGCCATAAGTATGAGCCAATAAACCGATTCCCTCTCTCGCTACCAGACGGGATATTTCAGGACCCATGTACTAATACCGACAGCTCCAGCCTCCATCGAACTGCGCATTCGAAGTTTCCGACTGTCAGCGTAGGTTCCCGGTGTGGCGGGGAGCCTGGGGGTACATGTGCCATAGCGAATTACGAGTCCTGCTCGAGTGCTATTTCCGCTTGGGGAGGATTTCTGCCTGGCATACTGTGCTACACATAATAGTCAATACTCCATACTCTTTGCGTGCGGTCGTGCGCGTCACTGCTCGCCCAGTGTGCAGGTGCCGGGAGTCGGATCTCTGATCACGTGCGTGGTTGGGACTGTGGCTGTGGCTGTGGCTGTGGCTGTGGCTGTGGCTGTGGCTGTGGCTGTGGCACTTGCCGGTATTTTGGATGACCATTGACAGGGCGGGGAGACTGGAGGAAGTGTTACATAAGCGAGTACAATGTAGCTACACGAGCGGAGGACCGAAGCATAGGCAGCCTGTTGCGTGTCTCTCCGGCATGTATAGAAAGTTACGGTACTCAATGAACGAAGACCCACTGCAGCTAGCACGGGCCGGTATCACAGTGATGGGGGTCACGGGGCGAGTGCACGGCTACCTATTATCGAACAACTGGAATCATCATGGGATATAATTCATCGAGTACCACTTTATGACCGACCGACCGACTTCCTGACCAAGTACCTACGCCTTAACCCTCCTCCTAACCTTAACCTGAATCCTCTCCTTCGGTCTCGCCACGCCATGATCCGACCACTCCATCCTCTCGCTATTCGTCTCCCACAGCTCGATCTCATACCTCGTCAGTAGGTTCGCCAGGACAAGGTACAACTCCGCATACGCCAGACTGCCGCACCCCACACATTAGCCTCCTCCTCCCCCGCCCTCCCCCCCACTCGTCGCAGGGAATAACTTACTTAACCCCCAAACACCCTCTATCACCCTTACTAAAGCTGACCAACCACTTATTCAACACCTTCCCCTCCTCGCCCATCCAGCGTTCAGGCCGAAACTCCTCCGGGCTCTCGAACAATCGCGGGTCCATATGTATCAGCGTGATATAGAACGCGATGCTAGTGCCCTGGGGGAGGTGCAGCCCGGTAGACGGGATCGTCAGGCCGCCTGTGGGCACGACGCGCGGAAGGCGGGTGGGCGCGATGTGGTTGTAGCGGAGGACTTCTTGGAGGAAACCAGTCTTTCCCGTGTTAGCACGGGTACCACTCATAAAGAGTGGGGGAAGGGGGGGGGGGGGGGGGGGGGGGAGTACGAAATACGCCAACCCCTCTAACCTCGCGAGGCTAAACCTGCCGTCCGCATCCCTCTCGACAGCATCGAGCTCCACCAGCAGCCGCGCGCGCACCTCGGGTTTAGTGAGGAAGTGCCATACGCAGTACTGCAGGCAGTTGCTGGTGCTGTCGGTTCCGGCCGAGGTCAGGGCCACGGCCTCTTCCACCAGGTCTTGGAAGGGAGTCACGAATGCTTCCTTCGATGATGACGAGGAGGGCGGGGGGTCGATTATCGCCTCGATTACCGTGGACGGGCGGGCCTTGCGGGGTGCGCCCGAGGTGCGTGCGGAAGCCACGGAGGCGATTGAGGCCCGCACCAGGGTTTGACATTCCTTCAGCTGGGGTCAGCACGCATATCCGAGGGGAGGGGGAGGGCAGCGCACCTCCATCAGCCTTTTATAAGCGAGCGGGACAAGGCTGGGTACGAACTGCGACACAAACAGCAGCACATTCGTAAGCATCGGAAAATGCAGTCTAATATTGATCCCATCGCTAATGCTGAGCACGCTCTCGACCCAGTCACTCGTAAAGTTCGGCTCATCGAGCATATTCCAGCAGCGGCCGAAGCAGTACTGCGAGATGATATCTACCGTGACGCAGTAGAAGCCGTTTGCCAGCGGCACCGGCGCCCCCGAAGCGCAGAAGGCGTCCAGCTTGTCGCAGAAGTTCTCGATGATCGGTGATAGCACCGTCGAACACGCGTCGTTGATCGCTTTTTTCGAGAAGAACGGGTTGACTAGGCTGCGACGCGCCCGGTGCTCCACCGGGTCGCACGTCAAAGCGCTCGACCGCGAGAGACCGGTGAGCTTGTACATGTTGTGGTCTTTGAGGTATGTCGTCTGTAGGCCGAAGACTCTGTGTGCGTACGACGTCAGTTCTGTTTGTGCAGGGAGAAGTGCGGGTCTCACTGATGGTACAACTCAGGCTCCATGATATCGACATCGGTCGGGCTGATGCGTACGGCGGGGCCTGCAACAGCGGAATCTCAATCAGCACTACCCCTCCCTCTCCCCTCCCCCTCCCGCGCCATCCGCCGACAAGTGCGAACCATATTTCTCATGCAGCGCCGGCAGCTGCTGCCACATGGCCCCGTCTTGGAGCACCTGGTACCACGAAAAGTACATATATGTCGCGGCGGCGAGCGGAGGCCCGGGAACGTGCGAGAGCGGGTGGAACCATACGCGGCGGACGACGATTAGGCCGTACACGACCGCCCAGGTGTACAGCAGGACCCAGAGGTCGATGTAGCGTAGCAGGTCGGCGAGGGCTGCCATCGTTGTGCGGTGGAATGTTGGTGTGGAGTGGCCGATACTGGCAACGGCGGCGGGCGAGGGAGGTTTATGTAGAGTAGCTATCAGACGCCTAGTAACCAAGGTCGTCTCCCGCATCCACGTCCACGTAGACAGCACCTTCTTAGCTCCTGCAATCGTGAAGAATCCGTGGTTGTCACGGCCACCTCGCCTACGTCCCGATTCCTGGCGCATGCATGAATGTGCACTAGTTACCGTGGTTGGTGAGTGCACATCGGCTCGCAGCAGCCGTCGCTCCGTTCCGAGAAGGAGCTGCATACGCGCGTGCGCATGACCGCTGGTCCGTGGTGTTGGTTTTTGGGTTTTGGGTTTTGGCGGTGGAGGGGGTGGAGGGGAGAATCTGGGTTTGCACTTTGCGGACGGGTGCGGTGGGATCACGACGGTGGCAGGAATACACTTCTGATGGGTTGGCAACCCAAGAACTTGGTTCTTCTATGGAAATCCCAGAGTTGGCCCAGCCCACCACCACCGGCGAGACGAGTCCTCCCACTCGATTGCATCCACCCTCCCTCCCGCACGCCGGCCCCGCACCGAACGACCGCCCGGCTGGACTCGGCTAGGCTGGGCTGGGTCTGGTTGGCGCGTGCATGCGCAGAACGCAGTCCAGATTGCAGATTGCAGATCGGCAGTTCCAATCGTCTGAGTCCCTGACCAGGGAAACCTGAACCCGAACCTGGAAGCGTGTTCATCCCGTCGAGAATCGAGATCCCCTTCCTCTTGCCCTTTCCCTTCTCCTTCCCGTGTCTGTGTTCGGTCGGGACATGAAGCTGGCTGGCGAGAGGGTGAGCGGAGTGGGGCAGCATACCCCACTCAAGCCATGCACGAGCCGAGCCATCGACGAGACGAGAGCCAAGCGCCACGTTCCCAGAAGACTCGAGCGACGGTGGTAGCCGCCGCGACCGGGGATGGACGTGATTCGATTACACTAGAGTTATATCCAGGCTGCATGCATGCATGATCGATGATAAGTTGATAACCAAGTTCCAGCTGCTCGCTTAGCGTGGTGGTGGTGGTGGTGGTGGTGGTGGTGGTGGTGGTGGTGGTGGTGTGGTGGTGGTGGTGTGGAGAAGAGCTGAGGGAGTCTGACGAATGGATAGCAGGGGTCCTCAAACCTATCTGGGTGAAAATCCGGCCGGAATCTGGTCTAGAAACATTGGCCAATCAGAATGGCCAGACGTGCGATGTAGGTTTGAGGACCCCGTGCCGGGTGCTGTTCTGGAAGGAAGCGTATCGGGCCGCTTTCCTCAATACAAACTGGCCAGACCGGCGCCGAGAGAAAATTTCTACAGTCTCAGTCCTTGATCGCAGAAACCAGCCGTTACCTACACCTATTATAGTGAGCTAGAGGCGAGCTAGAGCTCCTGCAGTCACCCAGACGGGCACGCAGACGGTGTTTTCGCGGTCTGCAAAAGTAGCGGCGTTTGGAGAATTTTAGCGGGTTCTGGAAAATTCGGTATTTGCCGGACCAGTAAAAACACCTTATCACCCGGCCAGATTTTCACCTAGATAAGTTTGAGGACCCCTGGTGTGGGGAGAAGACGAAATCCTGCGTGGTGGTGGTGTCGGATACTCTGGAACGAGAGAGCGCATCCGGGAGGGGGACGGTTGCAATCCATCCAGAACGTATGTCCACTCAGAATGAACTACCTATGCGAAACTCCAGACTCCAAACTCCGGCATCCTTTCCCCACCACTGCACATCGGGTTTCTCCCGTCGTTACTCGCAACTACTAGTATCCGAGCTCCGGATTCCGGCATCCGGACGGGAAGCCGAAAAATGTTCCGTCCCCGCTAAGGTGATCACCCCGGCCGGCCACGCAATGCGCAGTGACAAGTCAAGGATGATCGAGTCTGTGCGCAGCGTCGGTGCCGGTGCCGGTTTCCGCTCGGTTGGATTGCGGGGGAAGAATGGAACCGGAATTATATGCACACAACGAGTCTGTTGCTGTGATTAGGACGGAGGCATAGGTGGAGGCAGAGGATTGACTCTTGGCTGCTGGTGGAGGTCGTGGTGAGATCAGGATGTGGACAAGTCACAATGGATCAATACGTCAACGTAATTCTAACGTATCCTCTCGAAGAATCAGTTTCTACCGGTAGTCCAAGTGAAGTACTCTACTACCAACTACCACGCTCGGAAGCCATTTTCCCCATCGTCGCACGTGACACACCTTCACTGCCAGGTATCTGTGAGTCAGCGTCCGCCGCATGTTAACTACGCTACCCCATATACGGACTAGTTAGCGTGGCGTGGCCAGGCAGACGTCTGGCTGAAGCGATGAGCTGCAAGCTGTTTGCTCGCGGGCGCGTTAACCAACCACCACCATCTCCGTTCGCGAAGCTGAAGACTTGTCAACTTCTTCTGTGGATCCATTAGATATCTGGAGAATTCTCCCCTTCCGCTACCCAGCCAAGCTGCACGCACCCACGCAACCTCCACGTCGGGCGATCCACCACCCGCCCACCGCGATGCCCACGCTCGACGACCTCCCGCGCGAAGTCCTATACGAGATCCTATCGCACCTGTCACCCGTTTCCGCCAGCGTCCCCTCGCTGTGTCGCCATGCCTTCAGCGCGCTCTTCCTGAGCAGCCGGTCCCTGCACTCAGCGGTAGAGTCCTACAGCCTGCACCTGCTCACGAAGCTATCACTCGCGTTCCCCTCCTCCCCCCGTGCCCGCCTCAAGGCGCCCTACACGCGCACCTACCTGCGGCATGCGCACATGCGCTGCCGCTTCTGCGACCGGCGCACGCGGTGCGTCGCGCGCGTATTCAACGATGTGCGGTGCTGTCGGCGGTGCGACACGCGGTGGGAGGGGGTGACGATGACGGATGCGCGGGCGGAGTGGCGGCTGGGGCGCGACGAGCTGCTGGCCCGGTGTCGCTGGGGCACGTATATGGTCCATAGTGTCCGTGCGACTATGCTGCTGGAGGAGGATGTCATGGCACTCGCCAGGGAGCGCCATGGTGATCTCGACGCGTGGATCGAGAAGAGGACTGATAAGTGGAAGGAGAGGTATCGCGTTAGGAAAGGTACGTGGATGGCGACGAGGGCGCGCGGCGACGGCGGCGGCGGCTGACGGTGCGTGCGTTGCAGAGGCGCGGGATAAGCGGCAGCGGTTGAGGGATCGCGACGCCGCCGCGTAGAGGAGTGGTACATACATACGGCTTCTCGGCTACTGCCGGATCGTGATGGCGAGGTCTTCAACGCTGTTGTTTAGAAATGGAAATCGTGTTGACATGACTGCGCATAAGTTCGCTTTCGAGTACCCATGAATGTCATGCTGTCGAGCAGAGTCGCCACAACCGTCAACGACGTCAAGCACATCGTAATACCGGTGATTTCGGCAGCTTGGACGTCGGGACGATGCGACGGCAGTGCTGCACAAGCAGATTTCATCGGCTCTGTGAATCTTGACATTCGTGGGACTTATCGACAAGTCGAATCTACGAAGAGTACTCCGGTAGAGTATCTACTGGCATTGGCACTGATGGCAGCCATGCATTCGGAGTCACTCGACGACGATATTCCGGGTACGTGATTCATTAGCAGTCTCTTAGGCTCCGTTCATCTCACCATTATCTCATCCTGCTACCACACAAACTTGACAACCATTATTTCACTAATAATTTGAGGTGGCAAATGTTCATCTCAACCCACTATCTCGCTATTATGTCAAGTAGGGCTGCGCCACGCAAACAAAAAAGGGGGGGAGTCTCCATCGACAACCTCAACCACTACCATCACCACCACCATGACGCGAAAATCAACGAGAGTACAGATACTTCAACAACTAGAACAGCAAAAACTCCTGCCTCGGCAGGAAACGTGATTCTTCGGAAGAATTTGCAACTTCTGGCAGCTGAAGACTATGGAAGCAATGGTTTTCATTACACGCGTCATCCGGGAAGCATTGCCAGAGTCAATTAACTCATACAGTTATAGTCATCGAAAGAATGACTGAGTAAATCCGCGAGATTCCAGTGGAAACGCGTAATCCATTCCATTTTTCCATCGCATTTGAGGCTCCAGGACCCTACTCTATTACATAATGGTTCACCTCCGCTCGCTCCCCTTCAACTACGCTTACCGGCTAGCTTCTATGTAGTGGCAGCAATAGATGTGGCGTTGCTTCAGAAGTCTGGGCGCCGAAACGACATAATGCGACATAATGCTAAAAGCATTATGTCGCGCTACGTGCTTGGCACATCCGCATGATGAGATAATGGTGAGATGAACGGAGCCTAGTAGCTGCGTGTCGCTGTGTCGGGCATCCATTGATACATATGGCAGTGTTGGTTATTACAGTGAGACATGGTCCATGTCCTACAAAATCTCGCATATTATCCGGGGCAGAAATGGCAAAAGTTTGTCTTTCCAACTCAGCCCCTCCGCCGAGCAGCGATTGTTCAGTTTTTTTACGATTGGGCTTTTAAAATGGTGGGAGGTGCGGTCCTCTGAGCTCTCAATCCCTGACATGGGGAGCTGAAGGCTAATATCATTCATGCCTTTCGCTTAATAGTGGTTCTCTGTTTCTCGTTCGGCTTCGACGCATACCTACTTCAGACGCAACTCGGTGCCAGCGGCTGTAGCTGAGGAGGTGGACAGGAATTCGTTCATCATATGACAGCTTCGTTCGTAAAGTACCAGGTCAAGAGTTTTCGTACGCCTCTTGCGATTCTAAAGCTTCTATGAAAGACTCGATTTTTTTCCGCCACGTGAAGCGTGGGTTTTGGTTACTTGAGAATGGGCATTTTTGGTGTAAAACGGCCCTTGTAGGAAGACGTTTGACCTACCTAGTACTTTACCTTATACTGTGGCAAAAAGGGGGGTTTATCAGTGTGGCCGCAGTACCGGTACATCACGGTCGTGAGATTGAATACAGGCAGTAAAAAAACGACGGAATTGTTGGAGGAGGAAAAGTCTTAGAATATCCGAAGCAATGCACAATGCGATTTCGGTGCGAAGTAGTCATATAATTAATCCAGTTATTTGATATTGGTCGCACTATCGCTGCCTGCAATAAGTCTGCATTCAAATGAATGCGTCTTCGCGCAACTCTCTGAAGCTTACTACCTAGACCGATATAGCAACGAAATGGAATATTATGAACGTGGCATGCTCAAGTATGCACCTTGGCCGCCCGCCGTAAAACAGAGCCGCCTCTGCCCCCGAATCCCACAGTTCAAACATAGAATCTCATGATATCTCACCCGCTTTGTAAAAGGCGGCTAGCGTCTAACAGCATACAGACTAGTCACAGGCCGTCGTCACCTGACTTTGACGGCGGTCCGCACCGTCGGACTGCGACCGACCCCGGACGGACTATTTTCAAACCGTCCGCCCGATGCTCGGATGGGACTGAGTGTTGGCAATCCGGACACGACAACGTACATATGGAGAACACTGCGGGGAGCGCGGGGTACTATAGACGCATCTCTGTGTTGCGGCGAGCTAGTGTTATGGGAGTGTGACCAGGATCATACCCGATGCGGAGGGATAAACGTTGAATCGTTTCCCTCTTTTCTGTGCTTGTCTGTTCGTCTTGTTCTTCTCTTGTTCTTCTCACACATCACCCATTCATCACACCGACAAATCCATCACACCGAATAATTCATGAAACCTCTGTTTGTCTCATCCACGGCACAGCTGGTGCGAGACATCCGGCTCTGCCAACTTCCGCTTACAGTTTGTTTTTAGGCGGCAGGTGGACGACTCCAATCGGTAATCACCACAAAGCCACTACAATGATTGAATGGACAGACAACATGGAGTAATTGTCGCTGTATCTATTTTTGACGGTGTGTAGGTAAAGTCTAATATTGAAAAGAGTCCAACCCCTCCCACCACCGTCATGCACAAACCCCGCACTAATCAATCGGCATGCTTCGCCGATGAAGCAGACGAATTGCTGTCCTTTAAACTTTCGGAAGGCGATCTGATCGAATGATTTCATGACACGGCCTGCGTTTCGATCCAGCAATGGTACCCCCGATATCCATCTGTAGCACGCGGAACATCGAACGGGGAGAAATGCTAAGCGGCAAATATGGACGTCGTCAGAACATCTGAAGCAGATCTCCTGCTGGAACTTGGATGGTGTCTTCTGCGGTGTTGGCTAATTTGTGCTTCTAAACATGGGCATCTGTACCGATAATACGCGTGTTCTTTTACGGCAGAGCTCACGCAGCTAGCGGATAACAATATTCTTTCCCCCACTTTGAATGATGTTTGTCAATGAGCTTTCGAATAGTGCTATGTATTAGGATCTCGGTTGAAGCGGGAGGATATGTACAAACACTACCGCAACATCGCCGTATGTCAGCTCGGTGGTAAGGTGGACTGCATCCTGTCACCTTCGACCAGTTAATAAATCGAATGTTGATGTTGCTTCTTCTCGGCATGCAATCACTACACCCCAAGTATCATACGCCTGCGGGGCTGTTATCGAAGCCGGGGTGCAAAATCTCAATCGTCCTGTCCGTATATTTGGTCAATTGGAAGCCAGGTCTTCTTCTCATCCGCCCGCCACAACTGTTCGTTCCTCATGGGTTCTTTTCTTTCGGTCGTCCATATTACTCCTCTGCCAGAACTCCTTGTCGCTGCATTCGTTCCCTCCTCCCACGCGCTTTCCGATTCAATATCACGTTAAACCCCCCGGACGGCCTCCAGACCTCGCATCAGCGACTCTGAGTTCCTTTAACCGTACCGTACGACTGCGGGAGACATTGCTTCTCCGCCGGGCCGTGGAAGCGCTAGCGTACAACGGTGAAATACCTGTGGTGAGGTTTTTATGGCGTTTGGTGGGGCATTTAGGAGGCCGCAAAGTTTAAGCAATACCTCCCGGGAGTTCGGGAGTTCGCAAAGCGGCACGGAAATACCAGAAGTAGTTGCCCTACATTCCTCATCTATTTCATTGTACAAAGAACTGTCGATAACCGTTCCACAAGTCTTGAGTTCATCATTGGCGAATTTGAAAGTTTAGTACTGACTTCGTTAGTTTCGACAAGCGGTGGCAGAATCACGATCGCACATCCTCAAAAAACGCGAGTCAGACCTGGCAGCAGATTTCCATCAATTGAAGCTGCAATCCGAGGTTGTTGGCCCGCATGGGCAATCCGAGGTTGTTGGCTCGCATGGGCAATCCGCCACTGTTTTGCACCTCACCGCCGAGGTTTCACGCTCGCACGACGTCACCGCAGTACTTCAAGGCGAAAGCGCGGCATCGATCAGGTGTGAAGACATCCAATGGGTCTTCCAGATGATCAACGAGCACATGGAAACATCGTATCTGTATCGACTAGAATACGATTCGCTCCTTGGCTTTACCATAGGAAAGGACTTTGGCACGGCTTATGCGATGCTTCGTCCGTTGTGGAGATGCTTCGAAGGTCATGGGGTACTTGGGACCGCACAGAAGGAGATGGACAACTGGAGGGCATTTCTTCACGCTCGCAGGAAGGGCGCAATTCATCGCGACAAGATAGGGGTTACCATGATCATCGATCCGTACCAAATCCCACCAAGGCGCGTTTGGGATCTGTATGCCAACAGGGTGGTCGACTATGCGTATTGCTCATTCACCGGCTCTAATGGCTGGGAGTCCTTCGTAAACGATCAGGTCGTTTCCAGCGCTGGTCGGAAACTGTGCGCCATCTCACATGCGTGGACAGACGATACACAAACGATCATGACGCCGATCAATGGCGGACAATGGCCAGTGACCATACCGGTCGGTGTCGACTTGGAAAGTATACGACGAGAGGTGCTTGCATTGGGAGTGCAATATTGCTGGTTGGATGTCCTCTGTTTGCGCCAGGGGTTCCCTCGGGGCACGGAAGGGCTGCGGTTGATCCGTCAACGCACGACGACGTTATCCACAAACGATCGCCCTTTGTCAGCAGCTGGAGCACGGAAGGCAAAGAGGGTAGAATGGGATCTCCGGAAAGAGGAATGGCGCATTGATGTACCGACCATCGGCAATGTGTATCGCGAAAAGGCCGACACCTTCGTTCTCCGGTATTACAACGGCCTAGGCAGATGCTTTGATAATAACCCGGCTCTTCTTGACGGAAAGCGACATTGGAAGAACCGCGTGTGGACGGTCCAGGAGTCAACCGGCAACTATATGGTTGGCGGTCGAAGGGAGAAAGGCCAGGATATTGAGAGGGACTTCCTCCAGCTAGCCGTGGAATGCGTCATGCACCCCCACACCATGAATTGTTTTATAAAGGAACGAGATCGGCTGTTTTATGCGCTTCTGTTGATACACGGCCGTCAGGCGACGAACGAAATCGATAAGATCACTTCTATCTCTTATATCCTGCGGTGCCCGACGCTACCAGCATACGACATCGACGAGAAGCCCGAAGACGCCTGGGGATTATGCATTTCTCATATGCCGCGATGGGGGAGGGGTGAACTGCTGTTCCGATACCCTGTGCCTTCGGATCAGCAGGAGTCACAACGCCGGTGGTGTCCATCATGGGAGCATACAAAGTCCCTGCGTCTTGTGGAGTGGTCTGCTACTGGGTCGAAGCTTCAACAGAGCAGCGAAATCGAGGGACATATGATTCCTGGGCGCTCGTTCGATTCAAGCTCCTACGATACGATGTTCGACCACGTCGCTGTCAACCGCAATGAAGCCGGCAAGGCCACCTCTGCCATTTGCATTGGTTACTATATCAGAACTTGCTCAATTTCTGGCTTTAACACGGTTAGCGGGGATGATGAGGGTAGCGGGAACAACGACATCTGCAAGGCCAATCCAACCGAGAAGCCAACGATCTACGGCAAGGCAACGGGGTACAAGAGACGAACGAGCTTCGACCTGATGACCACGAAGACCGGGAAACCACCGAGGTTCAACATGGCCACGGAGACCGAGAAACCAACGAGGTTCAACATAACCCTGGAGACGGAGAAACCAACGTGGTTTAACATGACCCCGGAGACAGAGAAGTCGTGGAACTACGAGAAGCTAACGCGGCCCGAGATGCCGCCAACGCGGTTCAAGAGGCCTTGGAGTACGGACATGAGGCCTTGGAGTACGGACATCACAACGGAGACCGAGAAGCCATCGGGGTACGAGAAACGGAGGAGGCTCAACAAGACCACGGGCTTTGAGATGATAACGGGTAACCAGATGCCTAGATGGAAGGACATGGCCATGGAGACCTGGGGACCCATGCGGATCGAGAGAACTGCGGAGACCAAGAAGACCACGAAGACCAAGAAGACGACCGAGGCCGAGGAGGAATCCTGGTGCAGATATGGAAAGATAGTAGTCGATGGCCATGGGATGCAACGTCGCGAATGGAAAATATTTGCCGATCACATGGCGCCCATACCCGATGGAGATTATTCTCTAGTTGGCTGCCGGCATGGTGGATGCTGGGTCGTATGTGAAGCGGGAAGAACCCTTGATGAGATGTTGAAAGTTTCTGTGATTTGTATGCCGAGCCATGTAGGGAGAGATTTGTATCGGATGGGGTTAGTTGCGTCGGGAGTGGAGATTACATTTCTATAAAAATCCTCGCGGGGAAGGGGTTGCAATGCTGGGTGGGCAGGGGGTGGATGAATGGGGGTGATGTAGCTAGCTGATGTTTTTTTTCTTATGCTGTCCTGTAATTCAAAAACAATGGGGGTAGCATCTACTGTCGCGCTGTAATTTGTGTTGATGATTGGTACACTGTGAATACATGATACATCGCCAACTAGCAACAATGCTTTGGGTGCGGATATTACAGCAATGATGGCGGCCCCTATGCCGAGTACCTAGGCAATACACATTTGCAGAAGTTCAGCTCCCCATTTCTGCCATATACAGGCTACTAGCACAATGATTCCATTCCCAACGCGATCTATTAGAAGACAAATGCAACACCTCCGTCCGTCTAAAGCAGAATCTCCTTTGCTTGGCCAGCGCTCGGTACCATCATCCCCAAGCCAATAGCCCAATCTTCCCTGCCAGTCTCCGCCACAAGTTCCTTCACAAGATCCGTCCTTCTCCCGTACGGCTTCGGGCTCCCAATCGTACTGATTCCCCTTCCAAACATGACAGCCCTCTTCGCGACGGCATTGCTCAACCCCAACAACCCTGCCTCGGCCAGCAGCAGTCCCAGTATCACCGCACTCCCTGTAGCCGACGCCACCCCCATCACCGCCGCAGTGCCATAGACCAGCACGGTAGCCGCCGACACCGCAAACCCCTCCACGTCCGTGGTATTCCGCATCCACTGGCCGGAAGTGACAGTCTTTATATCGTCCACCAGTCCGGAGATACGGATCCAGCGATCCTGGGAAACAAGCACCAGCAGGTCGCCATGCACACCCGGCTCAGGCGCGCCTTTCCAGCCCAGGCGACTCTGCCGCCGGATAACGGCGACATTCACCGCGCGGGCAAGGACCAGCGCGCCGATGCACGAGACGGCATACCAGTCCTTGAGCGCGACGAGGCCGACCGTCGCCGCGACCGTCAGGCAGATCGCGGAGCCCCAGAGGACTTCCGCGAGGGTGCCGACGCCGGCACCGCCGGCTCCCGGCGATGCGACGGCGCAGTTCACGAGCTGGCCGGGTACACCCACGCGCTGGAAGAACGCCACCGTCGCTTGGTTCTCGACGCGGAATACGTAGCCGGTGGTGAGCGCGGCGGTCGCGGGGAGCTCGCCGTCGTTGGCGCGGAAGGCGGATTGCTGCGTGTGTAGGCCCGGCGCAAGGAGGAGACAGTCGAGGTATGAGGATGTGCCGGTTATTGCGGTGCGAGCGGCAATCGCATCGAGAGGAGCGAGCGCGACGAGGGACGCGGGCGGGAATGGGAGCGCGGGGAATGATCTGAACATCGTGATGTCGGAGTGCTGTGCAGTGGGTGGACGCGTCGCGAGGTGTAGAAGAAGACGATGACGATTTTGTGAAGAATGGTGCGGACAGTTACAACTGCACAAACGAAGACAATGTACTTATTGTACTTTGCGGCGTGGTTGCCTACGCACTGCCCCAACTCACCGGCCTGAGCTCCGTGAAGTTGTGTGGATGTGGCGCGGGGTAATTGGTCGCCTCATGAGAGACACCTGCGGGGTCATTGATTCGGTGAGCTATGTGCTTCTGGACGCACAGAAAAGTTTCGCTCGGTGAAGTAGGGCTGACGATCACGCACTAACACGTATGCAGGGTTAGACAATTAGCGGCTTCGCCTATTGCAACGCCAGTGGTCGCGCCGTCTAGTTGTCGAAGCTAAATCTACGGCCGCGAAATGAGAACTCTCCCAACATACAAGAAAAACACTGCATAGATATATAGCACGTTCTTGGCCGTAATTGATATCGCAGGAAGAACAAACATAATACATCGCGGCTGCCTATCGCATGTCTAGAACCTTAAACTGTGTGGAGTCTCGACAAGTCTCAGCCCCGGAGCTGTCCGCATTAATTATCATACAAACAGGAGCTCCTTATAATTGCAAGCCGTGTTGTATTGGAGAGGCAAGGCAACCAAGCGTTCTCATTTGCTCCGCCACAATGTGCTGGCACATCGAGTGACTTTCGAAGGATTGATATAGCCGAGTAATAGCCCATGCAAGCGCGGACGTGAGCAATTGGCTGGTACTCGTTGGCAATACTGGAGGAACAGAACAGATGCGCTTGCATATATAGAGCGTCGAGCAAAAGCAGTGCGAAAGTGCCAACAGCGACTGGAATAGTGAGCAGATGCACGGACGTCGGAACGCAAGGCTATATTACGGTTCAACGAGCTAAGCTTCGCGTCATACCTCGTCAGAAGAAATTAGCAATCGTACCATCGGTGCTGGCATTCATCGACAGTTTCCTTGATGTGATACCGAGTGTTTGAGACCGCCCGCCAAGTAGTGTGACGATGCTGCTACGTTCAGCAGTTGGAGATCTTGCTTCACATCGCGACGATGTGCACACTCCTGTCTATTATGACGCTAGGATTACATAACCACTTACAGCTGGTTGGTTTCATCGAAAATCTCTGTTAGTATAGTGGTTAGTATTTCCGCCTGTCATTACAATGATAGTCCGCGGGAGACCAGGGTTCAATTCCCTGACAGAGAGTTCAATTTTTTCCCCCCCAGGTGTGCTGTGAGCCATACCTAGTGTCTTTGGCACTCACCAGACGACACACGAGAACGCCACAGCTATAGACGTAACAGTACAATGTGGCAACATAAAAAAATTACAAATTGATTGATTGATCCAAGCACTACCGGGAAATTTTGGTTGACTGTTGACACGGCTATTTTTTTGGGCGGCCACTACATACTATCAACTACAGTTAGCGGCGCCGTCGGCAACCACTCTCTGCCGCCCACTCTCTCGTAACAAGGGCCGAGATCGAAGATGGCATCGTTTCCCAGCGACTGGGAGGGGATATGCGCTGGTCTGATGTATTTAGCTGCGTACCGACGGAGTGCGGCCCCGGGGATTCGGGGAGTGGAGGGACCTGGTTGAGACTTTGTGTTTGGGAGGAGAGACCTTATTGAGACCTAGTCGGACCTATGTGTTATGGAGGGGACACGGATCAGACCCGATGCGGTCGGTAAACGTTGATTTATTTCTGTTGTCACCAATTTTTGTTCTGCCTGTCCGTCTTGCTTTCTTCTGATCATCATCATCATCAACGTCATTGACCTCACTTCTCAATTCCTCATTGTTTTTGTCTCGTCAAGTTTTTGAGTCTCTGGATAGGTAAGTACGGTAGGCGTGAACATGCGCAAAAATGACTGTCAATTGATATAAAAGAAAGTAGATACAATATCATCGCCACGCTTTTGAAGCCCGCTTCACACCACCGGTACCACCGCCGGCATATCCACCGTATCCACAACCGTATCCACCACCCTTCCTCAGCGTGCTAAGCACACTTTTTTGGCACACGCCCACCGCCTAATTTCCGAGCTTCGACACGATGAAGCTGACAGCCTCGGTGACCTTTCCGGAGTACATGAAGTGGGGCAGGGCGATGGTGAGGGTGCCCTCGCAGACGAGATCGCCCGTGTTGCAGAAGACCTTGACGCGGTCCTGCGGGTAGCCGGGGATGCCGCCGTTGAGCTGGTCGTTCTGTGTGTACCCGAACAGCACGACGGCGCCGACGCGGTCGCGGATGTTAGCAGGCAGCTGCGCGACCGAGCGCGCGGCGACGGCGGTGCCTTGACTGTGCGGGAGTTAGATGTGCAGGGGAAGCGGGGGAGAGGGCGGGAGGGGGAAAGTACCTGTAGCCGCCGGCGGCGATCTTCGCGCTGGGGCACTTCGTTGCCACGTCGGTGATCAGACGAGCCATCTCGTCGATCGAGTCCTGGCCGCTGCCGAGGGGGAGGAAGTTCGAGGCCAAGTCGGCCGGGTACTCGACACCCTGGAGCGCGAAGTTGCCGGGGTAGGCGCGCTCAAGGCCGCTCTTGAGTGGGGCTCCGAGGGTGCCCTGGACGGAGATGTCAGTGATGGGAGAACGAGCTATGTGTAGGTGGGGGTACATACGACGTTGCCAGACTCGGTGGAGGCTCGGGCGTAGATCATCACGACAGGCTTGCAGCCTCCCTTCACGTAGTCGTTCGAGGTGGTCGAGCTGCTGAGCAGCTGGCGGCTCTCGAGGGCGACCGGAGACGCAAGCGCGCCGGCGACGAAAACGAGAGGGATGAAGAACTTCATGGCGATTGTTGGGAACGAAGGAGTGAGTGAGCTGGTGCGAGAAGCTGTTTTTTGGGTTTTTGAGCTGGTGGTGCTGACCGAGTAGGAATGAGTGTGTGAAGGACTGGAGGCGGTTGGATGGTGATGGGAATATGAAACGAGAGGGAAACCAGAGTATATATACTCTGAGTCTAGACAGGCGAGCAGTCGAGGACGATTCTTGGGAGCCCCCGGGGGAGTATCCTCTCCACACGTTTTGGTGGAGCTTCAAGTTCGTTCCATTCGTAGAGTTTGGTAGAGAGTGGCCCAGTATGGAACATAGCTTGGCACGTCGGTTGTGGTTGGAATACGGGGTGGGTACTTGGCACGGTCCATCGGTACTATGGGGACCGGTAGCGATATCGGTATTGGGCTCAGCGTTAAATTGATTGCGCAGATATTGTGGGGGAATACGCACTGGCCGTAGCGCATCTGCAACCAATTGGTCGGTCGAGCGGTGTCATGATCTAGGTGGCTTGTGCACCACGATGGGTCCAGCAACTGCAGAGCACGATAGGTATGTGCATACATCGAAGTTTGTGGGAAATCTAATGACATTTCCGATATAGTTTCGAGCTGTCAAAAACGGATTGAGCGGGGGGTAGGAGGCCAGGTCTACGCTGGTCGGCTTTGGCTGTACTGTGGCGGAGCGGAGACAGCATTGACCTGGCAATGCATCCCCGCACGCCACCTGCGTACCTACCACGGGTAGCTAGTACATAGCCTACGGTACGGTCAAGGCACAGGTTATCCCCTCGGCTCTTCTCTGCCCCAGGGTGACGGGATCCGCCGACACGAGCGAAGCTGCCAGGAAAACGGAGCTTCTCAAGAAGACTGGCACCACGACCGACCGCAATGGCGAGTGCGTTCACGGCGAGCCGGACCGGACCGCAGCAATGACGGGGGGCATACGCGGGGTGAATGAACATTCTTAGTACACGATTAAAGAAGTTGACTGGAAGCGGATGGCCGTTCGATGGTGACAAAGGCGTATGCATCAAACGATTCAGATATATGAGGCCAACGGTATCGGCAGCGTTCAAGGATTAGGTTTTGACCGCGGCTTAATGTCGAAGCCGATTAGCGCACGACCAAGGTCATGGAGGGGAGATCGCGGGGTCCTCGTATTCCAAATCCCCACGGAGAGAACCTGTCATGCACGCCGCCTGATCGCAGCCGCCGATAGATCTATGGCATGCATCCAAGTAAGTGGGTTAGGTACCTTGCTGGTCGCTGGTCCCACATCATGCTCATGAGCCGCAGGCTAAAATCGACGACGCAACAGCCTGCGGCTCCGGGTACGAGCCCCGCCTATTTTTTCTGCAGGGTGGTTGTATGAAGTATGTACTACACACGGCCGTTATGGGCGCTCTAGTATAAACGACGTTCAATGGATATGAAGGGCTAACTTATCGCCGAGGTTGTCCACCACCCTTGTCTCAGTCTCTTCCGCTCAGGAGTCGGGGGTATGGTGGAGGTAGGTGGGGGAGGAACCTTACCCGGCCACGTGGTGTGGGGCAATCTTGGCCCTTCCCTCTCTTCCGGTAGTCCGGTAATAACGGTGGATTGGGGGCGGATGTCGGCGTGAGCCTTGAGGCCGAAGGTGAGTAAACTGTAAATTCGAACTAAGTAAGTTTACCCAGATATCGAGTCATCGGTTGTGCCACAGGACCAGCGGGATAAAATCTCCTACGGTGCTGAAGTCTCCACTACCGTAATCGACTCGGCGTCCGCCAACCACCACTTCTTTCCGGAAGCTGCATTATGTCGAAGAATGTCACCGGGCATGTACAGTACATATAGACACACCAAGCCTGTCTAGTCAGCTTTGTCTTCGATAAACTTCTTCTTCGGTTTCAATGTACCTGCATACATAGCGCCGGTGGTAAACAAACGCCGCGACGGGGTTGCCGGTAACTACGGTAGCTCGTGATAACCTGCCGAGGCATCTCGGTCATAACTACAGGGGTACGAGAGCTGGGCCCAAACGATCGGCGCTTCCCCGCAAAAACATTTTGTTGGGAAAACACAGCTATGTTCCTAGTCGGTCACGCGTGGGCGGAGTGTGGCCGTGCGTACGGTACGTAAATACCCTCTCCTTGCACGGATAACGAGGTATGATATTTGATGGTGACGTTTATGGTAATCTCCCCACGAAGCCCATGAATACGGTAAATTCTATACAAACCTATCCGTTAGGCCGCATGTAGGGCGTCCTGTATTAACCTCACTGTCTTCGTGCGCCCTCACGTTTGTTCGTCGGGAGTCGAAATAACAACAGGCACATACATCTATACATCCATAAGGAGAACCCATCATCCCGCTGGTCCGGAACCTGACCCGGAGCCGCGACTGTAGCCTGGCCATCTAAGATTTAGAGTGCGGTGCGCCGGAGGTGTCCTTCTGCACTCCACACTACATATCTGCAATTCCTCGCGTAAAATTCTTCGCCGACGTTAAAATTCGCTGGGATCTTCGAGATTCATAATAAAGTAGTAGTATATACAGACCCCCCACTTGCCGACCTTGTATGATAGAGTAGTAAGACCTTGATACGCATCACACCGGATAATCGTCGAGCGCGGGGTGTCAGATGGCTCTAGAGTCCATACGGTATACCTCGTAACTAGTCCCCAAGGCCACCGATGGAAAATAATGCCAGCTGTTGTTGCGGATACCTCGGTACATCACGAAACAGCACTCGCTGCATGCTACTAAGACCTAGTATTTACACCGGAACGGGTTACTCTAACTCATCGGGATGGACGGGAGCGCATTCCATCTCCAAACATCGTCCATCTCTCCCATCCATCACGAAATAATAGTAACAACAACACCAGTTCCGCCCGCGATCACTCGACACATCGACTCGATTCTGCACGAAAATCCACTTCCTCATCCATAACGCACGAGCGCTGGTGTCGAAGGACCTGCCCACTTCTACATGCACCGCACAGCTTTGTCGGACTCGACTTTGCCGAGCGCCACGCGGTGCTTGGGAGTTTTGGCTCCATTGCCGGACGGCAAAGCTCTGCCTCAATGGGGTGATCCTGCGACATGCGATCGTGACTGCGGTCGTCACTCGCTGAGCACTGTCTGTGCGGCTTCAATGGATCATTGGATTCCCACCTACTTCGGTATGTGCGAATCAAATTCCACGACCCGCTCCTCACTCCACTTCACAAACTAGAATCCTCATCGAAGCTGACTAGGACTAGCACTCCCTCCTTCCACCACCTACGTAGCCCCGTGGTTCGTCGGTAGATGAGACCTGCAGGAGTACAGCACAATGCAACCGGTGGTTCCGCAAGCGGGATGGACACGTGTCGGACGTCGAAGGACGGTCAAACGGAAACAACTACACACGGACACCACTGACGCACAGACGACATGTTGGGAATGGGACTTCAAGTTGGGACGAATAAACGTCCACCGTGTGCACGGAGGGTAACGACTCTTGAGTCTTGACTATTCCTACCGGGCAGTTCCGAATGCGCCACACGTCGGCGCCGCGGAGGTGTGATAAACTACCTGCTACCTTGCTCGCAGTCTGTCGGTGCGGGGCCAATTATCCTCAAATATGCGCTGCGGATAGGCCCCACAGTCCCAAATACCGAGTACTGAGCTGGATTTCCAACGATTGGGACGGAAAGTTCCGCAGAGGGAAATATTCACCTCCGTACTTCGTCGGTGCGCCGTGATATTGGGTACGGCAACTCCTACCTGTAACTAGCGGTTAATAGGGAGTCCCCGAAGGTGCGGCACTGTCAACTGTGGGCCTGGCGTTTGTCGGTGACATGGAACACCGTTTCACGTCCGTGGGTCGTTTTCCCCGCGGATTACATAACCCGGGCACATATCGCCTGGCTTACAAATCATGCGACGCCTTATATTATCTCCCTACTCGACTATTTGTGATAATCACCGGTTGATGAGAATGAGAATGTATTGATGCTATGCAACAGACAGTAAGAAGAGACTATGGAAAAACGCGATAGCGACCTAAACCAGGCTCTTGGTGTCGAGGCCACAAATCCCCGTTATCCGCCGCCGGCGCTGCCGGCGCTCCACCGCCGATCACTCGGTCGCCTACCGCCGCCGCCGGTACCTCAACATCGCCTATGTAGTACATAGGAGCGGCGAAAGTATACGCATCAGTAGCTTTACACGAACTAATTTCTCCGCAATCGACCTGATGGGTGCGACTATCGCATGCATGATATCGGCCGCACCACAGAGCGAATGAGCGGGAATAGGGAGCGGAGTTGCGGTACTCATTTTTGTCCTGCAGTTAGAATGAGATCTATTACCAGGGTTGCAGTGTGACTCATGCCCGCGCACTCGACTATCCACATGATGCAGGAGAAATGAAACTAGGTGGGCTTGGTAATTATTGCTAGAGGAACGAAATCCAGTTCGGTGGGTGTTTCTGATCACTCAAAGGGTGATCGAATGTCACGCACGGTAACTGCTGGTAGATGGATTCAGCCGGGTGAAGTTGATGGGTTGCTGCGATTGGCGTCGAGCACTCCTTTATTTGCCGTGTAGAATGAATCACGAAACAAGCCTGTATATGTCTCTGAGTCTATCCCTCAATCATTATTGATAGTGCGTCTGTTGATTAGGGAGACCATGCGGCTAGAGTTTTCGTGTCCTTAGTTTATGTTGTGTTTCTGAATTGAAAGGCAATGCTGCGAGACAGATTCACCGCGTTATTCCCGGAGGTCTGGGACATTTGAAATGCTCTGTAATCTTGTGTTCCTTGATTGCTTCGCAGCTGCTGTATCCGAACGAGAATTCATACTTGTACTCCTGGTTAACATGTTTACATAATGGCGGCCCAGAAGGCGAAGTGCTGTCACTATCAGGGTAAAAAGAGAGCGGCCTTTCCGACCCCGCCGAAGCTGCCTGACTCCACGCTAGTCCTTCACAGGTCTCACTCGCATTTCGAGTATCATCGTGTGAACCAATGAAAAACACAGTCACTAAATGCCGCGGGCAATAACCTACTCTCATTGGGTGCAGAACGCTAGTTTGAATCCCACGTTGTGTCTCGGTGTCAAACCAATTTCGAAGTTGAGAAAGTCTCACCACCCCATTTCGTCCGCTCTTCAAGACTCTCGCTTCCCACATCTCTTTTCAGACGAACTTCGAACTTCGAATTTCCTTTCCCGACATACTTGGCTCTTAACATTCCGTCTCCCAACGTCTGTACCCCACAACACCACTACCATCACACACTCTCAGGGACGTCAGGTGAAAGTCAAACACCATGCCTAACGACAACTCCTCTTTCGTTTCGGATGATTTGAAGTTCCGCACCATTACTGCTCTCCTTCATACTCTGTCTGCCATCAGGAACACCAAGAAGAACGACAGCAATCGCTTTACCCGTTGGCGTCGGGACTTTCGACTTCTCCTTGCCTGTGCGGTGCTCCTTTGGAGGGACGGCGATGATGTCGCATGTATTCCGCGCAGAACCAATGACGAGGTTGTGGTATTTGTGGGCCGGACACCCGTTTCCAAGAATGAAAACGAGGGGAAAGGAACTGTGGAGCTTTTCGACTGTGAGGAGGTGAAGCTGTCCGAGGCGACAAGGGCGGGGGTGGTGGAGTTTCTCATCGCAAACTGGTACGATCCACCGGCACCGAAATGCAGCTGGAAACACTGCTAACCTAACGCACAGGGGCGATGTTGACTTTTATAAACATGCAAGCCTGGTCGCTGCCCTGCTCACGGAGAGTGAAGACTCGCATGTCGCTCACAAGGCGCTTGGAGATTATGCGCTCATCACCCATGTAGCCCAGCTGTCGGACAGGTTCTACCTCGACAGGTACCGCTCCGTCTTCGCCATGGTCAACATTGCCTCCTTCGATTCCCCTCCCGCCATTGAAATACTGAGTCGGATCGACGAACATGAGCGTTGGATCTTGAGGGCTCTCCTCGAAGCGAGACGCGATAAGCAAGGAGAGGAACAGGAAGTTGAGGAGTACCCGGTGATGGTGCGGTTGCTCCAGACTCACCAGCTCGCCGATGAGTATGGAGTGGTGGGTGACTTCCTGAATGAGTTCCAGCACCTGCTGTGCAGGTTGCTGTTGAATGTGGAAGTCGCGCTGCCGCCGTTGATGGAGGTACAAGGGGGCTTGAAGATAGGCAGGGACACGCCAGACAGGGCGAAACTCACGAGGACCATCGCCGAGCTGGACTCGCCGCTGCAAGTCCTCTCGATATTGGCATGGGAATCGAAGATCTTCCGGTGGCATATCGGCACGTTTCTGGGCAGATACTTCCAGACATTGGCCCCGGAAGTGGTCGAGAACCTGGACCCGCAAGATCATCACGACGACACCAAAGACCTAAGGCCATCTGCGTACGCCGACGTTTGCGACTTCTACCATTTTGAGCCAGTAGAAGTAAAGGCCTCGCCCTCGATAGAATGGCTATACTGGTTCAGGTTGATAACCAGCCCGGTCTATTTGCCAACCCTCTTTTTCGACACTGATCTGCCCCCGGTGCGCGTACGCATGTTGGAGTACTCCCCCCCTTCTAGAGAGATGCTGCCGTGGCGCGATTGCATCAAGTGGATCTATCGTTATCACCACCTGGAGACCGAGAATGACGCCATCTCGGTGCTGGAAGCCCAGTTCGCCAACGGGTCCGAGAAGAACTTCATCGCGAACCCGTCCTTCATACCCGAGTTCACTACACACCCGGAAGCCGTCCTCGCGACCGTCCGCCATCTCGCCAAGGAAGATCGCCATGACTCTTTCCTGAAACTCTTTCACAACACGCCGTCGCTCATCAGTACCTCTGCCCCGTGCTGTGGCGTCTGCATGACCATCATGGAGGTTCTCGTACCGCACTCCACCAAGGTCAGGTGGCTCCCCACGAATGGCGACATCATCCCAAGCGCCTTGCCAATGCATTTGCCACAGCAGGTGAGTACTAAGGTCATCGGCCACATGGCGAACATCCTAAAACGCGAGATTGAGAAGTTGTCGTGCCACCAGAAGACCCAAGAAAAGTTGTCTCACGAATAAATGATTTGGTTGTCAGGATTCCGGGTGGAGCTGTCGCGCTACCAGAAGTTCCAAGAAATGTTGTCTCACGAATAAACGATTTGGCCGTCAGGATTTCGGGTAAGAGGGGGCGCGTTGCATGGCATAGGACTTAGATCATGGTTCACGAAAATTTACAGTTAGAAAACGAGTGCGGAGTGACTGAGTATATGTGTGCCCTGTGCTGTAGAATCGCCATGTATTTGTACAAGCCGACCGGACCCTTCTCACCTCGTAGGATACCTTTCCTAATGCACCCATCGTTCGCATAATTAGCAAAACACAGGCTCTCACTACTAGTAAACGTCCATAGTCCCACGTCGCGGGATCGCACAACGTCGCTAGATCGAGGTTTTTCGGGATCTCGATAAACCCTGCGAATCGGGAACGTCGGCGAGATGTTTTACGCGAGGGTGAATTATCACGCTACCCGTATTCCATAGCTCCCATCGACCAGTGTTCTGACGCTGTCGGACTTCACTAGGTGCACGTTGGCGCCAGACGCACCTCCCAGGCCGGGCCTCCCAATTCACGCGCACGTGATGAGAGCCGTGCTCTTCGCTTAAAATTCGCACACACTGTTTTCTTTATACTGTGGCCAAGCCACTAAGCGCCGGCTGCAGTACGTCTGGTGCGCGCGACGTCGCAGCCCGCGGGTAGGTGTATCCACCGCCACCGGCAGTATGACAGTCATACCATCCCACGTCGTGATAGTCACGTATAGTTACCTAATACGACCGAAACGCAAAATTCACGTCGGTAATAATTTTGGCCGAGCGGGGATTGTGGTGCGGCTGATACCCGCGGCCCGGTCTATCCATACCGATTTCTTCACCCCGGAGAATCAATTCGCCGTGTTAAAGGCCTAGAGATGGGTCAAAGTAAAAGCAGACTTCAGTGCAACGATCGCGATGAGCCGGCACTCTACATGTTATTTGTGGATCACATTACTGTTCTCAACCGAAAGCCCGAGAGAGATTATTTGGTGGAGAGGTCACAGGTGAGAGAACCGCAGTTTTTTTTTCGGACCACGAAACACCGTCATGCCAGATCACTCGCTTTTAGCGGCCTGATGAAAGATCATCTCAGTTGTCTGGGAACGCGGTAAAGAGATCATGGCAATGACTATATGAGGGTGAAAGTGAGAAAAGAAGACTACAAGACTTCATTAAAACACATAAAATTACAGGAAAGCGCCGAAGGAGAGAACCACCCACAATACGCACGCCTCACTACATGTCTTGTAGGAAACCTACGACCCCCCACATGCGCGCAGGTGAAAATATCGGTGCCCCCGCTACACGTCAGAGCCCCGACCGACGTGAGCTCCTATCGTAAGAAGGTTGACAGTAATTGCAATCTACGTCTTTCGAGAGATGCCAGAAGCCATCGCTGAATATTGGTTGTCCAGAATTTCCCTGTCCCGTTAGTTGTACAAAGCCGAACCGTTGGAAAATCTCATTGGTGAAAGGCAGTAAGGGGGACTCGAACGCAGCTCATGATTATTGCGGCGCGTTTTCCCTGGCAGGCGGTGCCCTCTGCGGAAGCCGGATCCGGACCTCTATGTGGAAGGCGATGAACTCCTTGTCGGGATAGCGCTTGTCATACGCGACGTGGGTGCACGTTTGCGCGCTCATTATATTGTGGTTCCCGCAGAGAACGCACTTCCAGGTGGGAAAAAACGTAGATGAAGACCGTTGATCCATAATTATGATGTTGTCAGAGAGAAGATAGGTTTGGTGTGAAAGGTGGGGCCTCGGCGGCGTCGGTAGGTACGGATGTGAGGACTGTCGGGAGTTTAACAAGGAACAAACAGCAGAGTGATATCAACACCAGGAATGGTATTTATGAGCAGTGGCGGCAGTGATATCTTTAGAATGGTACTCGTCATGATTCATCCTTCTATCAGTGATCGCAGCCATACAAGCTCAAAACTCGCTTCAATCTCCTGTGTAGGCAAGTATTTTACTATGACCAGTAATGATAGCATGACGTTCTACTGCTTCGTAGTAGCACCTTTGTATTACTTCAGATCCAATCCTAAAAAGCTCATTGTAAAGGCTGTGATTTCTTTACAGCCGTGAGCATTACTGCCCACTCTGACAGAAGCGATCATGGTCCAAGCTACTGACATACTTCTAGCGTGGAAGGTGTTTATTGAACACCTTCAACGCTCGCAGGCTGCGACCATTATCAGCCGCTTCCGGACGTTCAAACCACAACATTTCCCTTCCTTCGGAATCCCATAAGAAATAACTATGTACTGAAGACCCATACGAAAACCCCGTCAAACGAAGACTCATAAAATCTTGGTACCTCATCGAAATTCATGGCCACGTAAAAAGCCTTCAAGCAGAAGGAAACCCGTGGCTACTTGAGAAAGAGTATACCAAACAGAAAATGAAAGAAGCATGTATCCTAATTCGCACCAGTAAGCGCTGTCCGCTTCATAACCGAAACCAAACGCTTCCCCTTGAGCTCAACGCGTCATCTCAAGTTCTCAACTCTAACCACATGCTTCCAGTGCGTATCTTGGGGAGACTCTTCGTCAGGAAGTTTGCTACTATCTGTGATATCGGCAGATGGATTGTTTCAATGGCGTCCCGCTCGCATGCCTCTAGGAAGAAGTAAAATCACTCACCGATAGGCCTCGTCCCGTCATAGGGATTTCGGTTCTTGGCCAGCTGTATGGTGCCTTGGTTGTCCACACAGATCTCCTGTAGATAGGCTTCGAATGCAGTCAAACGACAGTGGAGGGAACGGATCAAGCTCTCTTTCATTCTAGTATCATCAACACCAGGCACCCCCCGCTTACGGGTGCCTCTTCGACAACGACTCCCTCCTCCAAGTCCCGCCTCTGCTGCGCTTCGGCCACCCCCTGCGCATTGACAAGGGATTCGTCCTCCGGCTCTTCCGCCGCTTGCCGCACTCCCGGCTGCTCCCAGATCTCGTCCTCATCCGCAAAGGTCACCACCACGATCTCTCTCTGGAGCTGGCGCTCGAGGGTCAAAGCCCTATCGTGTGCGGCTAGAAGGTCGTTCTCCTTCATCTCTGCATGCTCAACCTCGCGCCCGTGGACGCGGTCCCTCCGCAGACGGTAGGGAGCAAATCGGCGACCGACACGAGAGGAAATTGCGGCTCTGCGTGGCCCCTGTCCGGAAGAGCTTGGCGCGGAGGGAATACCGACGATGCTCACGGAAATTGAAGGATTCCCATCCAGGTCAAGCTCTTCCGCCTCGGTCGTCGAGGTCTCCATTCCCCCATCTAGCGCACTCCTTCCCTCTGCTTCAGCGAGCGGATTTGCCTCCAAGGCAAGCGCGACAAGATACGCTTCCTCGAGGTCTTCCTCTTTCTTCGGAGCGTTCGGCGGCCCCCATGAACAATGGACGCGAGGTCCAAACGGGCCGTAAAGAGACCTGCGTGGGAAGGATGGGACAAGGCGCGGGAAGGGAAAAGTGAGGCGCTTGGCACTGGGAAACATGAGGTCGTCGTCTGCTGGGCGCTTCAGAGGGCTCTGACGAGCGGACTCGCCATCACGGCCACTGGTAGGAAGACGGTTCAAGGCGGAGCTGCGCTCCCGTACGAGGTCCGGTGCTGTCGCATCACGATACCTCTAACTTAAGTTAGTAATAGTCAGCGTTACTGGGGTCAAATCCCTTACCTTGCCATTACTGGCTCTATCGACGGCCTGTGCTTGAACAGAGCCGCTGCGCCGGGTAGTCCGAAGCTTTCTGGCTGCAGGTCCCCCGTCGGTGTTCTCCTCGCCGAAAGGATTGAGGCGTTTGCCTGACGTCACCTTAGTGATTGTCCTGATCGACGCGGCGCTCAGGTGGCGGCTTTGCGCGAGCAGCTCCGGTATGGTGGGCCGCGTGGCTGGGGTAACCCGACGAGAGGTGTCGGGCATGGTGGAAGTGGTGCGAGGACGGAGTACAGACGCAGTGCAATTGTGGCTCGTCATGATTTCGGTTGGTGCTGAAAGTCGTGGACAATCGTGTCTGTGTGTATCTGAAGAAGAAGAAGAAGAAGAAGAGGAGGAGGAAGCCGATAGGAGAAGAAGGTCAACCATCACAGTGGGGCGTTTTGGGTGTGGGCCTGGAACAGTAGGGCTTTCAACCCCTACGTAGATATTTTGCTGGATCCCCTCAAACCACGTGCCACTCTGCATACACCATATTCACCAAGTAGAATCACTTTCAACATATTGGGAAGGGAGATGCATGTCGAGTGATCTAATATCAAGGGGTGCCGAGAGATCCACTACGCCACGACTAGTACCACAAGCTGCATCATTTCCGGGCCCCAATGGGGCTTCAGTCTTCCTCTGGCTTTCCCGGAGCCCTATAGTCCTTGCTATCCCGGGCCCGACAAATCCCGTCCCGTCTGGGGCATAACCCAGGACGGACTGGACGGACAATTCCCGGGCCTGGTGTTTAATCGTGAGGATAAGGGAGTTTTGCATCAGGAATTGGAACAATTCTGGTGGGTGCGGGGAGGCGTTTCTACTGCTTGAACTGCATATGGTGAGACACACTCACTGAATACGCACGATGCCATGTGACCACATCTTTCCATGCCTTACCGCAGCTGTCCATGCCTGAGATCTGCTACCCGTGTAGGAATGCAGGTTCCGAAAGAAGAAGACATATTAGTGGCGCCGTCTTGATGTTGTAGATCCGCAAAAGTGTGCCGTAACCCACCCCGCGCTGGACTGGAATGATAATTTTGGCCATTTCTGCTTCGATACTTTGCTCATCCATCAAACCGGAATCTCAGCAGGCATTTCTACTACAACCAGCGGTGCCATCGCTGTTCCAGCACTCATGTCCAACAGTCGACGTAACGAGTTTCACAAACCCACTTGATAATCTTTATGCTGAAGCCTGGGACATGCCACTTGATAATCTTTATGCTGAAGCCTGGGACATGCGTCAAGAGTTCAGCTCCATCCGCACCGTCATAGTTATCTCGCAACCTGTAGAGCTATCAAGCACAAGTGTAGCCGACATCCGCGTCCAAACTGCACCCATCCCACCCACCACCGGTATTCCGCCCCTCAAATCAATCATAGCACCCACGTAATGACCCTCACAACCAGCACCACGACAGCAGAAAAAAAAGTAGATCATGGGCCGTGACTTGCTCCTCGACGTCAAGCGTATCTTCTGTCCGCCCATTCCCGGAAACTCCTCCGTGAAAGAAGCTTGCGAGAAACAAACCCCCCACCCAGACGCCTGAGCAATCTGAGCATAGGGAAGTGGAGTCCGACACCGCACCACCTAAACCACCAGCATTTGCCGTGTCCGCAGCGTCTCCACCTCGCGACGCTGAGAAGGATGAAGGATGGAAGAAGGTTGAGAGGAAGAGGCAAGGGAAAGCGGAAAAAGAGCGAGACAGGATTTGGAAGAGAGGGAGACGTCTCGGCGCGGGCTGATAAAGCTCAGTGGTGCGGACCCTCTCGTCCATAGAGTAAGACCGTCGCCAAGGTTAAAAAAATTCACCCTAGGTTTACAATTTCAACGAACACTCGACCAACACGTTATCCCCAGCACCATCAAGTCCACCGCCCACGTCGCCGCCATCTAGCCAATCAATACACTCCGTTTTCGACAGAATATTTTCAGCAATTCGAAAGATGCATGAATTAAGACAAGCGCAGGACTACCCGCCGCCGCACCTGTTCTACCCATCGCTACCTCTACTCTACTGCCTGTCGCCACTATCAACAAGCGGCACACGATTGGACAGTTCGCTCCAGGAGCGACAGAGTTTGATTGCCAAAATGTGGGCTCGGAGAGCGAGAAAGTAGGCCGGGTTACTGTTGAAGAGTCCGAGCTTCGTGATGTTGAAGACTCGGAGGAGTCACCGCCGCCACTGGCCCAGCAAATTAGAAAGAGGGTACGCAGGGTTTCCATTCCATCCAAAGTTATGCCGAATAAGGGTGCAGACTCGGGAAGATCTCTGACGAAAAGGGGAAGGCGGGTCTAAGATTGAGGGATGGTTATGCTTAGTTGTAAATATGTAAATTATTTTCAATTAAGGGCGTAGTGTTCAGTGAATCTCTTTTCTCACGGCCAGTTCAGAGAATCTCTTTCCTCACGGCCAGTTCTTCGTCACGGCCTGTTCAGTGAATCTCTTTCCCCACCGTCAGTTCATATTCCCGGAGGAATACTAGGCGAGCGCGGTTAAGAATATTGGGAGCTTGGAAAGAAAGATTAAACTTTGTGGATGGTCTGGCCCAGCCGAAGGATTCTGTTGATGGTCCAGCCCAGCCGGAGGAGTGTGTGGATGGTCCGGCCCCAAGTTTCCAAAACATTATTTTTGAGCGTGCCCAGGGACCAGAACTTTTCTGGGCATCGTCCGGCCAACAAGCCGATCAGGACTATTCATAGACGGGCTGGCCAGCTGGTAGATGGGCCGGCCCATCTAAAGGTGGAAAAATCTGCCATGTGGGCTAGAACACAGACAAAGTACAAGGTGAAGAGGCAGTACTACGCGTGAAGGCGCCGAGGAATCGCAGTGAGCTCAGTCAGTGTCGTGGCGTGGGTACAGTGGGGGGAGTCGAGAGGGATCAATACGTCACTGAAGGCTGTGTTGCGGAAACACAGGAAGACTTTCGTCAAGCTATTCGTTTCGTCGATTGGCCACGAGTCGATGTGACGCGGATATATGCGGCGGGGACTTATCTGTGCAATCCTGTCTTCAGGTTGTAGTGATAGCGAGGCGATCATCCTTCTTTCAGTCAAAGTTCACTGTCTGAACAAGCACGGCGTGAGTTGCCGCAACTCATCTCACTAGCCGGCCAGTTACGCTCCGCGACGTTCTACCGGTTCTGCGTTTTTACTACCAGAGAACTCACAATCGATCCCTTTGGCATGTAGGTTGACCGTCGGCACAGCTTTGGGCTATGCGAAAGACGAGATGGACGACGTGAGATTCACTCCCTGACGCTATGTACAGGACGGACAATTGACGATTCAGGAAAGGTCGATCGATATCATGTGGTTGGGGACCCCTTAAACCAATCACTCGGGACATTTGTTTTTACTGACCACATCATGTAGGGGCGCCAGTCACCATATGTGGACTAGCGGCTCTGTACTATAGTAGTCTACTTCTCGACTAGATCTTGGCATTAAAGCTCTCAACCATGGGTCCATGACAGAAAACGGTGGCAGAAAATCAGAACCATCCGCCAAAAGCACTGAATCGTCTATAATAGAGCAAGTGTTACTTAACTTACATGACTAGTGGTTATGCTAGCGCACTACATAATCAGGTGACGTTCAAAAACATTGCCACACAAAACGCTCGTCAAAAAAAACCAGGGTCGAATTGGGTCTCAAAATTGTGATGTAAGAAGTCCCCAACATAGGATCCTTTTCCGCGTCATCATACTTATCCGCATCGGGATCCAGCGACTCCACGCCATTCCCCATCTGGGAACCTATGTCAATCATGTTCCAGATCATCGAGTCCAGCTGATGGAACACCTTCTAAGACTTTGAATCTTGAAAAGCCTGCTTTGAGAGTCTTCTCTTCATTCTCAAGATCTCCCACTTCTCGTGTTTCTCCTCACGTCGTGCCCTTAGGTCCTGGAACTTCGCCGCGCTTGACACATCCATCTTCTGCTCACTGCGGTGCTTGGCGAGTTTCTCCTCGTCAGCCGCGAGGTTGGCCTCGACCTGGGCGAGTTGCACCAGAAGACGGATGCGCTCGATGTCGGCAGCAGTGGTGCTGGTGGTGGTGGCGGCCACCTCTGGTGAACCAACGAGCGTGTTGTACTCGCTTTCGCCACTGTCGGACGAAGGCTTCTTGCGTATGTTCGACTTCGTCTCCTTGGAGTACTTCTCGTTAATGGTGGTGAGAGTATGCGCGCGTGGCACAGCGACGTCCTCGTCGTCGCTGTCCGATTCCTGTGACTCGGCGGATCCGCTAGTCTCTACCATGTCGTGTTGCTATGCCAACGTCGCTATCCGCGGCATCACTGACGTCGCCTGTGGAAGTGTGCTCGGTGTTCCCATACAATTCGTTCCTCTGGCGGATTGCGATCTTTTACATGTCAGCATAATGCTGAGATACGAGGCTCCGAGACCTCTCCTACCCTGCCCTAGATCCGGGGCTGGAAATCGATGCACTGGACGAGGCGGTATTACTCACAAGATTGGCATCGATCGTAGAAACGTTCTGGTCCATGTTGGTGTGATAGTGGCGTCGATGAGAGTGGGATGCGGGGGGGGGGGGGGGGGCGGCGGTGGGAACAGGCAGAGTTGCACCGGGATGATTGTAGAGCGAGCTGTTGTCTTCGTATGTGTGGTTGATAGGATCAGGAGCAGAAGCCGGAGAGTGTGGGGTGAAACTCGGCTGGAGAGCTAAAGGCAGTACTAAAATGAACGAACGGCGCCCCAGAAACACACTAGTATTCTAATCCTTTCACGAATATGCTGATGACACGCCGAGTCGCGGCTGGGCTTTAGGGTTGTAGATAGGGTAGCGTTGTAGATAAGTCCGAGTGACGACGGATGTACGGAGGTAGATAGACTTCGGGTCCTCGACCGTCTCTTCCCAATCAACCTACCTTTCCCCACCTACATGGGCCCTCTTCTTCATGTTTTGCAAGTGGTGAAGATGTGGGTTCGGAAATTGCACCGTGCGAAGGGGTCGGCACAATCGGCGAGGACACTCAGATGCGGAAACCAATTATGCAACAGTGGACGAAAACACTAGTGCTCCTTCTTCTACCGCACACATTCTACTTACCCTCTTTCCTTCTCTTCCTCTTCCTCTTCCTTTTCCTCTCCACCATTCGCTTCCTCTTCCTCACTACCACCACCAACACCAACAACACTCTTAGTAAGCATTCTTCTTTCTTCTTTCTTCAAATTCCTTTCTTCTACTTCCTTCCTTCTTCCTCTTCCTCTTCTTCCTCCTCCTTACTACCACCACCAACACCAACACCACCCTTGATAGGTTATTATCTATCTAATACAAAGAAAAGAACCATCAGGCCAGCAACAGCACGACATTACCGGCACGGATGGGCAAGAAGTACCAGCAAAGAACGTCAATACCGTACTACAACTGTCGAAAGTTTCTTTTCTGTGGGTAACCCTACTCAGCGGTTTCCTTTTCCCCTTCTTCCTTCCTGTGCTCTTCGTACTGCCCCTTCCCGTGCCTCCTGCCCGTGCTCCCCCTTCGTGTCCCGTTGCTTGCTTTCGGTTAGCCGATCCGCTCGCCGCTACTTGGCTCGACCTGCTCCGTCATTGGCAATACTGCAGAGAAGGCGTCCGGCTCGGCCTTCTTGGGTATTGCCAATGCTACAGAAAACGTTTAAATTTGCCAGGACACCACGATGCGAAGGCACGCTGGAGATTGTCTTCGGGACTGTCAACCCCTTTCCCCCTTGTCCTGTTGTGTTCTTCGGTTTACCGACTTCCTGCTCGCTACCTGGCTCGACCTCCTCTGGCATTGTCAATACATCAGAAAACGCTTTGTGCCTACCGGCTCAGCCTGCTCTGGCATTGCGCGATACAGAGAGGGTTTAGATTTCTCAGGACACCACGGATAGCCTTCAGGACTCGGTCCCCCCCTCCACCCCTTGTCCCGTGCTTTCCTTTGCCAGCCGATCGGCCGCCGCTACTTGGCCCGGCCTGCTCTGGCAGAGATGATACTGCAGTGAAGGGTATCGGCTCTGCCTGCTCTAGTATTGCCAATGCTTCCGAGAGGTTTAAATATGCCAGGACCGCACGAGCGTTAAGCGTAAGCGAGTTATAAAGTATTCGGCACCCGGTACTTTCCTCCTCGACCCGGGCTTTCTTCCGGTTTGCCTACCCGCTCTGGCTACCTGGCTCGGCCTGATCTGGTGTTTCGGCGCTTCAGAGACTGGTTTAAACCTACCGGGAAACCACGATGGAAGGCAAGCTGGAGAAAGTCTTTGGGACCTGGCCCGCGCCTTCCCCTCATCTTGCTTTCTTTCAACTTGCGGAGGGGCCTTCCAGCTCTAGCTAGTCGTCTTCGCATACCCCATCCCTGCTACCTCACAGACGAGGGAGAGCGGGGTGAGGAATAACTTACCATTCTTTCTCCCTGAATTTCGACGGTCAATTAGAAATCGCTGACTCTATGCTGAAATCATAGGTTCACTGCAGTGTGCTGGAGGATTCTGAATTTGTTTCGGTTCGTTGTTTGGAGGATACGGGGGCTAGTTGAGATTTGGTTTCTTCTTCTTTTGTATCTAGTAATGGACTTCTATCATGTTTAATTCTAGCTGCACCACGATCGGCAGAGTGCCGTGTGAACGTATTACGGTATCATGCGAAGATGTATTCACGTAAACGCACTCGTGGCAAAGTCTCCGTTTGGATGCTGTTGGTGACCGCTGTTGGTGGAGCCCGCTGCCCGCAATATTCAGTGTACATAGTATTACTACTATAATTGCGATACAATTTATAGCACTCTACGGTACAGACAGAGTATGCTCACCATTGAGTTGGTGTGGTGTCCGTGTGAACAACCAGCTTTGCGTTCACTGCAGGGAAATGTGTGCTTTGCCGGGGCGTCCGGTTGGCAGCATTGATCCTGGAGTGGCTATACACGTAAAGATAGCGGCCGCGGTCTGCGTCTACCCGGGGATTCAGGGTTGCGACAATTTCGACGACGCGTACCGCGTGTAGCGTGATGCGAAGGAGGATCTCCTTGTGTGCGTTTGAAGAGCTTGGGTGTGAGTATCCACTCCCAACGCAGAAGCATGTATTCCCGATGTCCCACGACATTGATGATTTTTAGTTCGCGCCGGCTGCGATCTGTGAGCTGAATTCCGCGATTGGGCGATGCCAGGATAGGACATAGGAAGCTGTCGATTTCGGAGCCGGCGCTGTGGCGGAGTGATGGAGGAGGTGTTGGCGGGAGAAAACGTATGTTTTCAGTATCCATGGCGCGGTCGCTAAATGGGAATGGAGGACTTCAGCTGGTTTCTTCTTCTTTCTTGATCATTATCTATCGAGATTCGAACCTCGCACCCGCTCACTCCTCTGTCTGTGCTCCCGTCATCATCAGGCCTTTCGACCCACAGTGTCATTGGAGAAGAGCCCTCGGAGAAGCGCCGTCCTTGTTGGAAGGTATGACGAATCACCTTAAAGCCAGCACTATACGAAGGTGTGGATGGTCAGCGGCGGCGCCGCCAAGTCGTCCGCCGGCCAGTCTGCCGCCGGCAGGACGATCGATATAAGAGTCGCTAGATAGCCGTCAATTGAAAGAGCAACTCTCATACAAGTCATACGTTCTTGTGAAACTATTTCCGGTTCCTTCCAACAGTCTTCGATTCCCCTAGTGCGGATTTTCACTTCAAATCTCAATGTGCACGTTTCAGCATGCACAATCACTCGGTACTAGCTTTTACGTGCCTGTTGGAAATGGTGACAAATATGGTGGTTGACAGTGTGTTGACAAATCAAGGGAAGGAAAACAATTATCCGATCCGTGTTGGAGTCGACAATGCGTGTGCCGTACGTATATAGTAGAAGCTTGCCATCATTGTGTTGGTGGTAGCTGTCAACGTGAGTAAAAGATGAAGCGCCAAAACCCCTCATGCACAGTGTCGGAGCCATGCACCATACTCAGGAGAAACCAGACACCATCACGTACGCACCAGTCGCAATCGCGGCGGAGACGGCGCCCACCCGCCGACGTATCGAGCGCGCTCTAGACGCCTTTTGACGTGGGCATCTTCTCAGTCCTCCAGCAGAGCATCGCGCCATCGATCAAGATTACCGCGAGCCAGTATTTTCGTCGATCACGTATCGGTGCCGACCGGTAACGCTTCGCCAGGAATGGCTACTCAGCTCCCGCGATGTTCGTCGATAACCCCCTGCCGCAATCGACGTATACGCGGGGAAAACATTAATACGTTGTATGCGGCGGATTATGCATTATGGATGAGGGGATCCTCGAGAAATCGCCGGCCTATGATATCATTTTTCCATCCACTTTCTATTGCTTATTCGAATCACTGATGCTAGGTTGACGGCAAGAATCTCGTCGACGTTGTTATCATCTAAACAATAGAGGATCACGGTGAAGTTCCTAGTCACGGTAGGGAAGTAGGGAGGAAGGAACGTACCACTGATACCGCCGGTACTATGTGCCTGTATAATTGCGAACTCACTGATGCCAACTTCTCAGTCGCTCTTTTCTTGAAGTCGGGTTTACGTGTTAGTATCACGGAACTGAACGATATTATGAGAACACACAAGTGACAAGGCCCGAACAAATTCAATTCTACACTGCTCCCGCGTGCGTAGAACTAAAAACGTTCAACAGCTAACAAAACCGAACCAAGGAAAAGAGCCGTTGTCAAACCAAAGCCGTAGCGTCGCGGAAACAAAAGAAATGAGAAAGGATATTTTCTTGAAGCACGAAAGCGAACTATCGTGGATGGATGCCTGCAGGCTGGTCCTCACGAGGGATACCATGCCTACGGAGAGGTGCCGGGAGTTGACCCTCCCTCCTCATCAGAGCCGTCGTAATCCATGCACTCCTGCACGATGCGCATCGCGCCGGTGGTGGGCTTGTTGATGGGGGTGAAGCTGCTGGGCAGCGCCACCTTCTTCTTGGACATGGGCTTGTTGATCGGCGTGAAGCTGGAGGGAGAGTCAGCAAGTTGTTTCTTGGAGGCGCCCGCCTGTTTGCGGAAAGCGGCGAGCTTGTTCTTAGAACTCATAGGCTCGTCTGAGTCGTACTGCTTGTCATCCGAGGTCTCGGCGGCATTGGCATCGACAGGTCGCTGCGACGTCTCTGTGATCTCAGCGTTGCCAGCAGTCTTTTTCTTGAGAGCAGCGGACTTGCCCAGACGTGAAACCGAGTGACTCCACATCTTCAAGAGCTCCTCCTTTTCGGCCTCGTGGGTAGGCGAAGTGGAGCGTTCAAAGCGGCGCAGCATGGGGGAGCTGCTGGGGCTATGCTGCTGCGAGGGACCAACTGGCGTCTCGGGAAACTTCTCCTGGTTGGAACCGATGGAGAGATCCTGAGAGGCCAGCGTGATCAGAGCCGAAGCAGCGCTGAGAGTCGCGGGTTCTCTCTTATCTGCACAGTGCACCGCCGGAGGAGCAGCCGCACCCGAGAAAGAGGTGTTAGGGGCGTTCACGTTTCCTTCCTTCAAGATACCCATAGCGGCGAGCCTGTGAGCAACGACGGGTGGAACCTCCTTAGGACTCGGAGTGTCCATAAGAAGCATGTTCGGCACAGGTGGGTCTCTACCAATCGAGGTGTGCTCGCTCTTCAACTCCTCAGTAACCACGGTGGATGCGGGGGAGATGGAGGAAAGTGTCGCCTTTTTCTTCGATCCTGGCTTCGACTTCTTGACCCCGGTAGGCTTCGATTTCTTGCCCTTCGCGGTAGAGCCGGAAGTCTTGATGGTACTCTTTTTCGGCACAGGTGTCTCTGCTGCCTTGGCCTGGCCCGCGGAGTTGGCGAGGGATTCTCTGGTTACCCTCTTAGGCGCACAAGAAGCGATCGACTCCGTTGGCGAAGACCGCAGTTCATTTCCGGAGCGGGCAGATGCATTGTTCTCTTGGGTAGCGTCGTTCGGAGGTGAGTCGTGAACGGAGGCAACAGAACCACCTAAGCCAGGGAGCCTAATGACGGAGCTTGGCATCGGGGCACCGATAGGCCTATAAATCGGCTTACCAGTAGTGTCGTGACCGACCAGCACGCCCGCTGGGCCCAGCTGAGTCTGGTTCGGATTCGGCTGTGGGTGCGTAATGATCGGAGGGCTGTTGAGAGTTGGCGCGTTTGGATGATGGACGGTGCCGTATAGAGGACGACCCATCGCCTGCTTCGACATAACCATATCGTAGCGAACGGTGTTTGGATTGTCGTCAGCGATGCAGCGGAAGCAGTACACCCATGGCCATCCTGCAGGCCACAGCCGCTTGAGGTAGGTGGAGGCCATATACTTCGGCATCATGGTTAGGGGATTGTTGATGAATTCCGCCTTCTCGTTAACGCGAATGTTTCCGAAGCTCACGGTGCGTTCAGCATCACCGAACTCTTCCCTGATGGTGTTGAGTAGTTCCTACAATGATCAGTGACGGTGGCGGGAATGAGAAGTGATGCTTACCTCGATTGTGATGTTGGCCGGGAGGTAGATGTGGTACAGGATCTTGCCGCGCTGATCCTCGGAACGGAACTGGTGGAGGATTACGGTGCACGGGGTGCTAGAGGTGAGGTTGGCCTAAAAGGAGTCAGTCAATGATGTTGAAAAGATGGTATGTTAGGCTTACTGTAGGAGCCTCAACCGCAGAGCGAATGGCCTGGCTCTGTTGCAAAGCCTCGATAAGCTTGCTTGGGTCGTCGCCGCCCGCCGTGAAGACATACATGTTACTCATGTTGTTGCTGAAGTCGTAACCGTTCTGCTGAAGAAGTCAGGTAAGTCAGCGAGTTCTGAAGCTCATACAACCGGAGCTCGGTTGAGTTGGGCATGATGGAACAAGGGATGAAGAAGTGGTAAAGGCAGATCCAATAAGCAGCTTGGGTTGCAGCCCAGGTGAAATGGATGACTCACTAGTAGGGGTGGTAGGCTTTGGGGAAAAGATCGGGTAGATCAGGTAGTCGTAAGGAGCGTTAAGGCGAAAAGGAGTGAAGATCGAAGTAGTGAAGGTCGAAGGAGTAAAGAAGGAAGGAAGGTATGGGGAAAGGAGGGTATTTAAGGAGGGAGAACCTTGCAGGCAACGAAAAGACCGTAGCGTAATTCACAAGTTGTTAGTTGAGGAAAGCGTGTGAGCGTGAATAGAACCTGCGAGCGCATCATGTAAAAATCCCTAGCGTTTGCCCAGTTTGTCCAGGGCACGCAATAAATGCCCTAGTTTGCAAGTTGGCACCAATCAAACCTCGCGGCACGTGCGGTGAGTAGTGATTGTAGGTTCCGTGCACCTAGGGCTAGAATGAATGACGACTCGCTCAGAGAAAAGATGTGGCGTCTTTATCAAACATGCGACGCTTGACAGCGACACCGCTACCGCACGGTAAACTATTATTGATCAAACCGATGACGGCCGACTGTGCAACGAGTCCTAGAATGACAAAACCGCAAACGTTTTTTGATTTTTTCATTTAAGCCCTACCACCTGCACTCGAGTTTGGTAAATTTTCACCTTTAAGGACGCTTTTCCTTACATTTCCAGTCGTGACTAAGTCCATCGTTTGAGCCTTCAATGTTTTTGGAGGTGTTTCAGTCGCCACGTGTGAAAGACTCAATTCCACCGAGGAAGACGCCGAATGTGCTGGAGTCTCGAGGTGGTGTTGAAAAGCGATGGGAGAGCTCAGAGCTGTAGGCGGAAAGAGGCAGCGCGAAGAGCATATAACGGAGGGAAGAAGTGAATGGGGCTTGTAGGTAGCATCAGCGCTGGGGGGTCAAGCGGTGTCGTATGCTCTCTTAGCTGTCTACCCCTTCTTCTGCTTTTTCTTCGTAGTGGTTGGGTAACGAACCGCTCGCAGAAGTTGGTTAATCACGGTGATAACTCCAGTGCCAATCCCACGCACCTGATCTCCGGCATTCACAGCGCGCGGTTAGGTGACGGTTCGGCATTGCGTAAGTCCGCGGTGCAAGCTCAATCCCCGATCAAGTGGTTTGCGGTGCGTTCTTTCCTATGTACTCCTCCCCCGGGTTCTGTCATGTCACATGACCGTGGTCCGTTGATGCGTTGCATGAATATATTTCTCCGCGGCATTCCGGTGCTCCCGAGAAACGGCGGAGGATATAAGGCGCGGCGGATAGGGGGTGCGGTGGATATCTCGTTTAATGCTGCGGTGGAATCCGCGGAGCTGACCGAAGTGGGCGGACCGGTAGGCAGCATAGAGTCTGGACGGTAACTGTTGCGCATCTTGACGAGGTCCTATGCATCGTCGTTGTCAGCTCCGTCATTATGAGGGGCTCATTTGCCAAGAACGTTCCAGGCGGGAGGCAGAATCGAGAGTGGAGCGCACAGAGAGGAAGGCGACGACGTGGGGGTAAATCGTCAATCTGAATAATGATGACGATAAAAAGAAGAAGAGGGAGAAGAAGCGGAAGAAGCGGAAGCGGCAGCAGACGGCTAAGAGCGGATACGACCACGCTGGACCCCCAATGCTGGAGCTGTCTACTGACCCCATTCGCCTCCTTCACCTCCATCTCCCCCCCCCCCCTCCAACATGGCGATATATCTCCCTCTCGCTCCGTCTTCCCGCCGACAGCTCTTCCATCGCTGGGCAAAATCGTTTCGAAATGGAGCCATAATCCACCCTTCGTTTTCTGCCTTCGGCACCAGCAGTCCTGGTGGCTTCATTAACCTCAGCTGCACGCAGCACAAAGCTACCAATGGTTCAAAACATCAGTCGCAACGATGGAGAACAGCGGATTTCACTCGACCGGCGATGCCTCCTGAGATCCCAAGGCGTGCATGATAGGACTAAGACGCAGGAGAAATTTTTGAAAAAGCGCGTCCAACAAGTTTTCCATACGGTAACTACAGAGCTCCACCTCGGCGATATCAGAGGTGGTGCATACTTTTCGTCATCTCAGGCGTTGAAGGGTAGTTCTCCGCCATGACGACCGTTGCGGAGGTGTATCATGTCATTGAGAGTTCAGGGTTAGGGGCGAAATCCGCAATAATTTCCTGACGGCGAACTCCATTGGAATGGTGCAAGCGACGTAGTTACAGACAGGTGACGCTGCAACGGCAACGTCCGCAACCAGTCGGTCGCTCCAAAAATGTCCGCCACAGTACAGACGTCAAACGAAGCCCGCATGAGCCAGCGCTAGCAAGCCGATCCGCATCATCTGCCATCATTCGTGCATCGCGATGCCCCATCCGCTCTGCTGGGTTTCCGTTAGTTTGACCTCCAGAATGGGGCAGCGTGTCGCCCGTGACTCCCCTGTGTTACGGTGCCAGGTACCACGATTGTGAGGAGCGTTGTTCACGCTGTGACTGCCATCGACAGGCGAAATCCAGATGCGCAATCTCCCTGATCCCACGCGATGAGTTCACAACAAGACGGAGGAGCGGGGATCGCGCACTAGGGTCCAAATCTATGCTTTCCTTAGGGGTCGAGTGTTTTGCCTCGCCAGCTCGGACCTAAATCCGCTTCTTTTTTTTCTTCTTAGTACTGGGGCGCTAAGCAAGCGTGTCAGCGTTCCGCTATGGTTTACCCGGCAAACGAATTTCCATATAACCCCAACCATCCCCTCGCGACCGTTCGCTTGCTCTCAGCCACACGCGCACACACACACACACTCACAAATACACTCACACTCAATCCCCGTTGATAGCCACTGCCATCCGGCTTCCATCGCCAATATCCCTACGCACAAACAACAGAACCAGCATCACTCTTATTGTCTCCTCAGTTCTTTTTCCCGACCCTCTCATCTCCATATTTCATCGTGACTGCTCAGCGTGGTTGACGTGTAAGTGATACGTCCTTCGGTGGAACTACTCACCCCTAACCCACCTCAGAACCTGACGTTGTCACCTTCACAACGTCACCACTAACCGGTGCTTCCAGATCACCCTACGCATGTCCGCAATGCCAGATTCCAAGTATTGCAGTCACTGTCAGAAAGACCGTCCGATGACCCTCTTTATGGGCATCAACCACAGCCGGAACGCAAAGAAACCCGGCGAGATGGACATCTTGCGCACCTGCAATGAATGTCGGACGAAAGCGGCCAAGAAAGTGCACGCATCACGTTCGGGAAGGAGCACGTGTTCGGGCAGGAGCACACGTTCTGGTAGGAGCACAACCGCCCAGCGGAGCGTGACGACGGAAGCCCCTGATGTTGTCCCGGTTAGAAAGGTAGGTTACATAGTGCCTGGCTTCCATCTCGCAAATCTGACAGAATTCAGAGGGGTCGTCCCCGTCGGAACCCGCTCCCCGTCCAGAACGATGGCGGAGAAGCAGACGAATCCAGTGATGAGCCTGCGCTCAAAAATAAGCCTCTTGCGAAAGAAGAATCATCGTCGACGACGGACGAAGATGTATCGCAAAAGGGGAAAGGCATCGCTGGAACCAGCGAGACAGACACACCTGACGAAACTCCACGGCAGCTTAGGGCCACTACGATGAGAAAGCCGTCTGCAGCAGCGTCAGAGGTCAAGCGTCGCCGCATGGGCATCAACCTATGCAACGTCAACGCTGCTGTGAAGCGCGTCATCTCCGAGTCCCCTCCAGCCGGCGGGGCGACGCCAAGCGGTTTGGAAGAGATCGACTCCTCCGCCGATCGTCAGACCGCCTACACGATTAGCAGTGATTCGGACAGCGATCATGACCACCAGGACACAGCTAGAACTACTCAGGTAGTCAGGAGGATGTCATTACGCGCCCGTTCTAGTCGGCCTGCGAGCGGTACCAACCATACGCACGAGGGTTCCGAAGTACACTCGCCAAAGAAGCCTGCGCAATCAACGCTTCCGGCTAGCCGTGACCCAACCCTGAAGGGCGCCCAGGTTTCAGTACCAACAAGCAAAACTTGTGCCGGCGCCACCTTCTCCCAAGAACGATCCAAATCGCAAGTTGCGCGTCTTAAGCGCCGCGCCACCTCTCCCATGGGTCGCACTCCTTCCCGTTTCCTCAGCGCCGCCGCTATCGAGCACAAAACTTTAGCTTCTCCCAGCGAAGCCTCATCTCCCGTCGAAAACCAGGGATCGCCCGCCTCCGAAGCCGCGCAAGGCCCATACCGTGCCTTTTCGACCGCGCGCCAACTGGCCACCCGCGAACTTCTAGACTTCACCTCAAATCTGGAGCGCCTCGTCCGCATATTGGACACTGCCGCCAAGTCTCTCCCAGTCGAGAAGTTGGTGATACTACAGAATGAGATCCGCCATGATTGGCGTGTTGACGAGATGGCGACTTTCGTCGAGGGGTATTACAGGGGCGCTACTATGTAGGCGGAGCATGAGGCGCAGGTTGTTGATACTTGGCCAGCGGGTGGCAGAGGGGAAATGGGGGCGGCCACTGCTGGGAAAAGGGAAGTTACCGAGTGAGGAGATGTGCGAGATGTATTTTTACGAGTTAATTTGGTCGCTGCTTTCTACTTTCTGCTTTCTGCTTTCTGCTTTCTGTTATTATTAATGTTGTCTTTGAACTCGTCGCTGTAGTGCATGGGGCCTGATAGTCACTTACTTAGAATTTTGTTAGCAATTCAGTTGGTGCTGTTCTGCAAGTTTGGCAATGGTAGCGACGAACCGGAGGTCCGCCGAAGCCGTTTCCTGCGCGTAGTTAGGTCTTAATAGGAGTAATTCTTTCGAGTTACGCACGCACGCGGCATGAGTAGAATGTGCATGAAAGCCGCGCGGTGAATCCAGCCAGAGACAGTGCTCATTGCTGGAGACAGGTTAACTTTGTCAGCACGGTAAAATCTTCCATTCTTGATCGGCGCGCTGCCATATTTCTCCTGGCCGGAACATTCAGGCTGCCGTGATATGACCCATGTGGCGGATGTGATGTTTTGGTATACGAATGGTTGGCGAGTGGAACCGTGTCATATAATGCCGTCCGGAATACATGAAGGATCTCTCTACCGGTTTCTAGTGCTAAGTGGTGGTGAGTTTTCAAATATGTGTTTTGGACGTTGGGTATTTCGCTCGGGAAATATCTCTTCACCTATCTAGGGGAATATATCTCTGCATGGGCAAATATCTGGACGTACATAGTCTAACCTATTACCCTCTCCCGTAAACGTACGTGATGTTGCTGAGCCGCGAAAAGCGCCTGCGATTAGGTCATTTCTTCGCAACCCTAACGGAATACTCGATACTACCACCGAGTGATGGTGGCGGACAAATGTTTGCCGACAGTGTTTGGCTAGTTCTTTGGATATTTTGAATATTCCAAACCCACCAACCCGTATAAATAGTTACGTCTTCATCCACCCTTCTTCCCTTGTTTTCTTCGTGAATTCTCAAGACTTGCTCTGATCTCAACGTTTACGTTTTGCTCACTACTCTCTTGCTCTTTACACCTTTGTTACTCTGCAACCCTCCTCTTCTGCTCTTACTCTTGCTCTAGCTTTGCTCTTGCTCCCCTTCCTCTTTCCTCTTCCTCCCCCCTCTTCCTCCTCCCTTTACGTTTTCTTGTGCACAGCACAAGTTACGAAGAGCTTGCGACAGCAAATCTCATTTCGACGTTTCGGACTACGGTTCGTTTCGCTTTACGACGACGGTCGGATTTATTTTCGAAACGTCGCCTAAGGTACATATCTCCCCCTACTTAGCTACACCATGGGGCTCTCTCATGCTTGCGGAAAATGACTAACGAAACCACTACTAGGACTTCCTATACAGATCCTACGGGACTGTTGGATTACGACTACCGTCGGTAATCTTTGAAGAGGTTGTCTACGGTACATATCTCCCTATACATCACTACATCATGGGGTTCTCCCATATCTGCGGAAGGTCACTGACTAAACCACCACCAGGACTTACGAGTGACGTACTAGGGTACAGTGCGACCTTACGAGTACGGTCGGTAATTTCTTGAACGGTCGTCTAAGGTAGATATCCCTATAGACTCTGCTACAACTTGGAGTTCTTCCATAGTTGCGAAGACGTACTGACCAAACCACCATCAGGACTTCCTGTTAGACACGTGCTACGATAGTGTCAGATACGACGACGGTCGATACCTTTTTCTTAGGTAGTTTACGGTACATATCTCCCTATACAATCTACTACACCTGGGGGTTCTTCCGTAGTGCGGAAAATGACTGACCGTATTACCATGAAGACACCGAGATTTCTTACACATTACTTCACAAGACCGAGTTTGTGAAGCAAAGTTGTCAGATATGGACAACGTTACCAGCAAGATTGTGGCGAAAGTGTGCAGTGGCGGTGGCGACGGTGGCAACGGCTCTGACAGGATAGTCTACAAGTTGGGTATCCAAGACTTCGACAACTCCGACAGCGAGATGAAAGACGGCGGCGAAGATGACGAAAACACCGACTCCGGGGATGGAGCTCCTTTCGTGGCTCTTCCTCTTGATTGTGACGACGAAGACAGACTCCGACTTCTACCAGGAAGACTGAGACGAGGACGAGAAAGCCGATGACAAGAAAGCCGACGGTTCGAATGGAGACGACGCGAAAAGCGGCGACGATGGTGACAAATCGGACTCCGGCGATGGAGCTGCTTCGACTCCTTCTCCTCGTAGCTGTGACGACGAAGACAGTGACCCTGAATTCTACGAGGAAGACAAAGAAGTCCACAAGAAGGACGGACAGGCAGGTGAACGTGCAGCGTTCTGCGTTCCGCGGGACTGACGGGAGGGGGGGGGGGAGGGGGGGAGGAGTGGCGACGACTCCGTTGATGATGACGACTGCAACGATGAGGACGACTCCAACGATGATGACCAGTGTGGGGTAAGTGGTAGCCCACTTGACGAGGACGAACTAGAATCCCTCGCGACTCTTTTTGAGACGCTTTACGTGTCTCGCAAGACGATCCAGAGAAGTGTATCCGCTGCTGCTGTGGTCGAACAACAGAGCAGTGCACTTCCTTACTCTCCAGCCACCGGAAGTTCCAAAGACACGGACGGAATGGAGTCACTTGTGGCTCTCTTTGAGAAACTTTCCATGTCTGACGAGAGGACCAAGAAGGACGAGGTGGAGTCACTTGTGGCTCTGTTTAAGAACCTGTCCGTGTCTGGCAAGAGAGGCCAGAATGCGGTGTCAGCTCCGGCTCCTCCCAAGCGGACGGACGGGGTAGAGTCATTCGTGGATCGCTTCAAGAAGCTGTCCGTGTCTGGCAAGAGACGCCAGGACACTGCGTCGGCTCCAGGTCTCCGGGGCGAAGTGGACTGTGTGGAGCTTGGCTAGGGTCCACCCCGGTCGAGAGGCCGGGAGTGGTGCTGCTGGCGGTGGACGAAGAGGATGGTTATACAACGTTCTCAAGTCGTCCGACAGCAGTCCGCTCCTGGAACACCTCGCCCGCTGGTAGTCACCACCGGCGAGCCAGCGTCGTCACGCCGAACATCGATGAAATCATCGTTTCCTTGCGGGAGCTGGATCAGTTGGAGCATGGGATGAAATCCTGGCCCGAGGACAGTTACGGTAACATGGACGAGTCGTGGACTGTCGTAAAAACGGAAGGTGGCAACTACAATCCCGGCTCGACCGATTCAGGAAAGACTAACCACGCTCAGACGGAGGGCTCGAACAACAGCTACTGCAAAGCGGACGGCTCGAACCATATCTACTGCAAGGCAGTCGACTCGGGTGAGACCGACGATGCCAACCTCACGGACGATAGCTACTCCAATACCGACCCGGCCGAGGACGAAAACGACGATACCAACTCAGAGGATGCCTACTCTGTGGCTGACGATAATGACACGAACAAGGTGCGCAAGGCAATTCAGTTACCGATAAACACTGCTGGTAAAGAGGAAGGCCACGGCATCGGTTCAGTGGAATGTTGTGTTGTTGAGCAAGCCAGCTGTACAGGTGGATTTGATGGTATTGACAACTGTCATGTCTTGGCGGATTTAATGAAGAAAATGTGGTGGATTCCGATGGACAAAATACGGCAGATGAAGACAGCAGTGAGACTGGTACAGGAGAGGTTCTGGTGGAGGAGAATGAAAATACACCGGAGAAGAGTGGGTATCTGGCGGACGCAGAGGATAGTGGCTTGGTGGAGCAGGTCGCAAATCTCACGGAAGGGAGGCGGATTCAGAAGATAGTGACATGGAAGAAGAAGGTTCAGTAGAAAAGAGTGGAAATCTGGCTAAAACTGGAGGATAGTCGGTTGCGGTACAAGACTACCAACGCGGAAATTGATGAGTGAATTGAAAGGACGAAGATGCCTGCTACGGACGTGATATCCCAGGACGTTACCGAGGATATACAGCGATGCAGACAGCGATTTTAACCGAGTCAGCGTGGGTGGACGTGGAACTGATTCGGAAAATCGCGCAACGCCCCACTTCGAGGTGGTGGCGGAGAGGAGGTTTCTAGTCGCAGAGTTTGGCAGCGGTAGCGGCAAGAGGAGAGCTGAAAATAGCGGCCGGTGGTGGATACGGGGTATGAGGAGTACGCCTGCTGCTGGCCTTCCGTACGAGTTCCTCGCGAATCCCGGTGATACGAATCACGGAATCCAACCCCTCCCAAATATCTGTGATGCGCAACGCGAAGGCCAGCGTCACCGCGCTGTCAAAATGAGCTTCACGAAACTTTCTAGGTTTGTTTTTGCCAGAATATGGTTCGTCCGGAGATGACGATGTCCCCAGTGTACTCTAGTGGAGGCAGCAGTATCCGAGCACGGGTGACGGGTGACCGGCGACGGAACGCCGACCTTCTGAAGGGATTGATGCAGAGGTTTCCTAGTCTATCAAGACTGTATATATAGAGAGCGCGCTGCTCGCGATGTTGCTGCTGTATCGAATACTACTGTCATGTTTATCTACCTCTTATATTCAATGGCACCTTTTCATTCTGATCGCAATGGAAACCCCCAAAATACTAATTGGTGTCAATTCAGCGGCCTCTTCCCTTCCTAGACCGCGGAAACCAAAGAGCATATACATCTATCTTCCAATTTCCCAAAAACTGCAGTCTACGTCCCCTGTCTCTCCGCTGATCAGAAAGAGCTATGTACCGAGCCTTGGTGACTGTTAGATATTGGGGTAGGTAGAACATCATAATAGAATTCGGTACGGCAGCAATATTTTAAGCAGTGAGCTCTGTCTGTATACAACCTTAATCAACCAGAAAGTCTCTGCATCACTCCATTTGAGGAAACGTCTGCCGGGCCCGGATACCTCGCTAGGTACACTGTCACCTCCGGACGTCGCATATGCTGACAAACCCTCGCGTAAGGAAGATGATCTGAACCCCATCTTAGCAAGGCAGAATGTAATCTAGAAAATAAATCCCCGGGTACCTCCTCAAAGCTTGTAATCATGTCAAAACGCCTCGCAGAGGACAAAGGATTATTGTCACTGTAGGAGAAAGTGTTGACCCACTAGTCAAACTATGAGATCAACTGCCAGAAGGAACGGCCAGCAGTGTTCTGCATAGACTAGTCCCGACCAAATTTGGGCGTGGTATGGTCTGGTCGGAATACATCATGAACGACCAGGCATAGGTCGGGATAAATCTGGCTAAGAAACAACATTTGACATCGGAAATGCTCTAAAGACCGCCAGAAACTAAGGAAACTTTTGCGGCTGAGAGAATTAACAGTTAACCCGACGTCGGGTTGGTCGGGATGTATCCCGACCTACTAAATCATAGGTCGGGTATACCTAATTTTATCTCGACCGGCTAAAGTCATGATCGGGTCGGGATATATCCTGATTGACTCGTCCGGTCGGCCGGCCGGTCTAGTCTATGTAGAACACTAAATGGCGAGTGAAAACAGAACAAAAAACATTCATCCCCGGGTACCTCATGACAAAAAGGAGAGCTGAAGGACCTTCTTTAAATCCTTCGTCATCATCTCCACTAGAAGCTTCCACAGAATTCACCTCCCCGGTGTCTAGGCTAACAGAACCTTGGTTCATAGCCCGTGGATATACTTTGAATGTGGTTCCCGTGGAAGATTCTTCATCATGATGTCGGCAGGTAGGTTGTTAGGATTGCGGTGGTTTGGCACCCGGTCCGGCCAAGATGAAGACATCTCCGGATGGCATATTTCGGTCGTCTCCGTCTCCGTTTCCGACAATGTCTACGTCTCCGGCAACCTCTGCGTCTTCGAGCTAGATAACCTGGTGGGCTATGTTGTGCAGATGCCTGATGGTGTGTCCTGTAGCAGGGAGCTTCGGGTGGGTCGAGGTCAGAAATCTGTCATCTGATATTCGGCGCGGAGGTAGTTCTTAAATGCGGTCACTCGTTCAAGATGCTGGCGGCGGGAGGACGCCAACCTGATTCTTGAGAGGCCGTCCGATAGGCTTGTCTCTTTCTATGATGAAGATCTACAGGATAGAGCGGTGTTCTACATAGACAAAACCGGTCGGACGAATGGTCAGGTCGATCACGATAATATTAAAAAAACTCGACCAAGGATTTTGTAGGTCGGGATATATGCCGACCGACCAGTCCTTGCCAAGCTCGGTCGGCCTAAGACGGCCGGCGTCGGGATAACGGCTAAGCGTATCAGCCGCAATATTTTCTGTCATAGATGTGCGTCCGCAATGTGTCGAAGACGGCCGCAGCCAATGCTGGAAGTGTAGGGCGTCCGCAATGTGGCTATAACTGTGGCAGAAAAGCTGGCAGACCACAACAATGGTCGCAGAGAAAGCGTCAGCGCGCATGAGTATGCTATAGGATGACCGATGGGGGGGACTCGAGATTATGTAGATATAGAGGACCTCCGCTATGTCCACCATCGCTACGTCCACCATCACTACGTCCACCATCGCTACGTCCACCGCCATAGCTTACTGTCGCTCCTAACACCCATCCCACCTTACTGCATGCCGCGTCCTCGGGGTAAAACACCTGCCAGCGAACGCCATCAGCCTCCCACTACCTCGTCGTGTTGTCTTCTGCCCCGCGAAATATAATGAGAGGCTTAACACGATCGATACCGTCGGCGAAGATTGTCAGCTGTATTGTCGCTTGCCTTTTATCCCACCCTGATCTCCGTGAAGCTACCCGTATTGTCTTACTCCCTTTGATATCTTAGATCTTCCCATCAAGATACTCCCAAGGGAGTGGTGTTTGGTCCATGTTAAGAATATTCGATGGAAGACAGCAACCGGCTGAAAGTACCGACTGTACCGCTGTATCTTCCATGCCGTCGCGTAGCTGAGAGTTCCGCCGGTTAAAACATCGAAAAGAAACAATCATCGCACAGTATTCTGTTGGGATTTGCTGGGCTGTATTTGTGACAGCGCGGATGGTAATCCTATTACGTGAGAGTAACTGACTGAACCAGCCATTCGAAACCATAAATACCGTAGGAGTGTCGGAATAAAGTTGAAGAAATAACAACCTTGCTGTCCGTTCGAACCGCTTTTTCCGTACCGTCTTCTCCTCTTTACGTCGATCTGCAAACGCTTGCACTAAAGCTTTCTCAAGCTTAAGCCAACGCCCACGGGATGGCCGGCGTCGTTGCTGTAAAAGTTTCATCGCAATTAATTTCTCCTCCTCTTGTCGCCATCTTCGAAAATAGCATGTATGCTTTAGGTTGTAACGTTCACAAACCTCCGCAGGCGTCGGAACTCGCAGGATGCCTTTGCCCTGATCGAACACCCTGCCATACGCCGCGTATGACAGAACTCCCAATTTGAACGCAGTCGTATATGCTCGTCGCTATCGGTTGGAGCTTGTAGCTGGAGGTGGAAATCTACGCATGAGATCTGCGGTAGCCTATCGTTTTGGGCCGGGCTTTGGTTTTTGTTTCCGAGGCGATAGTAGTATACGGGGATACGGCTCGTGTCTGTGATGATCTTCATCTTCGTCTAAAGTATGGTCAGTAGTTTGTTGAACCGTAGGTGAAAGTACCAGAGCTATGAACTGCAGTAGAACTGTGTCCATGGCGTTCGATACGGTCGCATTGACTCTGCTGTTCTCCATTATCGTCGTCCTGATTCCAGTTGACGTGGTTTTGGTATGGTTCTAAGTAAAAGTCTACATCAACCATTCGGAGGCTGGCAGCTCGCTGCCATTCTCACGAACTCCTTCAGCCTCAGGTTCCAACCTCGTAATTAAGTGAGGTTCTATTGCCGCCACCACACGAACCCTAAGCGCCCTAGCGCGCCTCCACACCGCGCTAAGGTATTTCACAGTGAGGACAAATATCCGGGTTTATACGGTACTGGACGAAGATGATGTCGTCGCTCACGGTTTTAATGCTACTGGACGGAATTCAACACACGACAGTGGGAAATACTATTACAGTTGGTGGATAAGTGCTGTAAATGGAGGCATTTGTTTTCACTACCGGACTGCAGTCGACTGCAGTCCAACCTTGTCCAGCGAATGGGCGCACGGGACGGACTACTTTTATTCCGTCCGCAAAAAGGAATGGACGGGACTAGATCATTGCAGTCCGTCCCGTTTGGACTGCAGTCCAGACCGGACTATGGAGAACACTGCTCTGGTCAGGCCCACATCTAAAAAAAAACCGGCTTGCATGACATCGTAGGTTTCAAAAAAGCTCAACTAGCATCACCGGAAGATAGCTAGGCCAGTTCTAAATTCGACTGCTCTAATCCCGCCTATATCTCGACATGGAAGGCCTGCTGATGGTTGCCCGCCGGTATGTATCGACAATAACTCACACGAGATACATTCCTGTATAATGAAAGAAACTGGGAATCGTATATGATCTGGCATCAGTTCATGGAATAGACTATGGTGACCACCAACTGCCCGACCTTTTTTGCCAGCTGCGCCGGCTTGTGAGTAAGCTCAGCCACCACGGTCCGTTGTTGCGCAGCTACCTATCAACCAAGTCTACAAAGGGAACCTTTGATCACACTCTTTGTCCGCACACTCTACAAACGCAATTCCCTACCAGGCACTCCGCGGACCGAACACTTGCGCGGCCGTGATACCGGTAATAACAGCAACGCATCAAAACAAATTAGGGTAGCGCGCTTCATATTGCTGCGCGGCAGCCTTGTGTGCGGCCCAGGCCTTGTCCGAACATCGCTTGCTGCATCGCCCGCACGTCTGGATGCTCACACTGTGCTTATGCTTGCAGATAATACATTTCCACTTGTAAATGGCTGGCTTTGACAATCCGGAACCCATTTCGTTTCTGTTTTGAGAGTAGTGGGTTGAAAGACGGTACCGAGTCGGGGTGAAGTAAACTGAGGTGTGGAAAGAGTTCGAAAGACAAGCGGGGATATGTTCTGCGGGGTTTGAGTGTGTTCGTGAGGTGTTTGGAAGGTTAGAGAAGGATGATGGAGGAGGGAAGATGTGAGTACGGATGAAGGAATGTTAGCCAGCGATCTGGCGGTATCTTTTGGATGAAACACACCCCTTCCATCCCTCCAGCCCGTATGATGCATAGAAAGCTGGCAAGCTCACCTGTTATACAATACCTGCCAGCCGACAAATCCCGGGTTCTGAGCCCGACTGGAGCAGGCAGGAGATGTTGTGAGTCATTCTTTCTGTCGGGTTAGGTGAGAGGCTTGAACGGGGACGGAGGAGGGAGGGTTGACTCCCGAGGAGGGCGGGTCGAAAAGCAATAGGGAAGCAGTATCGAGCTAGGGGACAAGGGTTGGTGGCAACACCCAGGAGTAGACGGATATCATGATCTACTTCTCTTCATCGAGTCCGATGATCCTCGCACAAAAAATCTCCGGCAGCCCAAGCGATGTTACGTGTCATGTTCCGGGTGATATGTAGTGCTCCACACGTCTTGCCAAAAACAAAAACTAAAACAGAAACATCCGATGGAAACCAAAAGAGCTGAATTACGCCGATGTATGCGTACACCCCCTTTACTTTTCATTTGCTCTCTTCTACATCGAGCCTCCGGCCTAGAGGGGTACAGGCAAAGAGCCGTATGCACAGACGGACATTAATAGCCAGCTCGCCGTTCGTATTGCGATCCAGTAATTGGATTGCAATGTAGTGCTGGCTGCAATGCTACCTTCATTCCAGGAATAATCCATGACGCAAACGCGTTGAGGGAGCGCACCAGTCAAGGGAGAGGCTACGGAAGGGCTTCGAGAGCGAGTGAAGGCCCCGGAAGAGTCAGGTGGCTGAAGGGTCGGGGCACGGAAGAGTCGAGGGAGCATACGAGATGTAGATAATGTCATTCTCCAGATAGGCGACATCCAATCAATGAAAAAACAGAAATCCCACCGATTTCCGTCTATGTTTTGCAGAATAGCTTTCCAACGAATTTTCGCACACCCTACTGACGTCGTTGCCACAGAATATGGTGGGATAGATCTGTTCATACGTTACCAGCTCACTCGGCGCGCTTAACGTAGCCACTATTATACATGCAGCCGACTACCTTCGCAGAGAATTTGTTTCTACTGTTGAAATAGTCGAGTGATGGAATGTTTAGGTCTGTACCTCACTGTCTAGCCATACTAATTTCCCTGGCAAGCGCTTCTTTCCCTCGCCATCCCTTTTCCTCGCTTTGCCACTTTCTCTCCTCCCTTCCGTCTTAACTTCACAGCAAGTTCAGCGCAACCTCTTCCCTTCCGCGACAACTTCACAACTTCTTTGCTTCCATCCCACAACCAGTCATCCTCTTTCGCATCGCGACGACCTTTTCCCTCACTTCCTACCTTTCAAAACCACAGTCGTCTGATTCAGGGAAAAATTCAAATGCCTCCTAAACGGCCCACCGCGGCTGATTTTATGAAGCCAAACCCTAACGTCGACTCGAGGACGCCTACCGACAAGTCCATGCAGCGTCTTCCTCGCGCTACACAGCAGAGCAAGGTTGGTTCATCTCCGGTGTCTACTAACGACTCCCATGTTGCTGCTGGCATGGGGCTCGAGATTCCTGCTGTTTTGAACCCGTCGCCCACCAACTGGTCTTCGAACTTTGTCGAAGGCGTTGTCTCCAAGGATAACAGCAGGAATGGCGTTGGCAACACCAACAACACCACCACCGCTCCAGACACTTCTTCCGTCGCGAAGAACGATGTGATTAGCAGCAAGGAGGGACGCAGTATCACTCGCAACAAGGACGAATATGTTGTCAAGGCTAACAATGGCGCTACGCACACGTTCACGACCAAGAGAGTCCCCAAGGACACGACGGTGGGTGTCGCAGCTAATGGAAACAACATCGTCACTTCGGGTGTCACCAAGTACAAAGTTGTCACCAAGAGCAACGCTGCCATCCAGGACAACGCTGTCACCAAGCCCAACTCTCCCACGGAGACCGGCGGTGTTACTGATACGTTCAGGAACACCCCGTGGCGCAGAGACCAGGTCGATGGTCGCGGTGCCCATAACCACCAAGCTCCCGGGAACACCTGTGCAGACTGGCGCGGACGGGGCAAGTTCGCCGGAGGAAGCGGCGGTGGCGTCGGGCGCTACGGCTCCTACTTCTCGCGTTCCGTCACCCCACCGCCGCAGCGCCCCGACGACCAGACGTTGTTGGAGCGTCGGGATGCGGCGAGGGAGGCGCGCGCGAAGAAGGAGCGCCGCTGGTTCGAGGAGAACGATCTCGACACCCGCCGAAAGGCTGCCGCCAAGATCCGCCAGGAGACGAAGGAATACAGGAGCAGGCGCGTCCGTAAGGTTGCCGCTGCTCCTGCGGTTGGTGCCGAAGCCGATCCAGCTGATCCACAAGCCAACACCAACGTCGCCAGGGTCATCGTCGGCGGCAGGTTCATCCGGGCTGACGATGACCGGCAGCGGTACTACGATGACGAGGAGGTGATGGAGGTCGTAGGTTTCCCTGCTTAGCCCCCCTTTTGAAGGACACCATACTGACATCCCCTGTGACAGCTGGCCAAGCTCAAGGAGCAGAAGGAATCTGGCGCGTACCGCGAGAAGCTCCAGGTGCCTGGGCCTGTGGGCTCCGAGTACGCGGTCATGATGGAGACGGCTAAAGAGCTCTGGGAGGCCAAACGTCGCCGCAGAGCCGGCTACCCGCCCGCACCTGTAGGTTGATGATGCATCAATTCAAGGTGACGTGTGGAGACTAACTACTCTATAGACCGCCGATGCCAGCAGGTACAATTTCTCGTACATAGGTATGTAAAGGACCATGCCAAAAAGGATTGGACAAAGCCCGTTTTGCACAACAAATGCCCATTTTGATGCTACCAAACATACCCTCCACCTGGTCCAAAAAATATCGTCTCTTTTACAGAAGCTTTACAATCACAAGCTTCTTCTTCAATAAAAACGTTGATGGCTTTCATCAACGATTGGGGCTGTACGGCGTTGTATTTCGCAGGAGTTGAAAAGTGGCACGACATTTTGTATGGGGCTCACATACAAAAAGCTATTTGGCAACCATTAACTTTTCCCCCGTATTGGATTGCTCCACAAGAACAATTCACAACTCCGTGAGGAGTCTCGATATCGTTGTCGGTGTAGTTATAGAGGTCTCCCGAGTCTCGATGATGTCTGATTTTTTTTCGATACGTTGTGGTTGTTGTATCGGTGGTTGAAAACGGCCATTTTTGGTGTAGTGTAATGGTAATGGCCAATCTTTTTTGTCCTAGTACTGTAGAACTTCGCTGTGCCATAGTTCAAGATGCGAAGCGTCTCTGAGGCGGTCTCTATTAGACGTCCGGCGGTTGGTCGATGGCGAGAGAAGGGGGTAGGGCGGAACAGCTCTCTTTTGTTTTGTTTTGAGTTTTAAGGCGTTTCTCTAGTTGCGGAATCAAAGCTCTTACAAAATTCGCTGTTGTCTTCAAAAAATCTTGAGATGAACTGGCCGAAGGAAGATGAGATGACGGCGCGCCGGGGGATTTCAACTTCATAGAGGCATGTGCGGTAATGTTAGGAAATCCGCATCTCTCGATGAATACGTACAGCGTGCAAGTAACTACGTGCCTAGCTGCAGTGATGATGATAGATCCGCTCTATTGCCCCGTTTCTCAGATCTCTCGGCCGTTGCCAATGCGAGTATGCAACCCTCCATCGAACGGGTTGCCATACTCAAGAACAATCTCCACGCCATACGCAAGGCGACCGATCCCGCACCGCGACCCATATCAATCTGTCTTCTACTTACACCGACCAGTATCTGTGCAACACATCCGATCTGGCCATCCGTTACTTCGCCGGACATCACATGAACCTCCCTGGCGGTAATAGAGACGCGCACTTCATTGAACAGGCAGACTTCGCCAGAGACTCTGAATTACCTGTGATGAAGACGCCCAAAAGTCGACATCCGGCATGTCTTCACCTTGGCCCACCAGCTGTCAGAGAAATGCGATCAAATACAATCATGAAGACGACACCATGAAGATGATTGTCCCTCGGGTGGGGCGTGGACATATATCCGCAGACTACGTATTGCACCCGGGTCACATGGAGAGTCAATTCGGTGGATGTCTCTATTGATGCACGTGAAAGCGGTTGAAATAAGGTGATTTTAATTTCCCTCTTTTTTGAGAGTGCACACCTTGTCCTATCTCCGTGGTGTTTCTCCCACGCATTTCTTTTTCACGATGGCACGGTGTCGAATTGAGGATCACTGTTTTTCTCTTTTCAGCTCCTGTGGGATTTTGCTACTGTTGATCTCATTTTTTATGCTGCTTTATTGGGTTTCTGATCATCTTCTGTAGGAGAAGTTTCAGAATATGGGACGGCTCGAGATGACAATGTCCCTGATGTAGTGGAGCGGGGTATTCCAGCACTGAAGACTCACCATCTAATACGGTCTTTGCAGAGATGTTTTGGTAATTAAACGTGTACATGGAGAGAGCTCGCTGCTCACCATACTGTTGGTATCCCGAATACTTTCCTGTATATCACCTACCTGATAATCCAACATCGACTGCGGTAAAATGCAACAGCCTAGGCAACAGATCGAAACTTCTACATGATGGAGATGTTAGACACCGATACAGAAAACATTCATCAGTTATTTTACACATTTTGTATTCAAATTTGAAATGTAACACTACGTGCAGGCGACTGCGGTGAGCCACTTGCAATCATTGGTGCTGATGATCCTGAGATGATACGGGCTGAAGCAGTTCCACGGCGAGAAAGATCCAAAATTGCACGGCAGATCACTGTGTTAAAGTAGCGTGAAAGGAAAAAAAACCGAGCAAGCCCAGGTGGCCTACATCAATCCTGCGTAAAAAGAAAACGAAAAAATCAAAGTCCCGGGAGGCCCCCCGCGGTTCTTACCGTTACCCAAGCCTCACCACCGCGTCCATGATCAAAGCACCCTTATCCCGCTCGCTACCAACCGAACTCGAATCCACGACATGGTAGCGACGCCGGTCGTATTAAAGACCTTGCCTTCCTACACGAGCCACGGAGCTTCCTGTTGTCAGAATAGGGGACGTCCGGAGACGGCGAAGTCCCTATCCTAGTGGGGTATCGAGCACGGGTGACCGGTAACGGAACACCGATCTCCTGAGGGGATTGATGCAGACATTTCCTAGTATATTAAGCTTGTATATAGAGGGAGCTGGCTGCTCTCGATGTCGCTGCCGTAAAGAATACTATTGAAATGATTATCTACCTCTTATATTCAACACTGATGTTTTAGTGTTGCTTCGCCAGGTTATCAACCCCCCCCCCACCCTCAAGCGAGTGCACGCAGAATTTGACCCCCCAACGCTTCAAATTCGCTCCCTCCCCCGCTACAGCTTAGGAATTTTCTCCCCTCGCCACCAGCACCACTCACCTTCGCTGCATACCTTGCTTCCCCAGACGCTGTTATATAACATTCAGGAGCAAGATAATTGGGAAAAAAACTCCGCGGTCGGACAATTGGAGAAAAAGAAAACATTAATTGTATAAAGAAAAAAGAAAGACAAAAAAAGAAAGAAAAGAAAAAACAAAAGGACCCCGTCCCGAACCTCGGCCGACCACCAGAGAGTTAGTCCTCCCCGAAGATCAATTCCGAGGACTCCAAACCCTCTGGAGGCGCGTCCAGGTCTTCGAACAGGTCGTCCCGCTTGATGTCGTCGGGGGGTGACTCGACGCTCTCAATCGTGGCCGGCGCAATGCCGGGCCCTGATCGAAGTGCGTCAAGAGTCGGATCACCGGGGTGATCCTCCTCTGCGCTGGTCGATGGGCCCACTAGAGGAGCATCCATGGCTGCCAATGCGGCATCTATCTCACTAGTCAGATTTCACGGATCGTCATCCTCGGCTGGCTCCCCGCGAGATCGTTAGTGATGTGTTTACCGATGATCTAACCGGAACGCGAAATTTACGTCTCTGTCAATGCGGTATTCCGCTCACCGACGAGAGCGTCGAAGTCATCCTCCTCTTCGGATCTGCGAGATAGTTAGTACTGCATTTACCAACGACTTGATCAGAACAGAGAACTTACATCTCCACCAAAGGGGCCTCCAACTCCCCGGCCAGGTCCATCTCCAACAACTCCTCCTCTTTCTTCTCGACCCTGCGTCTCCTCGTGTCGGGCATGGTAGCATCGACGGACTGCTCCTCGTCCTCCTCTTCTCTTGGGCGCTTCGTCCCCTTGTTCGCCGCCGCCTGCTCCACGGCCGGCGCTCCGTCCATGTCCATCATGGGACACTCTAACCCACCTCCCTTTCTCCACAAAAAAAACCACCACATCTTGTCCGTCTCCCAGCCCGTAGGCTTGAGACCCCCCCTTCTCTCCAACTTTCTCCTCTTCTCCGCCACCTCCGCGACCAACGCCGCCTTGGTATCCTTCTTCCTACCTCTCCCCAGGATACCAAGTACGACGTAGGCTCGCTTCAGCACCTCTTTGAGCACTGGGACTGTCACTCCCTTCCCAGTCCCAGTCCCCATCGACGTTGCCAACCGTCCAGATTTTCCATCCAGGATCGGTGGCAGGGGGGAGCGGCGTGTATGGCGGCGGTGCAGCTGGTGGTGGCAGCGGAGACGAACCGGCGACGGACGGATCAGCAATGGAAGGAACGGCGGGATCTGCCAGTATCGGAGCTTGAGGGTCGTTCGGATGTGCTCCTGCGTCATCTCGAAACGGTACAGGTCGGCATCGGTGGTGGGTTTCGGGGAGGCGGGCTGCGGGCTGCGGGGTACTTGGGCGACGGCCGCGCTTGTTCGATGTCGATGGCTTGATGGTTGTGATGCCGGT